ACGAAACAGTCGCGTATAAAACAATATATAGCGAACGGTATTTCCGAACCGCGATTTCGGTCCGTCGGAATCTATGCGGTTAGATTTGTACATGTCGGTGCATTATAAGTGTAAATAAAAATAAAAATAAAGCATAAAAACTGCGAAGGAAAAATAACCGTAATGACAATATTATATATTGTTATTGTACAGTATCGAATAAGAGGACAAACGAATATATTTCATCGCGCCGACACTCGTCGCTCAGCGAGTTTGTTATATTATACAATATAACAAACGGTTAAACGTCGCGGAGATTTCGCCCTGGGCGCGAGGCGAAAAAAACAAAAAAGGAAAAAAAAAAACATCCTTTATTGTTATCGCGGGCGCGTCTTATCTCCGCGGTAGTCGTTGTCAACTAACCGTGCGCGCGCTCTCTCTTTCTCTCTCCCCGAGTCCCTTAACATATCAATTTCCAACGTCACCGCGTTTTATTTACTTTTTTTTCGCGGACGACGGATGACACGATACGCGAAGGGGAAACAACAACATTGAACAGTTTTTTATAACGGCCCTGTCACATTATATAATACATACATAATAATGTATAAGGACCATTATTAATCTTCGTTTGTTGTTTATTTTGTTGCGAATCAAATGACACGGTTTAAAATAGAGGATACAGATAATAAAATACATAGCGCGTGAGCAAAAAAAAAAAAAACTACTATACATTGCGCTTTTTTTATTTTTTTTTAACACAACTTATGATAAAATACGTATACAATTTCGAGCATTTCTTCTGGGTAAAAACGATTTATTCGCATAAAATCAAATTAAATCAAAAAAAAAAAAAAAAAAAAAAAAAAAAATAAAAATAAAAATTAGAAAATGTCAAACGTTCATAAATAGCTCAATAATCACCAGAATCGTTTACCACGTCTAAAGAAACTAATTTAACTATTACGTAAACATGTCAGCTCTCTGAAATCATTTTTCACCAAATTAAAACAAAATATCGAAAATAATGAAACGGTTGGTTTTTACATTACGGTTTTTTTCGTCGACTTTTCTCAATTATTATTAAAACTACAAGGAAAATTAAAACTTTGCCTACTCTAACTAAAAAAAGACGTTGCACTTGAAAATCAGAGTTATATATCTGTTAGAAAATGTATTTAAATTAGACGGAAAAGACACACACAGAGACACACGTCACATTGAAACTATAACACGTTATCGCTACGCCCAGAATCAAAAAAAAAGTATAAAATAAAATATCCAATAACTGAATGTCTGGCCGAGAGCAGATTTAAGTGCGTGTATATATATACACATATAGAGAGAGGGGCGGTCTCATTGTTAAGAAACTTTGCGTACGGTGTCGGTCTGCACGTGCAGATACGCGCGAGTATATACGACAAAAATACTAAAAACTGCCGAGATTTTAATACGCGCGTATAGTTCTTTTTAACACGCATTATACAATACAACCAAAAAAAAAAAGAAACTTTTACTACTCGCGCGCATGTAAGTCGATCCGAAAAGTTGTTCCGGACGGACGGGCGCGGATTCCGTATGCGAATTTTTTCCCGAGAAACACAGCAGTAGGTACCTAAATCGTTCCTGCTCGTGTATCTTATATTATATTGTATAGAATAAAAAAATAATAATAATGTCTAGTAGAAGAAAAGACAAAAAAAAAAAAAAAAAAATAAAAATAGGGGATGGAAAATGACGGATGAAATACTACTTCTTAAAATAAAAATAAAAACAAAAAAACATGTATTGTAAGAAAGGTCGTCTCGCGGAGTCGAGAAATTGAATTATCCATGCGATCTACAGCACGTGATTTCACCGTGCTGCGTAACTCGCTTATGATGTAATATTATTATATTATATAGTTTAGTGCAGTGCGTTAGTCTGCGTCCATAATGCACAAATGATACAAGCATTTACAAGAATGAGTAGAAAATATAAAAATAAAAGCACGATGCAACAAAACATTCGCAATTTTAACCTGGGGAAAAAGCGTAATATATTTCCGTTGCTCTGAATCGGGGCATTTTTCTTCTTTTTTTATTGAACATACACCGTGTGTCCACTCCGACATCCCTTAAAAAAAATCTCCACGGGTGAATAGAATAACTTTCCCGTGATTTTCGGACTTTTCCCAGTTATTCCTCCCACCGCCAGCGAGAGTATTTCCCACATAAAAAATAGTATTTGTTCAAAAATATACCGATTGCTCAATGAGCCACCGTTTATTTTCTAGTGATCATGCAGTAAGTAAAACCTTAATCTGCTGAATATCCGTTTGAACTGAAAAAACTTGCTTAAAAATGCCATGAACCCATTATTCATGACCGAAACACTAAATAAAACAGTAACTGTTATTTTGTTTAGACAATTAGTGTTACTATTATTTATTATTACTTATCGATAACAATGTTTAAAAACTACGGACACGTTGAGACCATCTAGTGTCTTATTTATATATCTACCGTAAAATGTTTAAGTTTTAAAACTAAACATAAATTATTATATTGTGATTTCGTTTTTCATTTTTTATACAAACGAACAATTTCGTATAGGCCGCGTATTTTAAAAGTATAAATTTCGTAAAATTTTAGAACCATATGTAACCGTAAAGCGATTTGGACGTTACCTATGTATCGTATTTTCGGGAAATATCCTCGACAGTAGATATTGTTGAGGAAACGCTGTTATTATCGGATGACACCACAATATTATACTGGCAGAATAACGGATATTATCATGTCCACATACGTGTTACAATGATATTAGATTTATGTTCGGTCGGTTCGCATGGAATAAAATGACCGAACCGTGCGGCCATTACGCGTCGTTTGAATATCAAAATATTGACCTTTACACGATGGTTATTGGAGCGAAGGTTCGAGGGTCCAGAACGCCCATACATTTTTTTCATCGAAAGTCAAAAAACTGTACGAAATAGTACGGCCAAAATGAGCCTTTTACTTTAAGACCGAAATAAAATTTAAGGAAATTAGGAAAACTTTCTCGGGCCATTGATAGCATCGAAATCTTTAAATATACCAAAGATTGATACGATACATTAGAACTAATAAGTGATATCGCGAAAAATTATATTGTACCTCCTCCAGATAGGCGGTTTTCAAACATGTTAGTTTGTGGAGCAAGACGTTTTATTTTAAATGTGTGTTACTTTCGTGGAGTCCGAGGAATCCGTGGAGTGCAGTTTAAATACGCTGCCCTAGATATCACAACTATCGAGTGATTCTTACGAAAATGTAAAGTACGTAAGTATTTTAGTGAACGCAATTCGATGGTCACGGATAAATTTTACCTCCAGCTATTATTATATCTACGACCACTTGTTTCGCCCGGTGTTGCCAGTGCCAAAGCAAATAATAGAACAACTATCATTGCGCTGCCACGGCTCTACATGGAATAATTTGTTATTTATTTTTAGATTCTGAGCGTAGTGAACTATGATGTATTTTTTTTTCTCTGTTTGTTTTAACTTTTTTATTTTTATTTCATCAGTATCACCAAAGTAACTATACACCGACAATCATAATAAAATCATAGCTTTTCGTTTCGAAAATACTAATAACTCTGTGTCGACTTAGCTTTGGAGAATTAATACGGTAGGGAAGTAGCCAACACGTTATCCCTGATCTAGAACTACGTCTATGTTTCACGCAATGTTTCAGTTAATTCCGTACAGTAGCTTGGACGAGAAGTGATAGCAAACTTCCATACGTCCATCCATCCATGAATCCGAACAGACTTTACGATATCGGCACGGTTATTTAGGTTAAGTACGACGTAAGGAGTCCCGCAAACACTTTCGACCTATCCCGTGATTATTTTTTCCCTTCGTTTTCGGTTCGGCCTATACGCGTTCTCGTATTTCCCAAACGATATCGCATTAAACGGTCGTTTAGAAAGATCTAAACGGTTTGTTTTTTTTCTTATTTTTTTTTTTTTAGTTCTCGGGTACACCGCGATACCGCAACCCGCGACACCTCCGCAGTATTGAAATACCCGTTCCCGCTCGCGAAACGTGTGGCCGCCGAAACGTCTCCCCGTAACTCAACCGTTACGCGGCGGCCAACATCTGTTGCGGGCGCCGGCGGCGGCGGCGGTGGTGGCGGTGGCGGTGGTCGGAAATTAATAATAAAACCCGAGACCGTTGCCATGTTAAGTGGCCTGCTCCTCTTCCGCCGCCGACGACGCCGCCGCCGCCGCCGCCGCTAACGTCTCTCAATCCGGATAATTTAATTGCCGCCGCGGTCCCCATAATTCTCTGTCCGTCCGCGTCTTTTCCCCTCTCGTGCACACCACCGTCGTACTACATCCTCCGCGACCGTCTTCCCCGCGGGATATCTTAGTCCGTGCGTATACTCGTGTGTATATATATAAATATAATTTTATCCGCCCGCAGACGTTTCGGCGCTCTCCCCGTTGTCGTCGTCGACTCGGTGCCAGCGACGGCGGCGGGTAACACTTAGCAACCACCGCCGCAGCCGTCAAAACCGACCCGTACACCTACCGCGAGCGATCACATCTGTCGGTAATATCTTTCCCTTCTTCTTTTTAAAACCGAAAACCCGTCGAACGACGGCTGTTTTAATTGCCGCCTCCCACTCCGCACCGTCGTCGGTAAGGCAGTCCAAAAATTACGCGAAACGTTTTTAATGGTTATACACAACAACAACAACAACACGCCGCGAAAACAAAACCGTTCGCGCACGCCGCACCGCACACGCGTGCCAATCGACGGGGCTCGTTCGGGACGAATTACAAACGTCCGCCCGGAGTGTGTGTGTGTGTGTGTATGAGAGAGAGAGACAGAGAGAGAGAGACAGAGAGAGAGAGAGAGAAAGAGAGAGAGTGTGTGTGTGAGACAGAGAGAGAGATAGAGTGTGTGTGTGTGCGTGCGTGGAAATTGACTTTTGCAAACTTTCCGACGGAATTTCCCGCCGAATCTCCGCGTCGGTATAATCTCGTTATGTGCACACGCGCTCGAATGCTCGGTTAGGAGTACACACGGAACTAGTAGAGGGAGTCTCCTCGGGGGAGAGAGATGAGGACGCCTGTGGCGTATGGCTTGGAACGCGCCGTCGATGGTCGTGGTGAAATACGTCGTCGTCGTCGCCGCAAACGACTTGTTTACTATCGCTACCGCCACCGCGATACATTCGCTAGACAAACCGCTTTCTAAAAATCTAAAAATCCTCCCGCCCCTCTACAAAAAAAAAAAAAAAAACCACCAACGATAAACACGCTTATAACCACTAGTGACCACAATAACCGGACGCGTGAAACAATCGTATACTATATCATGGGCCAGTCATTCGACATTTTTAACTTATTAAAGTTACCTTAGTTAGTTGTCAATGTTATTCGTTAAAAAAAAAAAAGTATATATACGTATAAAATCAGATTGGAGTTTAAATGTGCACAAATTCCGACTTAATCGAATCGGATGTTATTCGGTGAAAATAATTACTTAAATTAGAATAAAGTGAAAACTTAACCAGAATTTTTTTTTCGTTTGAAAATTAAACTAGATTTATTGAATCAATACGCTTTCAGGCAGGTTATACAGGATAAAAATAATGAAATAAACATAAAAGACTAATCATATAGGGTTCATCATCAACATCATTACTATCATATTTGAAATATAGATTCTAAAAAATACACCGAAACCCGTAAAATAACCTTTTTTTTTTTTTTCGAAACACGTTAGAACATTTCAGATACCTAAACCGTCGTAACGGCATAGTTGTTCAGGACATTAAAACATTTTAATCCTACTGATATATTTCCTAAATATAAAAAATGATTGACAATTAGTAATAATTTTCAACATAACTTTCTAACTTTCTAACTATTCAGTGACCGATTAAAAAAGAAAAATGATGATATTTACTAATGAAACGTACCTCATTGCGATTTTACTATTTTACGTTTTTTACGCCATAAGAGGGAATGATGGAACCCACTAAATAAGACGAGATTTTTTTTTTTTAAAAACGCTATTTCCACACTGTCGTCTCTCACAGAGCGATTCCCAAAGAGTGTTCATTACTTCCATGCGCGTTGTGCACACAACATATACAACAGTGTTATAAAACACCAACCAAAAATATTTTTATTATTATCATGTGGCTGGGAGGGAGGGCAGAGCAACAATGCGTTTATAGCGTTTTCGGATCGATATAGACGTTTAAGTACCTACACCTGCCGATCGCGACGGAGGGGTTCGCGTAACAGAGAATACGTTTCGTAATACACTTTAAATGTTTTTTTTTTTTTTTTTGTCGGATTCGTCCCGAAAGTAGAGACTAATACCACGAAAATAATATGAAAAGTACCTATTTTTTTGCAAGTTTTTTTCTTTTTAATCTATAAATTCTTTTCTCATCATTCAGATAATTTTTTAAGTTTGATGTAACCCACACTTGAATAAAAGATTATCAAATTTGTATAAGCCTGAATCCCTGAGACATACTTAAATATTATTTTACAAGTCATCATAACGTATTTATTCTCAATTTTTAGACAGTCAAATTTATAACTGAATTTTGAATAATTATATTTAATAAAATTGATGGGTCTTGTTTTATGACCAACAAATAACTAATAAAAACAACGCACATAATCGCAAAATAAAGAAAAGCAGTTTTTTGGGCCCGTGAAAATACTCAAAAAGTCGTATCCAGAATCTTTTTACAATTTTTAAAGTTATTTTAAGAGGTAATTTTACGGGTTTTTCGGTAATTTCCCAAACCGTAAAGCGAAAACTCCGGAAAAATGCGATTGGTAAAAGTCTAGTGAAATGTAAAACGACTCTTTCATTATTAACAAAAACAGTATCGAATAGTGAGAACGCACTACCTGCAGTGAAGTCCATTTGGTATCGTTTTTCGGGTATAATAAAATGTAAAAAATCGATTTTAACGTTTAAAACGAATATAGTTGTAAACGCAATATAATTATTTTTAACTTTAATAAAATATGCATTTTGTGCTCTCTAAAAGTAATAATATATCAATGAGAACCGAATAAATCATCTTACCCAACCTTATTTTACTAAATAATATGTGTTAATGCAAACCGATAAAATGTATGTAGGTTTACTATACAATCATTGAAAAAAGCTAAATCACCAATAAAGCGGTTGATAGAACGATAACAAGTCAGAATACTATTATTTATTTACATTTATCGCGGAAACCTCATCAAATTAGATACCTATACAAAACAGTATATCTTAACGTTAATAATTAAGTCCAAACGAATTACATGATAAAATAAACCATGCGAATAATAATTTCGAAAAAAAAAAATTCTAATTCATCGTTAAAATATCGGGCAAAACATCACAAGCAGAAAATATATAATTTTAATGGGACAATGTTAATTTGAATTTCCACTCACGCATCACGTGGCTCATTCGCTCAAATCTCACGACGCCCTTTATTATTTATTTGCAGAACCTGCGAAATACAATCCTAACTTCATCCTAATGACTATAATAATAGAAAGCATTACAAAACCAAAAATATTGCCGTGAGTACCAGATCTCGGTTACTAGAATCCAATTTTTCTCCCTGTCGTTGCATTATTTTATTTTTCCCGACTGTAAACAACTTTTCATTCAATCCAAAAATGAAAAAAGACATTAATTGTTGTAGTATTTTTATCAAAATGAATCGAAGATGCCTGAAACTTTTACAGACTACATAAATAAGCCTTTTCTAGTGGTAATATTTTTAAAATATTTATATTCATACGACATTTTCGAGTTTTTTTAGTTTATATTTGATTGTAGATAGATAAAATTGTTTTTCTCATAATAAATGCTTTAAAATTCAAAAAATGTTACATTATGGAATTCAATTCAAATAAAAAAATAGTTAAGTTTAATATGGTCGATTTTTCGTTAACATTTGAAGTCCAAATTTATAAGAAAATCTTAAAAATTATTACATTAAAAAAACATGATTAACCGAACTTCACTTAGAATCGTATTTCATCAGCAATGACTTAACGTTTTGTATGATATAAATTAAATAACTCTGTTTTAACTTCCAACTTCGCGACATATTATTATTCTTAAGAACACATAGTTATAGTTGCCAATGGTTTAGAGTATTTAGGTATTTGAAAGTCCTGGTTTCCATCCTCTATTTAATCGTTGTTTACCGTCAAATAAAAATATAGTAAAGAAACGTAATATTGTAAAATAATAGTAACAGTTATAACTTATAACCTATAACAATATAGTGTTTATTATTGAGTGTTTTCTTTTCCGTGAAAACCAAATGATCATCTACCATTCACGGCACCACGATAATCTATAATTTAACATATACAAATTAAATGTTTGTTCCGCAAATTACCGTAAACCCTGTGCTAGTCAACTTCTAATGGTGGAATTTTTGAAAATCCGTCTTTAGTGGGTGCCTGCGGTATAAAAATTACCTACCAGAATTCCTACTGTGAATATTTCAACCTTACAACCCCGGGGGCTGCCGTATTGTTACTATGTCAATTAGGAAAAAGGCGTTTATAATTATAGACGTCGGAACGGTTTCAGTCAATTGATAACACGCCCGTATATAAATGCAGTCACATAGTTTTCATCAAATTATTCTTTATGACGAAATATTACGAGGATTTATTGTACCCTATAGAAAACACTCGTCCGCGCGACTGTTTTATGACTTTGAGGCGGTTTAACGGGTTCGGAACGTTTTATTATCGTTCTTCATAACGCCGTTGCACATAAGCTCGGACAAATTTTACTATCCCCGCGCCAAATTAGATAACTCCGGTTATATACCAATAAAACATGACGTTATTTCATCGCATTATTTCCGTTTACCGTTAGATATGACGAGAATCAAAACGACTCCATCGTAAAAACGCGCTGTCGACTTGAATAAAAAATACACTGCGATTATAAATACGCGAAAACTTCGAGGTTAGACGGTGTCTGCATATCCTAAACTAAACGGAATGTCTACTTACAGCGGTGAACTATAAAATCCGCACATGTTATGTTAACGAAATATTAGGAAAACAAATAATTTCGATACTATTTAAACACGCTTTTAGGGATAAACAATGGGATTCCATTAACATTATTGACTAGATAAATTATTTATAGAGTTTTCAATTCAATATAATTATTGAGTTATATTATATTACTCATGTTATATTTTATATTTTAATAAACTCACAGCCGCGCTCCAAATTCACTGTGGGTAATGGAACAGAATTTATTTATTTTTTTTTTTTTTTTGCTTTTCCCATCATATTTATATTGGGTCAAATAAGAAACGGTTTCCCTCAAATTATATGATCTTTAAAATTATTTCTAGAGGTCACAATCATCGAAATGATCAATATATATCTATTTTATATTTTAACGTGTAAATAATCATTTCTCTCTCAAAAAATAATAAATAATTATAATCGGTATTAATAAAGAAAAACATTGATAATTTTTTTCGAAAAAAATGAACACTTAAAAAATTTGATTGTTGAAATTTTGATGAATCGCTCTTCAAAATAACCGCCTAAAAACTAACTAAAATAATCTCAACAATTTAATTTTCTACCAGCTTGATAATTAGCGTCAATATTTGTATTAATTTTTTTTTAATGATATTTCAGTGTATTTATTTATTTGTGTAAATAAATGAATGAATATTTATGCAGTTAACAAATGAAACCAAATAAAACAGCTGTTTCTGACAAATTTGATGAAAATCATTTTAATGATCTAAATAATTGGGGAAAAACTTGTTTAACCAACCGAATTCATTATCACGAGAAGCGAAAAATGTTTTTTAAATAAAATTTTAGACTATACTAATAAGTAGGCATCTATTATTATTCTAGCATAATATACGCGGATACTCTTATTTTACTGCGACTTTGCAGTGCATTTCAATTTTAAATATCAATGTGAACATTTTTAAAAATTGATGAACTACAACGTATGGAATATATTTCTAGATGAGTATGAAAAAATTATAATACGTATATTGTTACTATTTTTATATGAACTCAAATTTAGAGAATATTTTTCGAACGTTCACGTAGATTATGCCGCACGATATTGTATTATGTTATAACGTTATAACTTATGTTAATGGTTTTTGTTTTAAATAATTTATCACAATGATATACAGCGTCAGAAAACAATTTTGAATATAATTTAAATTAATGACACTGCTAAGAAATTTTTCTAAACTTTTCGAAAGAAGTTTAAAGTCGAATTTCAAAGTTTTAACTCTCACGAAATAAACACAATTGGCCAAACATGTGCCAGATATTACACTTTTTTTAATTGTTTATTTTATAATGATATTATACGTGGGTATAACTTAAATTTAATTTTTTGAACATCAATTTTTAGATTCTGAAGAAAACGAGGATTGTAATGGTTTGATATATTTCGGTACGTGTAAATTTTTTTTTGTGAACAATTTTCATACAACCTTACTCCAATAAAAAATGAAAACAGAACTTTTCACATCTTAAAAATACGAAGTCATTCTTTAGTTTTCCAAGTAATTTTCTTAATAATTGAGAAAAACCGGTAAAATTCACGGCAATAACGGTTTTTTCTGTTTTGATTTAGTTTTTTTTTATAATTCCAAAATGTCGGAAAAACCAAATGGAAGAAATTTAAAACAATGAAATCATTACCATAGTTTATTTGTTAGTTTCCAGTTTTACCTATTATGAAAACCACTTAGAAAAAAAATAACTTTCTTAATCACCTCTTGAAATTCGAAAAAAAATTCCTGGTAAAATAAAAAAAAAGAAAACATTCAAAACAATGAAATCGATAGATTCTTATCATACCCTAATATTGATCGTTTTTCTATAAATTTGTTTTAAAAAAAAAATAAAAATTTTCCAAAAGAAAATTAATCTCAGTAAATTTAGCTTTTTTCTACACGTTAGATCTAAAAGTCTGAAACACCTAATGAAAATCTGGTCTCTACTTCAAATTATTCAAAAATACCGTCATTTGTTCAAAGCAATTCAATTTACTAGAATTCGTCAACAAACGAAAATCGGACATACTTCGGAAATGAAATTTGTGAATTAAGAACGCACCAAACTCTGTTCACGTCTAAAATAAGTTCGATGTCAATTTTATTTGTTTTAAAATTTCGCCACATTTACATAGACACGGTGTAACCGTGCCGCTATGAAAAATCGTACACTGAGAGCTTAGTACCGGTGGATAACGCAGTTTTACGATGGTTCGACGAGACTGTGTTTTGAAAAACAAATAATTTTTTTATATTACCAAATTATTCTAAACTTTTTCATTTTTTTAACTTTTTTTCTCGGTTTTGCTCATTTATTAAAAATCTACATAAAAGAAATCAAATAACGTCTTCCTTATGCTTTTACTGAACAAAATTATCTTTCAGAGAATATGTCACACATTGAACATTGGGTAGAAAATATGATTCTTATATATTTAAAGTAACGAAATTGTTAACGCCGTAGCGCCGTAAATATTTATTTGCTTTTTCTTTATGTTTTTTTACGGGTTTTCCCCAATTAATAAGAAAATCTCTTAGAAAATCAAAAAATAACCTCCCAAATACACCACACAAATCCAAAATGCTTTAAAAACGTTATATGATTTCAGTAAATTGTCTGATACAAAAGATATGAATGGATGGACAAAAAAAATAAAAAAAATATTATAAAATTGTACATCAAAGTTAAATGTTCTTAGAATCCGAAATTCGTCTCATAGTTTCGTTTCAAGATAACCCCAGACAGCAAAAATAACAACCCCAAAATTATTATCCAACTTGTTTCGAGTGAAAAAAAATTTGTAAAATTGTTTACATAGCAATAATAGATTTCTACCGAGAGGGAGGAATGGTGGTGATAATCGTTAAAACCCTCGCAGATATACTCTATCCTTGGTGTCAATAACTTTTTAACAGACGAAACTATAATGTGATATTCAAATTGGATCAACTGAGTAATAATATTTTATAAATATAAATTAGGTGCACAAATTATATTTGTCAGTACACATATATAATTGTAATCACCGCGAGTATTGTTTAAAATAGTTTCGAGTCGTGTACCGATTGTTCTAAAGATACCGTGTAACAGTAAATTTATAATGTAAACAATGACTTACCGTTCGCAACAAACAATAGAATAACTGTGATCCAAAACATTGTTTCCACATGTACGATCTTCAAGACGAGTCGACGTTAGATTATATAAATCGTAAAAAGCATTCTGTAAACAAAGATACAGGTATTACAATTTTTTTTTTCAGTAAATAGCAATATAAGTCATTATAGTTTAAAGTGTACAGAAGTGTGCTAAGAAGTTATATTAGATTTGCTAAGATGCGTATTTTTCGGTTCGTAAAAATGCTCCAATTTTCATGTACTATCCCTTAAAAGATGCGAATTTTCTGTTTGACACAACATTATTAAATAAAGAAAATCATTTTTTAAGTTCCCAAAAGTTGTTTAGAAAAAAAAATGAAAAATGAATAATAATTATTGACGATACATTGGTACGTATATTTTTGTTGATTTCTGGATAAACTATTTTCGGCTATAACCTTATCAACTTATCGACATCGGCCCAAATAAGTTTTGATTTCATTGATTTATCAATGTGTGTATAATATTTATTTTTATAGATTTGTACAAATATTTAAATTAAATATTAATTTTAAATCGATACCAAGTTTACGGTGAGTTACGCGACCTAATATTCTAGACATCGGTTCTTAAATATTGATGTGTTTTTATATGGTTAAAATTGTTCATATCAATATTATTGTTATAATGTCGAAATGATTAATATTAAACTTTACAGAAATTTACATGTATATATTATAATATATCACTATAAAATTATACAAACAGTCAGAACATATTATATAATCTTCTCCTTATAGTGCAGGATTCTGATAGATTAAATTTTTATAGATTTTTTACAAAGTTTCAATGAACTTTCAAGATTTGAATAACATAAAGTTTTCGACAACAAAAATGAAATAAGCATATAGTTATTAAAAAAAAAAAAAAAAAAACCTATCGGTTTTATTCTTTGTGTTCTATGTGGTAAACATACAGCGAAGGATTCAAACATATTTGCAAAATTGTAATCTGTCAAACAAAAGTTCCACAATATTTCCTCCCGACATTATATTCTATACAATACTTTATCTATTATGTTTAGGAAAAAAAATGTAAACACAATATAAATACACTTTCAGGTTTCTAGAAATAAGCTAAGAACACATTGTAAGTCTATGTCACCTTGTCACCTTGTACTCTATGTAAGCATAGATTACAAGATGAGTAAAACGTGACTTATCACGTTTTACATTTTGACTGTGATATACCTGATGATGAATTTTGATTTCGAAACCGGTCGTATGATAAATTTATCATAATACTCCAGGCGACGCATTCATTCGTTTATTTTTTTTACTTTTATGTATACATTTTTTATTTATATATTTGTTTACTATATTTATTTACGAGTATTAACCATTTTAATAATTTTGTTTTTACTTTATTATTTTATTAGATAAGAGTTTGCACGAAATAAGACGTCTATTGTGTACAGAAGGATAATTAAAGAGATTATGATAAAGATCTCAAATATTTCCGGTTTGATGTAGTGTGCAGAAAGATGAATCATTTAGCCCATATATTAAACCATGATTCATAACATTATTGTTATTATAAAATATTATTAGCATTATCGATTTAAATATCAGTGTTTAATATAAATGCGTACTAGCCATAATATAAAAACATGTTGGTACTAAAACATTAGTATACATAAACAAATTTGAAAAATATCATTTCAACTATTTACTAACAAAGTTATTCAATTTACTTATGTTTTTACATATAAGCATACTTTATTAGGTTACTTGCATAGTCTATAAAATTGTAAATGGAAATATAGTTTACGGTAGATACGGCACGTTCACTAAGTCCTTATATTACGAAAACAATATCATGTTTTATTCCCATAAATTTGTATTTTAAACCGATCGATTACATAAATAATTTAACAATTTATAACAAAAAAAAAAAAAAACATCAACAAATTAAATATTATCCACAATTCGGTTAGGTTAAGTGTTTATTGATGTGTAACAATTTATTCAGACACAATATAAGACGATTTTTGAATTAGGACACATTTTTAAATAATATCAACCAATAACACCGAAGTATGTGTTTTGCATAACTAATGCGCCGCGTCAATATTGAAGCTCGTTATGGGTATTAATAATTTTATTTCTAAATTGAAAATGGTAATTTAGAATGTATAGAACATAATAACTTGTCTAAAAACTTTCAACGTAATATACTCTATGTAATACCTATTAGGTATTATTTAACCATCGCCGATTATAAAATATCATATTAAACACAAGTTTAACTATGTGCTTTATTATAATAATATAATAATAATTAGTATCTACCTACCTACTTATACTTAGATAACTAAGTTCATACTAAATATTTCGTTCTTAAACCTTATGAAAACATAAGAAGTTTAATGTATGTAAATTTAGTCAGCCTAATATAATGTTATTAATTTCAAGAGAAATGCGATGTAAAATGATTATATTGGCTTAAGGAAGATGAACGCAGTTTACTAAACGTTCTTTAATTTTGTGAAATCTAAAAATTATAATTTTTCTTTTCATAAACAACTTAAAGATAAGACTTTTCTATTGGCTGATGCCCATTTAAAGGGAAAAGGTATGCGGTCGTTTTAGACCGATAAGCTGACATAAAATTTAATCACTACTACTCGCTTCATTTTAATTTTGGAAACGTATTATATCAGCACCTCAGAACTAAACGAACGTGAGTCTAAAAATTACGTCATACTATATTATTAACCATGGCTGTATAGCCATGTATTAAAATTGTCTAGTTCTTTCTCAATATCAGTTGACTTACCTATTTTTTTTTTTTCCCCCCGGAAGGTCTAAACTTCTGACGCTCATTATTTTAGACTATTCTTGTTTTTTCGTCGTACAAAAAATACAGTACAATACGAATTATTTTTATACTAATACTACTATATTTATCATAAAATCTAACATGAACCTGTGAGTTTTAGTATGTAATGAGTTGAAAATTTTGAAAATTATATTTGAATAATAATTACTATACTATACTACTAATTATATACTAATATTATTAGTAGTATACAAATATATTATTTACTATCAAAAGTTGGGCCTTCATCGTTGAAAATATTAATCGGATTATTTAAATTATTATTATTTTGGAATAGTATTGGACGTAGATGTTTAACAACATCGACGATCAACAATAACGAAAGTACAAATTAATAGGCATATATTGTTACCAACAATAACGGTTATAACCAAAACGACTTAAAATTAAATATTTGTTTACTATACATTGTTACTTTTTACAAGCATATTTTAAACTATTTATTTAATTTTATTAATTTAAATTACTTTTACTATTTGTATATCATATTAAACTGTATTTTCATTTTTATGGTGATACGAAAATAAATGAATAATAATTGTAGAATATATTTTAAGTTTACGAAATGAGTTTATAATTTACATTCAATATGGTTTTCATTGTATAATATAATCTGTACGTCATTTTAAACTGTAATCATAATAATTAAAACTAAATCGAAAAATGTTAACATTTTTGCAATGTTATAATGTCAAAAATGTCGACAAGATAAACTATATAAATGAAGTTAAGTTAGGGAAAGTTCAAAGACGAATATGATTGGACTCCACCCACTACAAAGAATAATAAAAGTGAAATTTCAAAAGTGTACAAACTAACATCGGAATCATATTATTAGGCCGTGTATTCTCATACTAGTATAACAAATTGAGTTATAATAATTATTAAAAATATCGTTTTTCAAAAAAATTTTAATTATTAAAGATATAAATTTATATTTTAAGTCTTTTATTACGATCTATCCTTGTAAACATTGATTATATTATTATATAAGTACCGATTTAAGTATTGCAGTTTGTTCTAATAAATCACTAACATCAAGTTCACAGATAAATAACTTAAAAGTGTGTAATAATTTTAACTCGTGTATTTCATTTGGATTTAAAATGTTAAAATGCAGAAACCTTATCAAATAATAACGAAAACAATCGCTTTTTAAAATAATAATTAACAAAAAAGTTACCTACGTCAGTATAGTTTAGTCTTGACTAAAACAGCTATTGCTTAACTATATTACTAAGTACTTGACGATCACATACTTTATTTTAAAATACTATATATCAAGTAGGTTATATGCAACTATTATACAATTTTAGTCTACAAATATAAATTTAGCATAATTCACCATCCACACCGTACGCTCCACAATTTAATTGCGTCATAGTTCACTCGGTTAGTTAAAGTTCCAACTGCTGTATTATATATTATTTAGCAACAACATCATTAATGTTAAAATGTCGTCGATTAAAAATACATGTATCACGTTCAATTTAATTTCGGTAGGTAAGTACCTATTGCTTTGAAGACCTAATTTTTTATTTCGTTGTTACTTTATATGCTAGACACGGAAGGAAAACACGTCTTTTCGGAAAATCGAAAACACGTATTGGTGGCTACGTCGTCGATTTCAAATTCGTGTTCGGAATAACGCAATTGCGACATTTCAGGGGAAAAAAATTGACTTTACATACACGTATAAATATATATATGTATAATATATAGGTACGCGCTAGTCTTCAAAGACTGCGTGTGTATTATACACAGAGAGAAATATATGTATGTGTATATATATATATATGTATTGAATAAAGGGTAGGACAGGAGAGGGTTAAACATGGTTTTGTACATCAGTCGGAAAAATTGAAAATCGTTGTAAATCAATTTCAATTCACAACTGCTGACCTTACGGAAAATGATTATTCTAATACAAAATGAACAATATCCGTGTGTGCATATGCCAAATGCGCCGAACACAGAAATCTATTTAAATTTAGCATTATTTTGTTCGTCGCAAAGCGATTCAAAAATAATAAATATAGTATAAAGCGATATAGTATGTTTTTCGGTTTACGCTACGTACACGATATTATTCATAAACATTTTATACGACGATTACAAAACTATACAAAATATAAAACCGAGTTAATATACTACGTGACTAGTGGATGAAAAATATTGAATCCTTTTGCAACATCAAAGGAAAAACTTTGTTTGTTTTTTTTTTCCGATGTCCACAAAATTGGTACTGTATTCTAATATTTATAACGAGCAGACGTGTCCTCACACACACACACCCATACACACGCACACGTTATTATTTATTATTGTAACTTGTATTCCACTGATGTATTTCAGAAATATATACTTACTTGTATTAAATTTCTTTTTCTTTTTGTTTTTTTTTTTACCTCCACAAGATTAAATTTAATCTATTTTCTTTGGTATAACAACGAAATGCAGATTGATTATATTTACTACAATTATTTGATTTTTCAGGGAAAAATATTTAATTTAAGCTTCAGTAAACGAAGATGACCACACAAACTATTGAATGATAGAAAAATAAAATTGTTCAACAAATTTGAACCAAGAAAGAAGTGTAACAATTTGTTTATCAAATAACTACCTACTTATATTAAGATTTGCACCGTTATCAAGTTGCTAATTAAATATTTTAAAATGGTTAACTATATATAATATAACCATCTAAAAATTTGAAAAAAAATCAAATGATTGTGGTGCAAAGCCGAAACTAAGTTATTGCTTGTAGCACATTTTTTACACTTCTACGTCTTAGTATAAATTGTTGTAACATTTTATTTTATTTTATATACAAAAAGTGAAATATAATCTCGAATCAACAATTCTTTTAAAAATGGTAATTTATTGATTTATAGGTATTCTTATTTAAATAGAGTTAATTTAGAAAATACGCTTCAGATATTGTCTAAACCATAAATAATATATAAAATAACTATAACTATATATATTTTCTATTAGGAAAATAACTAAGGTTCGGTAGTTATTGTATACTAAGAGGGCGAATTGAATTAGTTATAATGTTAATTAAGTTTTTGACGAATTCCAAATATTTTTCATATTCGTGATGATGTTTTACGGGTTAATCAATCAAATTTGCCCTCTCGCTATAAGACGATTAAGCTTCAAAATTACTCATAGATGTGCTCCCTCATTGTTTTATATATAGTTCTAAACACTTTTAAAAAATATGTACAAATAAATGTTCAGCAAAACAATAATGTTACATGCGAATTTTAATTAATATTCGCAATAAAATTGTTTAAATAAATATATTCGGAAAAAATGCTCAATGTCTTCATTTTACTTTGCTGAATTAAACCAACATTACTATACACTACTCTAAGACTAACGTATAGTGATTTCTATTTTATAACTATACACTAGGATATATATAAATGATAATCAATTCAAATTCCATTGTCCTTCTAAAAAAAAAAAAAAAACCGTTAATTGTATTATTTAATAATTTAATAATAGGTTAATAAATTTCCATAACTTTTGTCTGTCAAATTAATAAAAAAAAATTGTTACTCTATACAGAAAATACGAAAAAAGGTTTTCGGATTACCTGCGTATAAATTGGTCGTAAATAATATACCCGAAAACCGAGATTTTTTTGTACAACCATTTATTACGAGTTATTATTTATTATTGTTTGTTTGTTTAGTGGTATACCTGCTGGTATTATAAGATACAAGAAATAACTATACTCGTGGACTATATATCGTGATCTTCAATTATTATGAAAACCCTATAGGTTTATATATCGAAAAATGTTTTCAAAATCTATCACAATAATAAATATAAAACTAGTGTGTATGTGTTTACACATAAAATAAAATCACTATTATTTTATTATATTTAATGCATTTTAAGTATCAATAAAAACGTTTACGAAATAATATAAAAATCGATATTGATTGGGAGTCTTTAAAATGTTTTATTAAAAGCTACGGTGATAATAATATTAGGCATTTAAATCTTTCTTTCTTCTCGAGAAAAGCAGACGTTTAAGAAAGCAGCAAACTTTTAAGTTTCTTAATATCATTTATTGTTAAATAAATATGAATTATTTGGCTGGAGCGAAATTATTATCATTGCAGAAGAGGGTGTTGGGAAACCTTTCCGTTTGTTTTGGCCGTGAAATATTATTTATTGCCATCCAGTGTTTGTGGCCACGTAATAATCCGTAGACGAATCCATTGGCGGTGAAAAAATGCAGTTTGGTTGCCAAAAAAAAAAAAATAATAATAATAATAATAAAAATAAAAATAACAAGGGGTGAAATAAAATAGGAGGACGAGGTGGCGGGGAAAATGAAAACTCAGAATCAAAAACTTATATCTTTATAACCAAATTAAACTCTGAACGCACCCTGATTAAATTTTTTTTCAAAGCTCGGGATGTAATAAATATTGCACACAGCGCTGCCAAAATTAATGATAAGTAATAATAAAGAAATATACATACAATAATATAATATTATATACATTCAATATATATATATATATATATATATATATATAATATATTTATACGTGCAGTACACAGCTCTTCGCATAAAGAAGTTTGAAAAATGTAGGCAGAGTTTTTTCTTTGACAGGAATTTTTACGAACTTTAAGCATTCCATTGAAGCTGTATGAGATCTTTTTCGCCGAGCCAACTATACGAGTATTATTAAGTTGTTATCGTTTTTTCAATTAATGAAGTTAAGCAACTTTTTTCCTTGAAAAAAGGACCGCGAAACTATTGTTATGAAGTTCTTCCATTAAAATATAGTTATCGTAGGCATTTTTAGAAGTCTGCAGTGCGATTATATTTTTGTCTATCCCATCGCATAATTATTATTGTTGTTATTTTTATTAAATCGAGAAAAACAAAGGAATTCGAATTCGCTATTTAAGATCAGTTATTAAAAAATAGCGACTGACGTTTCAATACCAAACACAAAATCATAATAACATCGACTTATATTACATTCTACATCATCGTACTTAATATTTGTAATAATTTACGTACGTACAGGTATTTACGTACATTATATACATGTATATATGTCCCATAGATAGTTGTACGAAATCATGAACCATCATACAATATTGAACGGGCAATTTATGTTTATTAATCCATGACACAAATATTATATTTATATTTTTTTTTTTTTTTTTTGTTCAATTAGGCATCAGCTAAAAACCTTGTTTTAAGCTAATTTTATCTATTTCTAACAAAAATAAAAAATAATAACAATACTAATGGAACATCTTAATAAAATGGTAAAGTTAACATTACAAATCATGAAATTTTTATTCAGAGTATTTAAGAATTTAAAATTGTAATTCTTAGTGATTTATCTAAAATTATCATCAAGACATTTTATTTTAATTATTGCATGTATACGAGGTGATTTTCTAGCATGCTCGCCCCATTTTTATGGTTACAACATAAACAAAATTAAAATTTTGATTTATGGAATTTAAATTTTAAGTGAAACGAAGAAGCTTGTGATTTTACAAAGATGTTTATATATTTTATATTTTTTTGTCGACAACTTTTCTACCAGAGAACTTGCTCCGTTTTTTATATGTAGCGCCTTTTCGGAAAGGAAATCGGTGCCAAGCTTCCGATTATACATTCGTAAAGCCGGTAGTTTCATGTGTGTTGCATAGAATTATGGTCTAACCTAAAGTATTGAATAATTCGCCGGTATTCTCGTAACGGTCGTGTGCATTTTAAACAGACTTCGGAACTCCCAGTATGATAATATTGTCATTGAGACAAAAGGCATACCTGCCTTAACGAAATTACTCGTTAATTGAACATTGTTCGGGGACAATATATCAACGGTATACTCGTATATAATATATACGTATAGGTTTTACGCGTCGGCTGACGCGGTATTAACGTTGGGTTGTGGCGTTCGTTTCTTTTGTGCAGCGAATTTCCACGGGAGAATCGATCCGAGATTTTACGGGGGACCCGTAAATTGAAGGCGTTTATCAAGTGCAGCTCACCCGCGGGACTCCGGTCGTGTGGGCCAAAGACACGCCGCAACACATCACGCGCGCGACGTCGGATGTGCATCGGTGATGGCAGATTTATTTACTACCGAAGTCGCGGTGTCCGAATGATATATTTACGGACGGTAATTGGACCGGGGATACTCTGAACGGCTTGTAAAAACCACGCTGAACTCCCTGGGCACGGATGTAAAAAAAAAAAAAATAGCTATTTGTTTTTATGTGTATTTCATATAATAATATATAGGCGATATAAATCTTTATTATATATATATATAGGTAGGCGCAGTGGCAAATTTACAAGGAGGAGGGGGATTCATAGGGTCCGGACCTCATTGATACCTTAAATAAGTCATAACCACATAAAATATATTACATGATTTTGTTTTTCATGTAGGTGATTATTAAAAAAAAATATAAATATGTATTTTCTTCTGTCATAATATTATTCTTTATTGTCATGGTTACCACTTTGCCAGTTAGATACCGAAAAAGTGCAATGATAGCGATAAAGTTCTTCTACGATATTACTTCGGACTAGTATCCTGATGTCCGTTACTTTAATAATTTTCGTTTATCAGTTATCATATTTCAAATATCATGATTATATTTTAAACGGAAATTAAAGTATATAACTAAAAAACTCTTTTATGATTGGACAATAGTCTAATAAATTTAACATTGTAATCACTAGTCAATAAAAAATCTTCCCACCAATATAATTGATAATACAAACATTTTTTCGTTAGATGAAAGAAAAAACAAATTTAGTTTTTTTTTTTTTTTTTTTTTGTTGTGTTTTTTCGGTAGAATTTGTTAAATTTCCCCGAAAATAGTGACTATTGCATTTTATTGATTATATTTTTCCGGCTACTTTCGTTATTTTTTTAATGAGATGACTGTTTTTTTTTTTTTTTTACTTCAAATACCTCTATAGACCTCCCTTCGAACAAGAGAAGAAATTGTGTAAATTAAGTATGACGTTGGTATCAAGGATAGTATGTTTTTGGGGGGTTTCGAAACCCCACTCATACTATTTGCATGATCAAATTTCACCATGTATTATTGTAATATTCGGTTGTTTGTTGGTTTACGAAATATATAATCTATAATAAAAAAATAGGCAGGAGAAAATAATTCGACCCTAGTGATGGAGCTCTGCTGTTCATAGTTGATTTTATATTTTGAATCAATACGTTTATCGACATAATAATACTGTTGCTTATCTTATACTGGTATGAATGTACAGTAATTATTATTATTTCTATAGGGTATGTTCTGACGAATATTTATTTTACGAGTTAAAAAATAAATTAAACACACTTTATTTTCATTATAAGGTAAGTGTGCATGAAAAATAAATTGTAAATACCAAGGTGTATGTAAAATGTTTTTCAGCCAAAAAAGCGATAACGGTAAGTATACGGGTTTTGCTACGAATAATTCACAATAGCTATTGAACATAAACATATTGCAATAATGGAATGTTTTGTATACATGTATACATCATTAGTACAAAACCTTTTAGGAAAGTTAAATGGAGGAATGGTTAGATTAATGGATGCGAACTATGTCGAAATGACAATATATTTATATATATATGGAATTAAAATAAAATTTAATTAAAGTGTAACGTTGTACTTTTATGTAAACAACTGTGCGTTTGAACAATATCCTCAATAGATTATAACAGAGACCATTGTAAGAATAAATATCCACTACTCCAACATTATTTGTTAGTAAATATAACAATTTTTATTTTTGCAACACAGACGTAAAACAACCAACACGTAAATAATTTGAATAAACAATATAATTTTTTTTTTTTTTTTTTTCGGTAAAACGAAAACTGTTTTAAAATCGTGTTTATAAATCTGAAAATTTGCTAAATTAAACCACATTTTATCATATTTAAAATCAAATTAATCAGTTGAAAACAGAGTATTTATACGATTATTTGTGTATTAATGACAATTATTAACGTCAACACAATATTTTATAAATTGTTTAATTTAACTGTTTAAATATTTTGTGTACATTTATAATTCCGCGGAAACGTGCATTTAATTTCATTATTTTTTTTTTTTTTTAGATCGTTTGAAAAATAATTTAACTTAAAAAAGATTTTCCCTTCCCTCCACCACCTTAGAGAAGGTACAATTTCAAGGTGTAATTATTTTCACATATATTTAGAATCTATGTTCAGCCCTGTAATTATTTCACTCGTATTTCAGTTTATCCGACCGACAGCTAATAATTAGCTGATGACCACCAAGCCGACGAGTAGACACAGCTACAAAAACAAGATGAAAAAAAAGATGATAACCCCTTTTTTAATGATACAATTTTTGAAATATAAAACCCATCTTTGGTTTAAGGAAAATTAGGAAATTATAATAATTATATGGTATCTAAAACTTTGACTAAAACGTAGGTAGGTACTTTCAAAAAATTATACCTCACGCATCGCGTCGATTATCCATCGGAAACTTTTTGTTAAACTAGATCATTTTTTTATTCCTGTTCCGAAGTTGTTATTAAGTATTCTACAAGAAAGTTCGCAATATAGTTTGAATGTAATCCACGGTGAATCCTTTTTCGAGGTAAACGATAATCTCAACCGAACTAAAGTCTTAGTTTGACAAAATGTCTGTTAAGTACATTATAAGATTTAAACTGCGAAAATCATAAAACTTTGAACCTAAAAATAAAATGTCTCTACTGTACTATAAAATATCCATTTGTAAGATTCGTAATACTTTTATAACGTATGATCGGAGGAAAAAATATGTAGTAATATTGTATCATAGAAAAATATTCAATTTATAGTGGGTAGGTACAATTGTTTCTAAATGAAAAATGTCGTACACAAACGTAAACTTGCTTATTTCTCTATATATAATTCATTAACCATATCTGATTATAACTGAATTATTGTTTATATAATGGCTATAGAAGAATGTTAACAATAACTAAAGGAAAAATATTTAAAAAAAAAACATATTTTTTGCGAATCTTCCAAGTATATATTAGATAAACTAATTTATTTTTCGTTTAAACCATATAAACTGCGGCATTTTTAAAACAGCCTTCATCTATAAACGGTCGACTTTTTTCAGAGTTTAATAAATATATGAAATATTTATCAATATCGAATGCACTAGAGTTATAAAAACTTCAAAATATTTCAACTAATAATATTTTGAAGTTTTTAAATACGAAATTTGATGCGCAGTTAATAAAACACTATTGTATGATCCGCCTTTGCATTTTATTAATAATATTTCATACAAAAATAATAATTTATAAATATTCTACAAAGTGAAAAAAATAATAATTGCTGATTTACTTCTCTAACAGACATTGTAAATAAACAGTAAATTAAATTGTTTTTCCAAACATCATTTCTATTCTGAATACCAATTCGGAAATTATCGTTAACAATATAATCGCATTTAGCTGGTTTTGTAATTCAATATTTGTTTTTATTTCTGTACTTACTAAATTTCCATTGTCCCATAATAATTGTTTCAATATTATAAATTTTAAGCTATAATTAGTCCTGTACTATACCCAAATAAAAAAAAAAATAAAAATAATAATAGTTGATTTTATTTTCTTACAACGATCATAACTTATGTAGTTATGTAGAACAGACGCATAATGAGCATAATTATGCTATTTTTAAAAAAGAATACGATAATGAATACACATGATGAAACATTGTGTTCGGTTTTTTTTTTTATTTATATATATACATATAATATATTTTCTATAAATAATATGTATGCTTTAGTCATTTTAATCAGTTTTAAACTCAAAATCGGTTGGAACTAGTGAAATTCACTACAATAAAAATTCTCTATATTCTACGGTTATAGACGCCTAGACGAATTTATTGCAGCAATTGTTTAAGAATTGAGAAATTCTGTTGGTTCTCTGAACAAGAAATTAAATACGAAGTTATTTTAGATATGTATACCACTATAAGATCAGGTTCTATATTATGTATATAAAAAATACCAATAGGTAATAGGTATTTTTAGTCATGTGTGTAGACTGAGGGTTGTTAAAAAAGCGTATTCGTAAAATAAAAGTTATTAAAGATAAATATATATATGTCACATCCACTTGATGAAATTGTCCATTTCATGAAAAGTTATCTAGTTTATGAAATGGAAACCGTTTTTTTTTCACTTAGTGAAATTTTTGATATAATTTAATTATTATGAAATACAAATTTCATGAAGTGGATATAATTTGACGAAATGAATACTAAAATTTCATGTCGTGTAAAATCTTTCATCAAATAGCCATCCACTTGATGAAACAAAATATAATATACATTTAATTCACTGTCATTGGTTTAATTTATTTTATTTTAATTTTTATTTATTTATTTAAACAATGAATTGAATCGTGACAACGACTATTACATTTAGGTTTAGCTTTTAAACATGTGCAACGTTTATAGAATTACATTTTTTTTACACGAACAGCTTAAATACCCTTGGCCCCCTGATAAAGCAGCAACTGTTTCGCGAAGTCTTAATTCTTTGTTATTTTTTACTTGATAAACATTAATAAAATTTGATGTGGCCAGTTCCAAATTTTTAGATCCAAACTATCCTTTTAATAGTCCATGCTGGGTTCCTATACGGATCATATTATTTCTTTGATCTATAATAACACCATTTCATTAAGTATATGTGACATGTGTATATTATATATCATTAACTATGATGGAGCGCAAAGGTATATATATTATATATATAAAAGAATAATAGAATCAATACAAATTGAAAAATTGTTAGAAAAAAAATGAATTTCGACAATATATATCAGAATCAATGATTAAATGACGAAACGAAAATGTCACGACAAGAATTATTATTTCAATACAACATTGTACAATTCTAAAAATAAAAAACATGCGGCGGATTTAAGGGGTATTTTAGCCATTAGCACCTTTAAATAACAAAACTGACTTGTTTTTTTTATTCTCTACTCTATTTACCCGTATCATGGTCAAAACAACCAATTACCACACGAATCGTTTGTGTGTCGGAAAATAAGGCAGGAAAAATATAACAACTCGTTGATTTCAAAACAAAACCGTCTGGCATTATTATAGATACAATTTTATACCATATGAAATCTAAATAATTTATTCGACTCGAAGATAAAACACGAAAATACAACGCTAAAGGAACATTATTTTGCAGAAAGTATCATCTAATTCGGAAAGTATTCTCACAAAGGTACAGAAAATTGAAATATTTGAATAATATGATATTTTATTTACAAACCTGTCGCAAAATAAGAGATTTACACATACACATAATTATTTAAGTGTTACTATAAACGAATTTGAGTGTCATGTTTCCGAAAAATTTAATTTCATAGTCAACAATTTAGGTCGACCAGTAACAGTCACCTAACAGTTTTTACATTAAGTATCCCTTAAGTTGATTGTTCAATAATTACATGCACTTATAACCATCCCGTAAATTAATATCGTGCATAGATTACCTATTATATCTGATTAAAAATAAATATGAATTAATATTGTAGATACATTAATGAAAATTATTCAGAAAATGCAATCGAAGTGTCACGCGATTTTTTACGGTAATTGGTTTTTCTAAAGAAATATTCGTGGACGTTTAATTGAACTTACTATACTTAGTACTTATTGCTAAAAATGAAGACGATACTTCAGCATCTACAATTCTATACAACACTAAAATATGTTCATGAGGTTTTATACAATAAATTATAATAATTATATGTAAATAACAGCTTATTGTAATACACAAATCGTAAACTATAAAATAATTGGACACAAATTATCAATATAATCAATAGGTACGCGAGAAATAACTAATTGTGTGCATTTTTAATTTTGACAATTTGTAACTACGTCTACCTACTTATTTTAATTACGTCAAGCATCAACTATGTATCCGGCCGTAACTAAGAATAATACCTACACCATTTTAGAGAACTGTAACGCATACTGGCTATGCATATGATACGAGGGAATATGTTATACCTTGAATATGTTTCAAATTTTTACTTAGAATTTAAAATCAAGTTACAATTATGACTATGGTGAGACTATATAGAATTTTAAATATATACGTACATGGATTACGTTTAATTCTCGAAAATAGCCGAAACCGAAACGATAATATAAATATATATTATATATATATATACTAGTTGTATACGTGCAATTATATTCGTAAAAGTAATACGCACGCACAGACTCGTCGAATGTCACTTATTTTTTCCAGTTCCTTGGTCACCCTTTTATCATTAAACGCAAAGTTTTTAATACACGTTGGTTTTATGTTCACAAGTCAAAACTTTTATTCTAAATATCTATTTTCTTCCAATCCGCCAAACCTTCCGAACAAAAACTTATTCAATGTCGAAAATGTTGAACTCTTGGAATACTATTGCTTTTCGGTGAAATAATTCGTCGGCAACGCCGAAAGAAAACGAAAGTAAAAATGTGAATAACAATACCAAAACCATGTCCTTTTTTTTGCCAAGTAGTACTCATCATATACTGCATTCAATACTAATAATGACTAACAGAAATATAGATATGTAAGTTGATTAATTATGAACGACTTGCACTTCATATATTTTAAAAGAAAAATAGTTAAAATGTTATCTATATAATGTGCTTTATTAAAAAATATTCTAAAATTATTTAAACGTGTAAAAATATTGCTTGATTACAGGTAATATCATTAACGTACTTTACTTAAAATACGAAAAACACGGATTGCTTATAAATTATTCAAACGAAAACACACACACACAAATAACATTTTTAAATCAATAGGTTTCAATTGTTTTTGGAAATTTGTTCACAGGTTGAAATAGATTGAATTGTGTACATATTTGGAAATGATAAAATAACATAAACAAAACATGAGTCGATATTAGATCAACTCACGTTTTACCATAGTATACCTACTATATAACTACTTGGATAGAAATACGTTTCTTTAATTTTCTGAAATACAGAATAAAATATACGCATCAATTAGTAACATTTCTATTTAATCTATTAATTTTATCTCTAAACAACCTACCAAATAAAAATTCGTTAAAAAACTAGCAAAATTAAAATGTCTATGAATAGCTTAAAAGTGCTTCAAATATTTTGTAAAACGTCTACAAAAGCAAATACAAATGTTCAGTCAAAATTTCAAGTCTCTAGGAATATTTTTAAAATCAAAAAATGTCTTATTTAATGCACCAACTACATACAATATTCTTTATGAAAAGGTGCTATATTCTCTACACCGGAACAATATTACTCTTTGTAAAATTGTTTACTGGCAGAAAAAAAAATACACATATCCTAGTAATTTCAATTTGGAAATTTAGAAATTTCGCTACGCATCGAATCTAAAACAGTCAGACCAACGCATTACTCGTACAACGACTTCATTGGACATTTTTTATTAATAATCAACGATAGAAAACTACCAATAAATCTAACATACCATTATAATACAAATAAATTGCTTCAAATTATATTTCTGACCCGCTTTTAGTATTCATAGCCTTCACTCGTCGGTATACTTTGAGAATAACTCGAAACCAATACATTCATCCGGGTTACCCGTTATCCGGCTACTTTATGCTCTGCAAAGAAGAGATGACTTTATTATAATACTTGACCCGCATTCACACTTTAAGTGCAGTATTCTCGAATCGTATATTTAATAAAATTCGAAAAAAAAATCTAAACCTAACGGTAAAATGGCGTTCAGTAACAAGCGTTAGACAAATGAGAAGGATCAAATACGGTTCCTGTAATATAATCCTCAATGTTTTTATAGCTTCTTTATTGACTCAACATATTATTTCCTTATATATTAAGATATATATAAACATTATATTGCACGACCGCGTTTATCCAAATATTAATGCAATTTGGCCTTTTCTTGTCAAGTTATAAAGTACCAATACGATATTAGTTTTTCCTTTAAGGACAGATTGAACGTATGTTATAGATGAAAATCACTCCGATATTTCGTATTATTGTTGAATTATAAAGATAATCCATGCATATTGTACAGAGGAATTCAATTCGGCGAACTATTGTAAACGTTACGGGAAAACGTTTACTATGATCATATGAACAAACAAAATAAAATATACGAGTATACACAGTAAATGCAGCAAAACTCGAATGGTATTATACACATGAAGTTTAGATCATGATTTTGACATGAATCTATCAAAACACCTAATAAAATAAAACGATGCAATATAACGTATAATTCTAAATTAAAATGCATTCAATAGTTTTTATTTCAGTTCTTAATAATTTATATGGATAATATTTTTTAGATTAATATGAATTTTCTGTACCTGTCACAAATAACGAAATTAAAAATTTTGGTAGACTATCATTTTAAAATGCATACAATTTGCAATATGTCTGAAATAAAATTATGGATGCCTATCTCAGATTGTATTTAAATACAATAAAAAACATACTTACGACTTATGAATAACGAATTTCCATCAAACAAATTATTAAAATTACATCTTCGGTTTCAGGGAAGAAGTCAATTTTCGGAATTATTTTTAATTTTAAAATCGTATCTTACATATTGTGTTTCCCTTTACTTTTTCTTTTAATTTAAATGATAAAACATGTTTATATTCTTATAACAGCTGTTATACAGGGAATTAAGATATCTTAAGTAACTAAGCTGTATACTTTTCGTTTGATAAAAAAGCCATTATAAGTCGTATAATTATATGGCTCATGTTATTTAGAATGTCTGCATTTAGGTTAGGCCATTAAGCAATTTAACCATTTGGCAATTCTGCCGCTGTCATTTAGTTATTTTAAAAATTTAATTTGTTTGCATTGGGAACAATACGAAATTGATTTAAGCCTTAGGTCTTTCTCCCTAGAAACCAAAAAAAAAATTTTGAATGGGTATAAGATTTCAATTTTTAATTTTTTTTTTTTGTATAACTATATTATACACACATATTACGCAAAACTATATCATGTGTGCAAGTGTAAATGTTTGGAATAATTATAATATTTCCAATCGCTGTCTATAATAAATGGCATTTACAACATATATCCGCTCGACCAAAATATGTTAATATGTTTTCCAGCCGAATGATTTTGAGTATGTTCAAGATACAAAAGAGCCGTACACCGAAAATATTTATCTTGTAATGCCGTCAACATTCATTCACATATACATATGTTTACGTACACACCCTCCACATTCTTATCACCGCAATGCCACGTAATAATATTTTCTGCGAAGAGATAAACCGTTCTATTGTCACGCTCATTGCCCCAAACCGACAAAGGCGAAAAAATAAAATAAAACGAGAAGACGGGTTTTTGACGTCAATGATGAGAGGCCTAAGTAGTTAGGTATTTTTTTTTCTTTTATTGTTGTATTAGTATATACATTTTTACGGTTTCCCATGGCGACGAAAATGTGAAAAACTCGGACACAAAAGACACGCGGGAAAACACAAGTTTTACACAAGGCTGGGAATTACTACAAAGACGGATTAAATTGAGTTTGTCTGTTGGCACAACCACATTGGAAGAATGATGACATTTCAACATCGTTTTCTTCGGACGCCTCGAAAACTACGAGAATAATTTGGTAAGAAAAATCGCTTATAGTAGACCAGATGGGATTCTCTCATAACAAATTATAATTGTTCTTTGTCCCCGTTGAATGATTGTCTGTCCGATTTACCGAGTATAAAAATTAAATCTGAAAAAATCTCGATAATTAAAATAATTATTAATTTCCATAGACTAAATATGACATTTGAGTTCAATTTGAAAAAAAAAAAACCCCAAATCCGTATACTCAAAGAATTCCATTATATTTTCTCAATAAATTTTATTACAAACTGTTCGATTCCCATATTTCCACGAGTTGTATTATTTTTGTAGTAGAATTTTTCACCTGTAGTGTTACATGTTCTCCAAAATTCTGCAACTTACCGCAGTCCGTGATAGCCAAGGTTATTAATTTCGCCGCTTTTACTAAAATTGAAATGATGAAAGTTATGAACGGTGAAGAATTTCATTATTCATCAAACTTTTTCTTACATATTAAAATAAAATTATTTTAATATGCTATTTTAGATAGCTATTTAATTTTACAAAAAGCTATAAGAAATAATTTTATACCTACGAATATTAATACAATTTATTTAAATTTTGTTTGGGAACATTTATAATATAGTCTATATAGTCTCTACTACGATTATATTAAAAGTTACCATAATTTAAATACACTTAAGTAATCTAATTTCATACAATGAATAATCGCAAAAACAATTAAAGTAATATAGTAAGTACTCGAATAAAATAATATATATACTTAGTGAAATAATATTATTCCTTTTACAACTTAATGCAAACACAAAGTTTGCTAAATATTATCGAATAAACTTGATTTTCATATTGTATAACGGGGAAAAAAGCGTTTTATATTCGGATATTTATTAACAACACAATAATCGGTAAACCATAAATTCTTTAACAATAAGCGTGTATAATACTACCTATTCAGCTTGAGAAAAATCCATAAAAAACATAACTCGGGACATGACCGAAACGATTATTAAACTGATTACTAACTAGACGATTGTAACAGTTTTTTAAGAGTATTGATGTGCTTAAAGATGTGTCATTATCAGTGGATACTCGAAAATATTATTTGCAGTACTTTTGGGAGTTGTTCAACTGTCGAAAATCGCGAAATCGGAAACATTTATAAAGAATGGACTCGATTCTGTTGGATTTTTTACTAGATTATCAATAATGATAAAGCTAATATTGGAACTGCTGTAATTACTTTTTTAAGTACACTAAATATTTCGCCTAGATAACTTTGGATATTAAATTTCGTTTTTAAAAGGTGGTAGAACGTACTGAAATACTTTAGTTATAGTACTTTTTTTTGTCTCAAAAAATTATCTAAGATACAATCATTTAAAGTTGATTAAAAAATATGACTTTTTTTAAACAAATTTAAAATCACGGTTTAAAAAGTGAAGAAATTTGACCATTGTTTTATGGTAATAAGTTGGTTTAATACATACATCATAACATATATTTTTACATTTTATTGAAAAATCGATTCAAAATTCCAAATGTTTACCCATTTTTAGATGGCTGTATCACAGGTAATTTTCACGATTAAAAATGCATTGCTCAAAGTTGTTGGAACTAAATGGGATAACTCAAGTCTAGTTTCAAAAATAGGTGTTGCTAATTAAAAAAAAAAAGTTTAATCATCAAAAGAGCTATAAATTAAACATTTTCGTAGAGTATAAGTATTTCAATACTCCTTTACATCTTCCGAAAACAGAATTCAAATCCAAGTTCATCAAACCGAAATATTTAGTATTACCCGGAAGCGCAAAATTTTTATTTTTTAATTTATTTCTAAAATTTCCTATACATAATTATCGAAAATCGAAACTCAATTATTACCCATAAACAAATTTTTTTTTCAAATAAAATTAAACATGTTTAGATGGGAGACTTTTTCTCGTGGAGTCGTAGAGTCGTTTTCGTTTGTAAAAACGTACCTCTCCTCCTGCCTGAATATGTACCAAGCAGTTTATTAGTGAAAAAATCGTATCTTCCCCTAGTCAATAAAATGTGCAAGGTAATTCTCATATTTTTCGAAATTAGAGAAAATATGGAAAACCTGCTCCGATAACATTAAGAACGTTGTTTGCACCTATACTTATTGACAGTTAGAATAAAAATACTAAATAAAAGTCATTATTCTTATCAATATAAATTAAAAATATGTATATTATTTTAATATTATAACCCATTAATTTCTGAACTAAATTATGTAATTATTTTTTTGTTGGAATTTCCATATATTAAAAATAAATACGAGTAGCTGGTAACGATATACTTACATTTCAATAATGAACAGCAATACTTTGGCAGAATTAATATCAAATCGACTACGTCAACAATTTTATCGAAAAAAAAAAAATAGCTCAATAATAATAACATATAAAAACCATCCTGAACGGAACTCAAAACTAAAATTAAGGACAAATCAGAGTTTTTTCATACCATTTAGTGTGTGTGTATGTGTGTACAATTTTCTGGGTATACAGTGATTGAAAAATAAACGAATTACGAGTATAGTAAAGAAAAATTCGGTAGGCACCTATATCGTATTACTAATAAAATAATGCAATAGTATTACATTACATTACTATTAGTTTTGCTTTTTTGAAAAACATATCATAAATATAAATACTAGTGAACAGTACGTAATTTTTTATTTTATTTTTATTCCGACGACTTTATACTGTTTAATGGATATACTAAACAAATAATAATTAAGAAAAAAAAAAAAAGATTATAAACGTTTAAATAATAATTGCAAGACAAACAATAGACGGGCGTCGGTAAGTATTAATAATTCCGTGTTTACTAAAAATGAAACGTGGGATTTCCATAATTACGTTGAAACGTCTACAGGCATAATAATACCACTATTTGTGGACACTTAAAAGTGGCTAAATTGCGATCTTTGTAAATATTTTATTATAAAACAAAAAAGTGTCGTTCTTAACAGAATATTTTTAATGAGGTATTAAAATAAAATAAAAAAGTTAAAAAGGTAGAATATACCACTAGGGTTATTTAATTTACATGTAACGATAAATCATCGCTAAGGGAACACGATTCTGAGCAAAGTCCGATTATACACGTTTTGAAATGTCGTAATTTTTATGATTTTCGTCAAAATTTGAAATTAAAAAGCCTTATAAGAAAAAAAAAACCCCATAAGAAATATTAAATTAGACAATTTCATATAATACTACAATACGAAAATCATCAATTGTATAATAATTTAATGTTTATTTTCTCATAGTTATCTCGTATTCCAAATAGTTGTGATTAATTATGATTAACTAAATTACGTCATAATTTAAAGAGGATAATTGCTATTATACAATTTACACGGTGCCCGAAATTAATTTAATTTACAACTGCACACAATATACCAATATACCCTATTGTACCAAAAAAAAAAATAAAAATAAAATATTTGCATACGCCTTAATTTAATGACCTAGATATGCACTTTACTTTGCATAATATGGTACTTACAAATAAATTTTATTCGGAACATTTTTTTTATTACTGACAAGGTGTTTTTCGAGAATAAATCCAAATAAAGAAACTATGAGAGATGAACTATTAAGTATTTCGAAAAAACGCTTAAATAAAATGCAATTATATGAAAAATAATATTATATTAAAATAGCATTATGATCATGAACTGCACGATTTTGTATTTGTTGCTGCGCATTCCGTATTTGCGGAAATAAAATGTGCTATTGCACATCATTTTAGCAGCTAAATTCACTCAATATTTAACAAAAGATAATTTGTATTTATACTAAGTTTTGGGAATAAGGTAGTTATATAAAATCCGTAGGTAACGACCGTAGTAACATTGCTAAGGGAACCTGTCTTGTTATTGTTTTATTAATTGTTTAATCGTGGATCATTGATTTTACTGCACGATTATTTACTTTTAAGTCGTGCTTTGAAACTAAACTTTTGATGATTTTTACGGGGCTAAGCAAATTTAATTCACATAAATAGTATGGAAATGTATGTTGGTCATTCAGAACTTTAGACGCTTATAACAGAAAACCCTCACTACGGAATTACCATGAGAAAAACCTTGGAGGGAATCTCGTATCGAATTGTTAAGCTAAATTAACACGTCAGGCTTTATTTTAACCAAATATTCAGGTATTAGAAAATGTCAAAATTGCAATTGAATCTACAGATTCGGACGTCAATATTTATACGTAATATGTTTAAAAATAATAGTTTCTAATGTTTTTGTATATATCAAGCTACGATATCAATATACGTTTTTTTTTTGTAATAATAACTAGACGTTAAACGATTTCTTGTAATTCGTGATTTCGTGTGTGTTATCGTTGTTTTAATTATTAACATATTACGATTAATACCTACTTACTAATTTTGTTTTTAGATGAACAAAAATGTAAAATAAATTACAAAATAAGATCATGTGAGATCGTAATCGTGACGATTTAAATCGTTTGCGATCGGAGAAAGATTTTTGCGCCACTGGTGATTTTTGTTCAGCATAGACGAGGGAGATTGGGAAGACAGGTTTATTTTGATTTTAGGCGATGACGAGCGAGAAAACCTTATAAAATAAGTCTCTCGCGCATACGAACAAATAAAAAATAATAATAATAATTAATACTATTCAAACGATAACACTATACCTCGAAAACTGCATAATGTGTGTATTTGACTTCCACTCGACTAGACCACGTGACGTGTTAAATATTGACGTATCGGAACGTACGGCCGACTACTAAACGATTGCGACGACCAGGCGTCACTGCGGGCGTTGTGCGTTAGGCGTCGGAGTGGCCATGTGACGATGCGTCGGGCGCGAGCGCCGCCTACGCATAAACACGCCCCCACCAAACATCCCCCTCGTACACCCGACCGCGGTACGATCGAGATACGTACCTAACGGGATAACTCGAATTTTTAAAAATTTCAAATATCAACAAATTGTTCGTTTTCCGAGAGCAACGAGCAGCATCATCGTGATCGCCCAATATGTGTTGTGCATAACGGAAACGAAAAATGCGAGGAAATTGATTTTACTAATCTGTGTGGTTTTTTTTTTTTTTTTTTTTTAATATCTGTGAAATAGCGGCGTAGTTACTGAGAAGATTAGGAGGATATATCCCTCCCCGCAAAAGTGCATTTTTTGTTAGATAATGCACCTTGGTAAACCAATATGTAATGATAGTGTACTATTTATTTTTTTCTAGACATTTTTTTTTTTTTTTTTATACATAATATAAAAAACCGTTAGGCAAATCTGGGCCAGTTAGTAATTTTTTTCAACTAGTTAAAATTAAATTAGTTTAATATAAAATCTAACTAAGTTGGAATATAAGTTAGTTTTTAAAATTTTCCAAATTTCTAACTTAAGTTATTTAGAAGTTAATTAGTTAAAAATAGTAACTTAAATTAAAGTAGAAGTTAGAAATTAGATTTTTTTTTTTTTTTTAGTTTAAAATATAAATTAAAATCTCAGCTCAAATGTAAAGTACCATGTAAATTAATTATTAAGTAGATAACTAACTAAAATTATTGGTGATGAATGAAAAATACATATCATAAACATATCAGTATATGATTTAGATCATCATGCCTTAGGGCCGACTATAATTTGTTATAAAATAATATGACAAGAAAAGTGTTTTTAACGTAAAATTGAAAATACTCAATATTTTACAGAAAATTTGTATTTCTGAAATGAAAAAAAAAGAACAAAAATAACTAGATATTTTTATTTTTAACGAGTTAGATTAGAATGTTTTTCACATTCAATTCAACTAGTTAGTTAGTGCCCAGCTTTGCAGGTGAAAAATCTAAATTCCGTACATGTTTACTAATCAAAAAAGTATTTTCCGAAAGAAAAAACACAATTTAGTAAAACTAATAGCTTCTCGCTATGCTCAGAATCTAAAACATAAATCTAAATAAGAGGAAAAGTGGGGGGCCCACAAAACGTTTGCCTAACAAATTGTCCCTTTCAAAAAAATAAAAGCACAAGTACGTGAACACAAAGTGTCAAATATTGGTAGGTTTTCCGAGAAAAAAAACTACAAAGTCGAATACAGTTTAGTGATTCACAAAAGAGGTAAAAAACCTTGAAACATATGGGTAGATTTGATTAAAATGAGTGTATTGATTTAATTGATTATATTTAATTACCGTTAGTTTTTAATATTTGGAATACACTTAAGACATGTCTTAGTTCTTATAGGCTGACGACGAATGCCCTCTCTCGCTATTTATGCTTGATATATGAAAATATATTGACCAACGCTTAAAACCTATAGGTTACAATAGTATCTGCGGCCATTCAACGTGATTTCATATTTTGCACAAAATTGACGTATAAAAACCGAAATTGGCCAAAATTGACTTAAGTTCTTTCTCATTAAAAACCGGTCAAATTATTAAAATTTCTCCGAAAAATTCACAATGTACTTATTTATTTGAACTTAAAAAAATCTATTGGACAAGCAATACGTCTTATTATTCAAAACGTTTTTAGTATACATTCTAAACGATTTTTCAGAAAAATTGAAAAAAAAAACAACAATAAACGACGAAGAAATATGCAAAACACCGATTTGTGGACAAATTTGATACTATTAAATACAAAAGTATTTTGAAATTAGCAAGCAGATAGAAGTCAAATTTATTCTTTTTAAATTTTAACTTTTATGCGTAATGGTATAATTTGGACTGTAGAAAACTCACAAAGTGGATTTTTTTTTTTTATTAAAATATTAGAAAAAAAATCATAATAATTGTATATTCTATAGAAAGTAATACTCGGATAATCCATGAACTCTCAGAGTGTATTTTTCTATATTACTTGTATATTTTATGCCATTGGCTGTCAAAAATTAAACTTAACGTTCAGAGTTATACACGCAGTTGTGTCTTGTGTATTATATTGCATAAAAATGCTTAAATATGCATAGATCTCAAGTCCCGGCGCAATAATGTTTTGTATTGTAAACGGGGCGGTATTCGTAAAATAGCGTGAAGAAATTCTAAGAGCGAATGAATTTTATTTAGAATGGTAAAACGAGCATTTTATTTTTATTTATTTTCGAAATGTTCATTGTAGTTAAGCGGAATTATTATTATATAAAAACAATGCTAATTATAATATAAATTATCAACGACAACTTTCCAGAGGAACCGTTTGTGTTGTAAAACCAACCAGCAATAATATTATAATTCTCCTTCGAAATATTCCATAAAGTTCTCCCCTGTTAATTAAACGAAAAATTGGACTTTTGGGTGCACTCGTTAAGTTTTGCCTTCTTATCGTATATAAATCGTCCGAATTTATTCACCGCGCAAATAACATTCATGCCAGAGTTATTCCGGGCCGTGACTATAATATAATATAATATTATAGTCTGTTTTCTTCGCGAATCTTAACGACGGAAAATAATCTTCTGGGTATTTATGAAAAAAAAAAAAAAAAAATGTACAAGACCCAAAAAAAAAAAACATTATTTAATAATTATTATTCTTTTGTTACAATCGCACTGCCCGCCCGTCGTGTTTAAATAATATAACGGATATATAAATATATATTTTAAAAAGTTAAATTTAACGTACCTTTCGTATTTGTCACAGTTAGTTATTATTATAATCCGCCGCAGTTCCACAAATTAATTTATGTTAAGGGGGTTATCGTTTTAATAGGTTGAGCCGTTCTTATTTTGATTGATGAATGAGGTATATACGTACGGTACCTGCCTAAGGAATACAGGAGAGGTGCGATGAGCTTATAAACTACGAGTCATTTTTTTATATACACGTATATAAGACTTTGACAGTTTAATTATAGGGTATTATATATTATATATAACATCGCTTGAATTTATGAAAAACAGCGCTTAAATAATTACAAAAACGCTATCTTATTCATTACTAACCTACTATGTCTCACGAATACCGAAAATACAAAATACTCGTATGATGAAATTTTATTTTATTTTTTTTTTTTAATTTTTTTATTTAATTCTCGTGGACAATTTTATAATGTAATATTATTTTAAACATTCGTGCGAAACATTTAATACAAATAATACTAACGATAAAAGCGCTTGAATCGTGTCAATATTGCGGCCAGTATTGTGCATTAATTTCTCCAGATTGATTGTTATATTTATTAAAACTGTTTATTGATAATTAATATTAAATATTGGCGTGCTTTTTGTATTTCGAGTTGAGGTACATAAATACCGAGCAATAACGTTTTGTAAAATAAACCACAACTATTTCAGTATTCGTAGTTTTGCGGGCTTATCAAAAACCATTATTTAAATGATTTAATCTCACTTACAACACTTTCAACACTGGCAATATTCAATGAATATATTTTGCGCTTATTATATCGTTTTTCTTCGCGACGCCAATATTTTCATGTATTATTGGCTAAATGATACGGGTACTGTTATTCGGAAATGATAAGGACTAATAATGCCGGGGATAAATAACGTGGGTCGCGTTACCGCAAATGGTTCTTATCAATTTCGAATAACTCTACCTACCACGCCGTGACTGACATACGTTATGTTCGTACAAGCATTTGGTGTAAGTGATTGTAATCATTTTCACGATTTACAGTGTTAACCATCACGATGCTAACGCGAATATATCGCGCATGAAGTTTTGAACAAAACGTTGTTCGGAAACACTTATTTCATTAATATCGATACTACTATTCTCATTGTATGGGATTTTGAACAACCTACGCGCTGTTTCAGCAATTATTATCGCGGCAAGAATATCGTGGGAGAATATAATATTATGAAAATTATGTTTCTATATTTACCGCTGTATATTACCATTATATCCGCAACGGTCATGTTTTCCTAACTATTCGACGATATGCGGTCTATTTCGAGTACTCGATTGTTCTATTTTCATTTCGCGACCCACTCAAAAATCACAACACCTCACTCCCGGGGGATTATTATTGACCAGTGTCAACATTTTGATAACTGTGCGCGTTCTCAGCGAAACTCGTTCGCAAATCACAATTATTACGTGTATACATACGGTACGCGCGTACGACGTGACGGATAATATTGTATTATAGTTCCCAATAGTTTTGATAGTGTTTCGGTAATATTTTCGTTATATTCGCTCAATTCCGTGGCCGCGGGGGCGAGAATGTACCGGCTGCGGTCCAATCCATTACGTCGCTCGTCGGTTCAGTGTTTACAGTGCAAACATTTTAAAACACACACGCTAGCGCATCGAATAATAATAATAATAATAATAATTAGAGACCGGTCAGTCCCGTTTCGTATAGGTATATAGTATACGTGTATATTACAGCTGATTATATAATAAATTATATAGGGTGATTTTTTTTTTCCTATTAAGGATTTGAGTGAAATTGTCCGTTTTTTTTTTCTCAGTCACGCCCGTACTTACGATATTTTCAATATTGCACCGCTATGTTATTCTGTACACCATGATAAACGTCCGAAGACTTTTACTGATTTCCAAATGTGAATCCCTCTCCTCCTTCCTTTTGAAACCAGTTTCGATAAGAGTACATTTTTCTAAAACGTTGATACGCATAAAGCTATTATTGGATTTATGATTTATAACCGCTCTGGCCAGAAGGATATAGGGGAAGAGTTATCATCTACCAGCTTTATTATAATAACCTACCCTATGCTTCTCCGGCCTACGTTTTCAACTCTAATAACTCGTAAACGGGATAATATATGATATTTAAAGAATCCAATTTGTTAAGTATGCTCGCTCTATTCGTATGATTAAATTATGCATAGATTCAAATTTTGATTTTTGGTATGGTTATGCGTAGTGAAAGACGATATTTTCGCATACTTAAATTTTCACATCATTTAAGAAGTGTCCGGTTGCGATACCGACTTTTGTTTTTCAATTGAGAACCCATTAATTTTATGTGAAAATTTTGACTTATTTTAATTGAAATTCGAACGAAAAATTTCTGAATAATTTTGCTTTAAACATGAATGATAATATCCTTTTATGAGTTTCGGATAACGACTATTTCATAGGATTTGTGTATTAGCAATTTGTTGTTTTGACTCTTGCAGTTATCGAAAAACCGATTTCATGCTATTTAAAGTAAAATAACTCGGATAAATAGGTTTTTATTTGAAAAAACCAATTTTGGTATATTTTCACATAATATTCATTAAATTTTGTGAAAAATGTAAGTATTCAAAAATATCGTCTTTCACTACGCATAACCATACCAAAAATCAAAATTTGAATTTCTACCTTATTTAATCGTGACAATGAGGTGAACATGTTTAGAAAATCACCCCGTAAAGTGGTATACACTTCAACGTGTTTAGAAAACTATTGTTTTTCCGAGTTTTCGTTGAAAAAGAAGAGTCGCGGTAATATGAGAAAAATCAAATGTCAATATTACCATCTAAGATAAGGGATCATGAGCGAAAACTGTGTTGCAATATACAATACCATATGAAAACGTAATGAAAGAAATTTAGCATAACATATTCATATCAATATAATCTCTAGAATACGACAAAAAAAAAATCACCCTGTATATAGGTCGGCGCATAATAAACCAACGATATGAACCTACGTATTATTATAGTACGTTTCATTGGGGTGTTTTTGTGTGTCGGTAAATCGCGCGGAAACAAAAGGCCAGCAAACAGACTACCTATTTTAATTATTACAATATATATATGTTGTGTGTATACGTGTGTGCAGTGTATTTGCGTACCTATCTATAGACACCGGAAATCGTATCGAAACGGTCACAGAAGCTTTTAACCACTTATCCACGATACCCCGTGACCTTTAACTTTTTGACCACTAGAACTGTCGGAGCGTAGTCTATCTACGTGTTTTATATTTATATACGAGTATTATAACGCGAAAGTAGCTGTGTATTTATAGAGATGCAACTGTAACTACTATAAACTGTAAGCTTGACAATGACTTGGATTTCAAATTTTTGATTTTCGATTCTAAACACAGTGCAAAACGTATATTTTATTTTACTATATAATGTGTATTTTTAAATATTTTTTCTCTGTCTAGTGTGTTAACAACTTACTACAAGGAATCATGTTTCGATCATTAAGCGTAGCAGAATAAATGAATCGAGGTGATCATTTTTTGATTTTCCTTGCAATTTTTTTAATAACTGGTAAAACCGCGAAAAATTATATGAAAAACAGACAAGTTTGGTATTTAAGTATCTCTTATTTTAGATTTAGAGCATAACGAGGGATCTATTGGTTTTATTATGTGTTTTTTTTTTATTTATTTTGTTTTCTGTCTATAAAACACTTTTCTACCAGAAAACTACCCCTGAAGTATAGACTATACAACTTTTTCTGAAAGGAAATTTTCTTTAATGGGTACATTAAAGAGATCATTTTTTGATTTTCCAAGGAGTTTTAGAAATAATTGAGGGTAACCCAAAATAAAATTATAGATAAAACTACAAATATTTTATTTAATTTTTATTTCATTGTTTTTAATTCGTTTACACGATGTTTTCTACCAGAAATTATTGCTCCAATCAAAATATGATAAGAGATTTTATTCCTTTTAAAACCGGTTTTTAAACTTTATTATTAATCAAGTTAATTTTAACTTATTAACTCGTTAATGTCCAAAGTTGTATATATATATATATATATATATATATAACAGAACACAGTACAGCGCAATAGTTCCCATTTTCGGAGAAAATTCGATTAAAAAGCAATACGAATAGTTCATGAATCAATCATTTATTTTTATCTATTACCTACATTTTATTAAATCAAATTGGGGAATTTGCATTTGTTTAAAGAGTGTTCTCACGAGAAATATGAACGGTTATTTATTGAACACTGATGTAACCGGAAAGGATTTCTCGGATTTTCAAATTTAAATATTATATCGACGCGTGTTTATCTATATTGGTAAAATATATTTTTGTTGACTCAATGTGAATAAGCGACAACTGCCTGAACAGGGACCAACCAAATCAACAAAATGCTAATAAAAAAATATATATTTCCTTTCGTTTGACATTGTAGCGATATTATAGGTACAGGATGTAATAATGCCAAACGGTTTTAAATATTATTTTTTGAAAAAACATTAATGTTTCGTCGATTTGGCGATATCGTTTATTGAAATCATTAAACAAATAATAATATCGCACGGAAAACAATCGAAACACGGCTGGTATAAACGATGCGGGTACCGTGTGTTCAAAAAGGCAATTTGATGACCGGCAAATACTACACTTTGATAAACTGCCACTGTATGGTAGTAGAATGCACATATTGCAACAACTGCAGTAGTCTGATTAATTCGATTCAATTATATACCTACATAGATTTTGGACCGATAAAATATACTAAACAATTTATTTTAATCACAACATACCTATAACCTATTTCTCATAAAAAATTATTTTCTTCTATAATTCTAATCCGCTGAAAACATTAATAATACTATACACTTAAAAATATACACATACATATTTGTATATTTTTGTTTTTATAGTTTATAGTGCCATGTCTATGGTAGTTCGAAATAATGACGGTTCATAGTCACATCGAATTCAAACAATACATTTTTATATACTGAATGGAGAGAGTGATGTATCGATTCTACTAAGAAACTAAGATAATATGGGCTTTTTTCTATCTACGTATAAACTTTTCTACCAGAAATCTTGCTCCAATTAAATAAAGACAATATGCCTTTTTTTTTTTTTTTTTATCTAATCAGTGCATTAAAAAAGTCATTTATTTTCATTTTCCAAACAATTTTCATAATAATTGGAACACTCAGTAAACTGTCAAATTTACGGCATTAACGTTTTCATTATTTTAAATTTGTTCAAATTTTGTATTCGAGTTAAATCCTTGCATCAAATTTCATGATTAGGTAGGTTTTTTTCCGATTACAAATTTTGTAGAATTGGTGTTTGAGAAAATTGATTTTTTATTTTCCTTGTACATTCCTTAACAAACGGGGGAAAATGTAGGAAACACGCGAAAATTAACTGTTTCATTATTTTGTATTTTGTTTCTATTGTAATTTAGTTTGAAATAATCGTCAAAGCTTGAAATGTTCAAAAAAAATAATGGGCTTTTCTAAACGTGGTACTATTTCCAAAATATTCTGGTGATTTTTTTAAATATTTATAGGTATTTAACATTTATGAATTTGTGTGTTCATTATTTGGTAGGTCTTAAGTGGATAAAGTTGTTTAATAAAACAGAAATGCTTGAAAATATAATACAAAGTTTATCATGAATTGTATTGAGTGGTTTTAAAAATAATTTGAGTTTTATGTAAAACTTTTTTCTAAAAGTGGTTTAAGATTTAACTAATTTTGACGTTAAAATGACTGCATAAAAAACACGTTCAACTGAAATTCGCTCAGAATCGTATTCCGTTAACAATGGTTTATGGTTGTTTACTGATATAAATTAAATAAATGTGCAGTGCATCTGTGTGTTCTACCTTCCCAATTTCCCATTTATAACAGTATAGTAGTAGAAACATTTAACTGCGCAGAAAACCCTGTATACACTAGATAATTATTATTTCGGTCCAAGGCCACGGTAAAAGAATCTAATAAGACTGCAGCATGATATACGCATGTATCGCAGTAGTAGCGGCATAGGTAGTTTATCGTCAAAGCCAAAAACTGAATTCTCAAAGGGCCTATGGTCGGAGAAGGACAATGGTAGATAAGGGGATGGTTGGTGAACGAAATACGAACTATATATAGGTAAATCGTCAGGGAAGTGTGTGTGAAGCATAATACGAAGGCAGGTACTGCGGTGCGGAGCTCCCCGTCATTTCTCTCGATTCTCCGATGGAATACCTAAAGTACGTCGGTATTATTATTTATAATAACGCAAGCTAACCCCATACACTCGACGCTTCTGCTTTTATTAAGCTCACTTGATTTACTGGAAACAGCAGAAGAAATAAAACAGCCGTTCAGTCGGTTGGTCGGTAGGTCGACAAGACGTGGAAAGAATCACTCATAGATGAAACGAGGGCAGACTACCACTATTACCACTACTACTAAAACTATTCCCACTACTAGGACTAATACTGATACTAAAAAAAAAAACCACTACTACAACTACTACTGCTACTACTTTTTTTTTTTATCCTGAATCGTAGACCCGGAGCAGAACTGCCTATGCTCTGCTTTCCCACCGGGCTGCCATCGTTTATTAACATCATACATTATTGCAATAACAGCAAGACAGAAATATTAAACAATAATAATTAATAACGATTAATAACAATTAGTAATAATATTAGAAGCGGGTCCGTTCAGCGCTCTGGCGACGATTTGCCATCGGTTCGTATGCTATGGTTGCCCATTTCGTTTGCTCTGCCTCTGCTGATCCTCCTTTGTTTTTATGCCCATTATATGCGTGATGTACTGCTCCACTGCACACCACTTATCTCGGCTACCTAACATAGTGTCTATAATGGATTCTGGCATGACTTCCTCGCCCACATGTATCTCTAGTTCCAAGCGTCTTCACATCCATCGATCGAAACTGAAGAATGTATGCTCAGAATCGTTCAACGGATTTCCACATGCAGAGCAATCCGGATTTGATACCCACAAAAATCTATTATTTTTGTTCACTATTCACCCGGCATTTTCTAATCCGTTATTTTGAAACCGCCATAGCCTGCACCGACCACATGCCATTAAGTGTATTATGATAATACCAGCCACTATCAGGATAACTCCAGTAGATACCGTTCTATAAGCACTAGCTACCCTCAAATCCATGGTAAGCATTGTACTACTACTACTACTACTACTTATACTACTACTACTACTACTACTACCACTACTACAGTTTCCAATATAGAATACGGTAAAAAGCTTCGAGACGCACGAAGAATATAATAAACGTCTACAGTCGATGTGCAGCACAATATAACCTCATTAGCGTCCCTTGTAATCGCTCGGCGAATGCCGAGGCATTGTCTTTTGTTACGATTTGCCGTTTCCTGACGAGTGTTAACCACTATATATAGGTATAGGTACCGTGAAGGAGACTTATCGAAAATCCGCCACGCCGAGAATCCCGAAACACAAAAGACGTTCTTCCCACTTTAGCCACGCATTACGATTCATTTTTGTTATACTCCGTAGCAGCATCACCGATGGTATATTATAAAATAATAATTTATACGCATATAATCAAGCCCAGATTAAAAGAGAAGCGTGACCCCTGAGCCACATGACTCCTAATTCCTGAGTTTTTCCACAGTATAATTTTGATTTATACATTTAATCATTATCTTTGTACTATGATATTTTTTTACTTTTTATATTAATACTTTTAAATTTTGAATTTGGATCTACTTATCTCCATATTATTTATCGTTTTCCTTTTGTCAATTTTTAATAATTTGTTTAAACCTTTTTATCAAAAAAACTTTTGATTAGCATCTAAATGACTTAGTTCGCACATTCAAATAATAATAACAACAATAATAGGAACAATAATGCGAAAAATAATGATTATTCTCCAGAATCATTCAAATTGTGTTATTGTGAGTGGTGTAGACATCTACAACCACCAATTAGATGTTTGAAAACGAGAAGAAGAAAAGAAAAATTCATTAAAAGGAGAAAAATTAAGGGGCTAAATTTTCGGCGTTGAAATTTGTATCGTTGTTAGGAAAAGAATGATTTTAAAAAATGACCAACTAGATCGAACATTTCACAAGAAAGCTCCTATAGAATTTTTATTTAAATTTTATTTTTGAGTAAATCTTCAAAAAAAAAGAGCACATCATTATTGTAAACCAGGACATTCCTCATAAATACTTAGGTATACCGATTAATAACGAGTAGGTCATACGGTTTTTTTTAACAAGGGTTGACTTAGATAAAAGTCGTTACTGCGAGAGATCCTTATTGTCATTATCAGCATAATATCATTATACTTAGTCGAATACGTTCATAAAGTTAATTATTTTTTTATCCGTCGTACGTATACATTTTAATCGTGATATTATACTTGTGCTACTCGAACAATAGTATATTATTTAATTAATATAACATCTTCTGCAGTGTACAATATATGTTTCAATTGTTTACGAGTCTTACTCGAGTTCTAAATATAATGAAAAAGATAGAAAGATTATGAAATGACAATTATATAAAAAAAGATGGGTAATGCTGTAGTCGATTGTCTGATAACATACTTTCAACATGGCTAAATGGAGCATATCGTGGACTAATTCTAATAAGAATAATGGTTTTGTAAAACAAAAAGAGTATGTCGCAAAATGTAGGAGGACTTGTGGCTGTCAGTTTGCTTGTGATGTATTGTGTGTAGGCTATAATGAAGCATCGTCCAATTATCCATAAAACCATAACCATACTGTTCATATAATACGCATTCAAATGCCAACATACCAAATGTTAAGAATGCAAGGTTTTTACCTCAATTTAGGTATCGTACTATACAAACTTGTAATAAATCAATAATAACAAATAAACCATTCAATTTATTTAAACCACTTCTAGAAAAAGCAAATTTAAGTTTTCTGTTAAAACTTCAAGTCTCTATGAATATTTTTAACTATAATATACAATAGAAAAACAAAATTTAAATTATTTTCGTTAATTTTCCCGTATTTTCTATGTATTTTTCGGTTTTACTTAATTATTAAAAATCGTACTTAACGTACTTCGTTGAATAATATTTAGTTCATTTAACTAAATGACGTCATAAAAACGTTATAACATTATATGTATATATCCACAGATAGATTAACGGACTTATAACTATAATGACAAATTACGATTATAGTATTCTACGCCTTCTACCATATTTCAGACATGCCAATATACAAAATTGTATATAATGAATTTATACTATTAAATTATATGGTATTTTATATTTTCTAGTTTTTTTTTTTTTAGTTTTCATTTAGTAGGTACAAAAATATAAATGAAATTGTCTAACCAAACAAAAATGTTTGAAAATTTAACACATAGTTTATTAGAAGTTATGCTTAGTAGTGAAAAAAAGGGTGAAGATAGAAGTAGTAGTTTTATTTTTATAAGAATTTTAATGTTAAATTTTGATGAAAATCGTAAAAGTTACAGCATTTTAAAACACAACAACAGAACTTTGCTCAGAATCGTATTTCGTTAATGACGATTATTTTTAATTGCAGATATAAATAAAATAACTTTACGTATCCTAATGTCTTCCGAACTTTCCATCTTCAACGGTAGCACATCCGTCCCCAATAGCAGCTCGTTTTTTTTAATATTTATAATATATAATAGAGTACACCCAAGACCGAGTGCATGGGTATATGTAGGTACTTTGAAATTTGAATATCGGGATGAGAGGTAATAAAATACTTATAGTAAAACATTAATTAAAAATGTACCCAGAGTCTATTTCGAATTGAGTCGTTAAACATACGCGTGAATACCGTATAATATAATGATTAACTGGCACGCCGACACTTTATGCGGGGTATACACTATATATAATAGTGTTATGATATCAACTGTTGTGTTTTTGTGACGGGATTCTATCACTTTTTTTACAATCCAATCGACGGGATAGTTAAAATTAAAATCGTAAAATCACACGTAATTATGTTTATACGCGTATAAAATATTATGCACACAATATAAACGACGCTGTTGCGATGTTAAAACAAAGGGCTATTAAAATCGAGTTAATTGGAAACTGATAAATATTTTGATATAGCAGGTACAGAATGCGGGATAATTAATAATGGTATCGTGTTAAACAGTATAGCCGTATTCGAAAACAAGTCCAACGATAATAGATACAGTGTTGAAACAAATGGACGTACTTCGCGTCAACCATTGGTTAACCATTGTACGGTCATAGACGTGGAATGAACGGAATGATTAAGATATGGGATAATTTAGTTTGTGAAGTCACCGAAGCAGCAATAACTACATAATCGAATTATTGCTACCTAATTTCATAAATAATAATACATTTAATTCTGCTCGGACGTGTGAATTCGCGATTTAAAAATGAATGTGCACTAATACAAAAATAAAAACAAAAATGCATTTGGGTACTTGCATACGTCCCGAGTCGTACCGATGAACCACGATGTCGTCATAAACAAATTAAACGTTAATCATTTAAATTAAACTGTGATTCTACAATACGAATAACGTGTTGTGTCGTGTAAAAGTAATGCGACCAAATTCAATCAAATGTAAACGCTTATAACTGGCTATGTTCTGTTGTATGATTTTTTTCTTTATAAATTTGATTCTTGCCGCAGATGACTAATTAAGAAAGTCAATAAAACATGAGGTATGTACCTATATAACCTGTCTCAAATTGTACAACAAATTAACTATAAATCCTACTCATATAAATTAAACTGAGTCTAAGTAAACTTTAAATACTGACCTTTTCGCGGAATAATAGTTTTAGGCTAATTCTCTACAGTTTCTACAATTGGGCCCTTGTTAATTTAATATTCGTCTCCACGCGGTACATTCTAACTCGAAGTTTAGTCTTCTTTTGTTATTCCAGCGCTGCAATCAAACTAAGTTTAATAATAATCGTTTCAGGTATAAATACCTATATACAAATAAATTGTTTTTTTTTTCTTTCTAAAGAAATAAGGGAAAATATAAAAAATGTAATATTAGATAAAATATATTACGATTTTTTTTTTCTGTGCACAACTTTCTACCAACAACTTTGCTCCAATTTAAAATGATAGCAATGTTTCTAAAAAGAAATCCGACAATTGAGGTACTTTAGAAAGGTCAATTTTTGATTTTTTTAGGAGTTTTCCCAACAAATATGAAGAACCGGGAACAATCATGGGGAAATCGGAAAAATCGGTACAACATTAGAGAAATATTATTAAAGAAAATGTATAAAACCTATTGAATTATTTTACTATAATATGGCATATATATTATTGACAAATCATCACTAACATCCGAACTCGTAAAATGAAAATTCACATTTTAGAAAATTATTAATTTATTAAACGATGAATAGATGAGGGTAAAGTTACAAAGTTATAACCTATCAAAACAGCGGTGTCGGACGATTTAATTCAAAACACTTATCGTTTGTACTTCTATCATTTTCAAGATTCGTCTTCTCCGATAGCACGACAAGAAAAGCAATATGGAAACGTGATAAGAACTACTAAAAAAAAAAAATGTAAAGTAAAAAAAAAAATGATTCATAATATGCAGCAGGATTTTCGACAAAATGTGTTTATCGTATAGAGTAATACAATTTAAAACATAAATTTTTGTTTATTGCGTTAATATTTGATTTCTCTTCCTGGTCAATCCATAAAATATTTCGAGGAAAACTAAAATGCGTGCAGAAAGAAGGGCAGATAACGGAAGAGATAAATATTTTCAACACTCATAAATCTTTTTTAATTACAAGTAACCCTTCCTTAAATAATTTCCGTCGTCTCAGAGCTAAAGTTATACGGTTTCCGTTTTGTGAGTTTTTATTCGCAGCATTTTCCCTCTTTAACGAGTCAATTTTATAATAGCTAACGTGTCATTAAGACTCTTAATTATAATTTCTTTTCCAGTCCATTAGCTTTTTTTTTATTATTATTATAGCAGAGTCTAAAAGGACATAAAAATATATCAAGTAAATAAGATTCATGCTTTGTACAATAAAATATAGACAATACCGCCGACATTGTATCAGTAATGTCTCCATCAACTTATTATTCTCGTAACGAAACCGGAAAACTAAAAATAATCAAAATTAATATCCACACCTACCGTTGTTTTTATTATTTATTCATAATCTATACACAATCTGAGACCTATGTGGGACATCACCAACCAAGGGCCACCGTATATTTGTACGGTCTTAAACTGATAACAATTGAGACCGTGTACACATAATATTATAATATTGTATCAATAGTTTTGGCTGTGCGCCTGGCTAAGTTCCAACAAACAGGGTTAGTGTATTTTTACTTGAAATCTTAAATCATGTATACATTTTGCTGTTGAAATGTTTGATTTTCATCAACCCATTGACGAGACATTCCACTTTTAAGTTTTATTAGAAGTAATGAAATAGTATAGTACCATTTGTGACATGATGACACGGCGCTAAATATATTAAACATTAAAATCGACACAAAAATTTATGAAAACTAATACTCTGTCTATATATGCTATTTTTATTTTTATTTACAATTTAAAAATCACAAGTAAATAGTCCGTTAACCCCTAAAAATAAGATTGAGAAAAAATAATGGTAACATAATATAATAAGCTACTTTTTTTATATTTAAAAAAAATAATAATAATAATAATAATAAACACAGCTTTTACATTGCATAGAATATTCATCTCTCTGACAGATGAATCCCCTTGAGAGGATTAAAGGCAACGGGAGGTATTATATCATCATTTTTATGAATAACTCCTTTTAGATTCAAAGCATAATGAGGGCTTTATTGGTTTTACTATGATGTATGTTTTTTTTGTATTTTTTTGTCTGTGATAAACTTTTTTACCAAAAATCTTGCTCCAATGTGTAGCACCTTTTCTGAAAGGAAATTTCATAATAGTTAGTGCATTGAGGAGGTCAATTTTTGATTTTCCAAGGGGTTTTCACTTTTTACAATAATTGTAAAAACTGAAAAAAAACGAAAAATGAGAAATAAATAAATTTATAACGTACGATTTCATTATTTAAAATATTTACACCCTATATTTTCTATCAGAAATATAAATAAAAAACGACAAGAAATCTTTTTTATTGCACTTTTAATTTAGTTAGTGAGTGAGAAAGTCATTTTTAGATTGAAGAACTGCAAAATTTATGTATATGATACTTTTATTTTTTTCAAATTTTTTTTTTTTTTTTTTGTAATTCAGTTAAAAATATTCGTAGAGATTTTAAATGTTGACACAAAAATTAAATTTATTTTATCTGGACGTAAAATTTTCAAAATATTTAAGTTATTTATAGGCACTTTAATTTTTACGAGTTATTTACGTAATTTTTATTTGGTATACACTCTGTGGATAAAATTGTTAGATTAAACAGAAACGCTTAAAAATTGAACAGGAAGTTCATTACGAGTTGTACTTAGTGACCGAAAAAAAATATTTAGTGTGATGAATATTTTTATTTTTGTTATTTTTTTAGAATTTGAATATCAAATTTTAACGAAATCGTAAATATTACTATCTCTCAAAACATTTATGACCAAACTTAGTTCTAAACCGTTTTTCGTTAACAATGGTTTATCGTTGGTCACAGGTATAAATAAAATAATTGTATATATCCAACTATTCCCAACTTACAAGTTACAACAGTGGCACATCGATCTGCCTTATCAGTTCTTTTTCAAATTTATAATATCTGCGGCTAACACATTGAAGTTATTTCCTGGCTTTGCACTCCTCCTATAACATTTTCACGTTCAATGGAGAAAAACGGTCTTTCAAGAGTAGATTAAATAACCTGAAACAAAGTTAAAACTCCAATTATTAAATAGTATTCATTCTGTGTGCTGCATATATAAACACGTTTTATGAGGAGACTGTTACAACCCTTTAGACTCCTTAACTAAACTATAGTAGATAAATTCGCACCATATTTGTTTTTTATGATCGTACATTTTGTGCTTCTTCTATCTTTTTTTCTAAATAACGATATTTAAATAATTTATTACCTAACCGAAAATAACATGCCAACAATTAATAACAATAGTTACTCAATAAAAAAAAAACAAATAATTATAAATATTTTGTAACTATAGTTTTGACTATAGGTTGTTAATTTACGTAAATTATAAAATAATTATCTGTCATTGATCTTTAAAAATTCTAATGCTATAACGTAACACGCTCTGGATGAATTTATTTTGAACAATATAGTACTTGTTAGTTACAGAATTTTCGTATAGATAGCAGCAACTATTATAAAGTGCACAATAATTTAAGTATAAGACATCCTCGACTTTCAGATAAATACTATTATTTTTTTTTATTTTTTAATAAGTTCGATAATAAGAAAGTATCTAAATTATTTCATAAAACTTATTTATAAAATAAATACGATTCAAAATTCATTTTTAATATAAAATAATAACGTAGGTATTTATTTTTTTTGTTGTAAATCAATACAAAAGCAATAGGTAGGTACTTACCTACTTTAATTGTATATAAGTATATTCAATTAAATTTTCATTTTGCGTGTACGTTGGTTAAATTATCAATACCCCTTCGTGTCTCTTCTACGATTAATTCTGCTTGCTATCTCACTACTTCTTTTGAACTTTAACTTAAATCTAAACTTTTAATTGTATTTTTCTACTAATCAAAAATACTTTTGATTTCTGTTAGTTTTGTTATTTATTTGAAAACTTTTGACTGTTACATTTATAATGTAAATATTAAAATATACAAAATTAAATTGACTTTAAACTAATTTAATAGAATATGAAAATGTTATCTTTTTTGGGATCCAATAGTGATAGCACGGGTGCATGGGCCGAATTCGAGAGAATATTATAATGTGTCGATGTGTTTATGTCAAATTCACGGACTTAATGTACACGTGTATTTGAAAACACGTCTAAAATCGTTACCTCTGCTTTTTACCGGTCACGGTAAATATTAATTTAAATTATTTTAACGAATTAATGTATTATCCTCATAAACTAAGTATCTTTAATGGTCTAAACCAAATATAAACATAGGTAGGTAGACCAGGTGTATGTATACTTTGCGTGGTATGTGTTTGTTTAGCAGACACAGGTGGTGGCTCGTTTTTCGTTAAGTACCTAACACACATTGGACCGGTTTTCAATGAAACGATCAAGTGTTTTTTGTTTGTTTTGATATTGAATCTTTAACCAGTCTTATTATTATTACACGACCAAAACTGACATTATTAAATATTAAATAACTTTATTTTATTATTTTCCAAAAATGATAATATAGCTAGCGTGTAGAGTTTATTTTTCTGGACAATTTAATGTATCACACGTTTATATCCGATGAATAGTTTCTAAGTAACAGCCGTTTAACATTCTACTAATCCGTGTGAAAACCGATGTTAACACGTAACTCGGTCGGTCGTTCCATAGATAACATCGATTTTCAGAAAAATAAACTCTACAGAATGGCTATCTTAAAACTTTAATTGTTCGCAGTTCTCATCCCTGTGAATAATGTGAAAAAATCAGAATTTGAATTTTCTTATTAATTCCGGAGATATTCAAGAGGTATATCTTCGTGGGACTACCTCGGGCCGCGTCTAGGGGTTGCGAGAGGTGTCATTACGATATCATAATGCCATAAATATAATCAAATTCTATTTATTTTTTTTACATATATATATATTATTTGCAGGGATAAGGGATACGGTTATTTATACTTAAATTACATTTTTAAGTTTTGTCGATAAAAAACTTCAAGAAATAACTTTCTATTTTATTATTTTTGAAAAATTTAAAGATCACCATTTTGTTCGTGATTTTTAATAGTTTTTTAAAGTACAGAGAAAAGTGCCTATTATTATCATACTTCAGGCTTGTAATAGCAGGGTGTAATTGGCAATTGGTCGATATTATCATATCTAATTGACCGTAGACACTTCTTCTCTAAACTTTTTAAAAAATTATTAAAACATCATAAATTTAATGAAAATAAGCATTTGTCACGTCAACATTTTCAGAAGAACTAACTCTATAAAAAGGCTATCTACAAAAGTTAAGTTTCTTTTTAAGTGTTTTACCAATACATAATTGCGCGGCGAGCTTATCGGAAGTCATTAACCGCCGCCACCGTCTAGCCGGCCGTCGTCCACTCCTCGCCCCGCCCGACTTCTACCGTCCGTCGTTCACGACGTGGATGATCGCGGTCACCGTCGCACCCTTTTTGCCGTTGGTTTTTTTCTGTTGTGCCGCTGTCGCGCGCACAGACGAGCCGAGGGTCACACGGGCTTTGGACAGTGGTTCATTACCGACATCGATTTCAATTGTAAATTTGTTTTAGTTAAGTTTAAATATTATACTGCAATGCTCGCAAGATCTAAAACAAATAAAAAAAAAAACATAATGTAATAAGACACAGGTGGTGGATTGTTTTTAAAATACCTATAACACATAAAATCGGATTTTAATAAATGAAACAATAAAGTTTTTTTGATATTGAGTTATATGTATGAAATTCATTATACGACCAAATTTAAATCATTTAAACTATTTGTAATTGTATTAAATTTTTTATTCATTTTTCAAAGAGAGAAATGAAATTGGCCACTTGCTTTAAAACCGTTATTTTCACGTTCATATTACACATAGGTAAGTAGATTAGTTCGAAATTTGTAATTGTTTAGTTTGCATGCTATTATCATTAGCTTATATAGTATCGACAACTTAATAAATCGATTCATTTAACTATGTTTGTGAAAATTCTTTTGTATTAATGTATTTATTTGTGTGGGTACATTAAACAAAATTGTATAATCAAATAATATAAACTGTTAACTTTAATATTTTGTAATGGCAAATATATAATTAGGGTGATCAATATAACTTATCCAATTTTTATATGTATTTATATTATTTTTTAGGATTTTTTTTTTTTAAAAATTTAAGAAAAAAGCAGCACTAAAATTTTACATAACTTTTACTTTTTGTCACCATTATATTTGGGAGTAAAACTACTACAACATTATATCTTTTTTACGGCAATCTTTATTAAAAATTCCAAAAGTAAATCATTTTTAGCTTAAATATATTTTGATGTTAACATTTTTACTTCCGATAGGTCATTCAAAAGATTTTCTTCTTATAAATTTATCGTTTTGTGAGTCGGAAGAGAGTAGTGGAGAAATATACGTTGCTACAAAAATTATGCTTTATACTGTATTTTTACTTACAAAATGACTAAATTAAAAATTAAATATCTCACAAAAGGAAAAGCAGAAATTACGAGTAAAACCTCAACAACTTATTTTAGATTCTGAGTAGAGCGAAAAAGCTTAAGATTTTAGAAAGATGTTTATTTTTTATTTTATTTTTTATCTATGGACAATTTTTCTACCAGAAATCTTGCACCGTTTTTTAAGTGTAGCATCTTTTCTGAAAGAAAATCGGACTAGAGAGGTACTTTAAGGTGACCATTCTCTCAGGATTTTCCTCATCAAATGTGAAAAATTAAAAAAACTGGAAAATGTACCAAATTAGTAAAATATTACAATTTTTTTTTTCTGTGGACAACTTTTTCATCAGCAATTTTGCTCCGATTTACAATGATAGCATATTTTCTAAAAGGAAATCTGACTGAGAAGGTACTCTAAGGATGTAATTTTTTGATTTTCTAATGAGTTTTCTCAGCAAATGGGAAATATTGGGAAAAACATGGGAAAACCGGTAAAATGTTAAAGAAATATTATTGAAATAAATATATAACGCCTATTTAATCTTTTTTCCATAATATGAAATATATATATATATATTGTTGACAAAGCAACACTATCAACTGAACTTCGCGCAGAATTGTTTTTTCGTTAACAATGATTTATCATTGCTTACAGATATACATTAAATTTCCCTATGTGTCTAACCTTCCAAGCTTCCCACCAACAACAGTTGCTGCACCCACGTATGAAGTATGTCAGTCTTTTAATTTAATGACTGTATCGCAAAATCATAAAATTTAAATTGTAAATCGATTAATCTGCTAGCTGATTAAAGTAGTATCACATTTAAAAATGAGATGAATTAATCAGAGTATTCATTGATAACAAAAGAAAAGAAGTATATAAGCAAAAATTTCGTTAGACTTCTTGTACTGTTTTAACCTTAATTTGTTTAGAATTATTCATTTTATTATACATTTATATAACATTATTACTAGCTCTGTAAATCGCTATGTGAAGACAAAATATTATAGTTTGTATATATATTATTAATTAATTTTATTCAATGAACAATATTTTTACATAAAGTTATTCAAAATATATGCTTAGAGATATACTAGAGATTAATCTGACAGTAGTGAAAACTATGTATTCTTCATAACAAATTTAGGTTTATTTATCCGAAATTGAATACCCCTGTACTTACTTTATTCATTACTATTATATTGATGATGAATAGTTTTATATTAATTATATTTATTACCTATAATAAACATATTCATAAATATACATATTATAGTTTTCGTAATTTACAATAAAACCTATAAAACTATTTTTTACCCTTAATGTGGGGTGTTATAACTAAAAACTAAATAACTAATTAAAAAATTGAAACTAGAAAATATGATACAGTTTTAGCATATTAATTATTTGTTTGTCATGAAGGTGTACAAAGTTCTAATTGGAAAGTAAATAACCTAATCAATCGATTTAAAAATTCAAAAGGTAAAAATATTATTTTAAATTACAGATAATATACCTACTTTAAAATATTAACAATAATAAATAAATAAATTTTACAATAAAATGATTATAAAATTTGTATTTTTTTTTTTTTTTTTTTTTTTATGAACGTTATTTGACTTATCTATAACCAAACCTTATAATTGACAAGATTATTCTCCCTATGGGAGAGGATCAAAATCAGAACTTTAGCGAATAGTCCTATCTCGAATGTGTATGGGGACAACAGGTGAAAGAATGGTGCATTATGTTTGCAGATGAATGATGCAGCTTTGATAAAAAAATGATCTGGAATAAGTTCACAATAGTATTTAGGAATGAAAAGTACTTGAAAGAAGGAACTAAGGGTAAGTAAAAGTAAAACAGAGTATGAGTTTAGAGGAACAAAGCAGCTAACGATAGTCAGTGGATATAGATGACGTTGAGAGTTTAAAATACCTAGGATCTTTTTGTAGAAAAGAATGCTACCGTTCATGAACATATAAAATATAAGATTAAGTGTGATTGGATAAAGCGAATAGAAATGTCAGGTGTTTCATGCGACAATAGAATTCCAATGAGATTTAATGTTAAGTTCTACTAAAGTTTGGTGAGACTATGTGACTGACTAGTGACTATGTTATATAATTCGGAGTATATATTGGGTGTTATACAAAAAAAATAAAACAGTAAATGAGTGTATCAGAGATGGGAATACTTAGGTGTATGAGTAGAGTAATGAGAGAAGATAGAACAAAAAACTAAGAACATAAAAGGAAGTTTAAGCCTGGCTTTGGTAGTGGAAAAAATGAGAGAAAATAGATTGAGATGGTTTGAACATATCACGGAATGAGAAGAATCTGATGCAGTAAGCATTGGTATGAAAATAAAATTAAGAAGAAAGAGTTGGAGACGAAGATTAAAAAAAAATATGGTTGGATATGATTAAGAGTGATATAAGGATAGCCGGAGTAAGCGAGTTGGGAGATCGAGTTAAATGGAAATTTAGAACGAGGGTGACTTACATTAAATAGTTGGAATGAAGACAAAAGTGAAGAAAACTTTTTTGTACATGAATGTTATCGGTTGAATTAATAATTGATTTTGTTGTTTAGATGAAAAATTGCAACTGAACACTATCAACGAAAATAACATAGTTGATGAATCTAAACCTAATATAGTGCATGTGTACAAGTTTCCAGGTATTTATCATATATTTAAACATTTTAAAAGAGTATTGTAAGATAAGAAGATGTTTATATGTTTTACATGTAATATTATATGCGTCAACATTATTTAATTTCATGCATTTATGACGATAAACAAAACAAAATCGTGTTTATTATTGAATATTTACTTATATAGTGAACATGAAAGTAGTGAAAAAAGTAAAGTTCGGGTTTTGGACACTTCTGTAAGTTATAAATTATTATATTTTGGTAACAATGAATTCGGTTAATTGAGTCGACCGTTTTATAATTTTTAAGTAAATTGAGTTTCACCTAAAAAAAATGCAAACGTTAAAACGTGTCCCTCGTACAAAAATGAAAGCGATAAACTGAGTCCAGTTTGAAATATTTAATGTAGTAAATTAACAATTAATACAAAATATTAATAAATGATATGTATTGTATGTTGCTCATAATAATTAATACTGTAAAAATTTAAAAAAAATACATTTATAAAGTAATTAAAAACAATATAGATATATATTACTCGTGTTATTAATAATAATTAATGCTGTTAAAATATGAAAAATAAATGAATATAAAATAATTTTCCATAAAATATTTTATTTTGGGTAAATATTTAAATGATACAACCTTAATAAAGTAAATTCCACTAATTTTATTATTCTTGTGTGTACTTCGTCTATATATTCTTTATATAATTCTCTTTTTCGGTATTTTGATTTGACTTTCACTAATTGTTTTACTTCTAATCTAAATTTATATATTAGATTGGATTTCCTTGAGTGTGTCAATAAAATTATAAATATTTGGATATACGGTATAAAATAAACTATTTAGTTTCACGCGAAATGATTCACAACTATTTGTTGTACGATTTGACGTTGTCGAAAGTTCAGCCTGAACACTAGGTGGCAATGTGTATGATGTACGTAAAGATTATTTAAATTGTTAAAAAATAACAGTATTTGATCATAATTCATAACTCAATTGACCGCTTTCACTTTTTTTTACGAGGGACTCAATTTACCGCTTTCATTTTTATACGAGGGGCTTAATTTACCATTTACAAACCATTTTTGACAACTATTGTTTATATTGTAGTAGATAATAATAAATAATAATAATAATAATAATGTTGTAAGTACGCGAAAAAAGTTGAAATATAACAGTACCGTTTCAAGCCAAGAGCAAAATACGTACTATGTCGGGAAGTTGCCGTTGTCGGCGACGACGTCTGAAATAAACACAGCCCGATATTCATTATCATTGAATAACAATAATTATTATTTCTACAATACTTAATAATTTATATACATGTCTATAGAGGTCGTCCAGAATCACAAGTTTATTTTAAAAATGAAGAAACTTATAAACAATTTATAAGTGTTTTAAAAGATAAATGGAAGAAGGGTTCGCCTTTAAAAATCCTAATTCACGGATGGTTGGACAGATATATATCGGTAAAACGTATGTTTGGTATAAAAGATTGTAAGTATTTTCCGGGGTAATTTCGATACATGGCTATAGATCTAATATATTATACATTGTGATCAACATAACGTTAGATGTAAGACACTCATATCTTGGAGGACCCTGGTGAATGCATAGCAAAAAAAAAAAAAAAATTTATAATATATTGGTTAATATAGAATTTTCTCAGGTTTATATTACAATATTATTAAATAATTTATGATTATCAGGGTTCGGGTTTTTTTTTTTGAAGTTTTTATTTGCTTTTTGGTGCATTTTAAGTGCTATAAGTCCCGAACCCTGACGATTATCAATAAAATTAAATAATTTATTGTTACAAATTTTATTGGTTTTTCTCCGGTTCCAATATTTTCAAAATCGTTATTATTATACTATATTCAATTATATTAATTTAACTTGTATAAATGTCCATTAGATTGTCAAGGGTATTCCAAAAAAATAAAAATAAAATAATAATCTATAACTTTAAGCGTCACATTAAGCAATTTTTTTTATAAGTTTCATATTATTATTTTGATTAAATATTTATGAGCATATCATATTGTAATATTTTTTTTTGCTTATTTATTTTTTAATAATTTCTTCTGACCAATCTACATTGAAATGAGGTAAAAACCAATAAATTATTTTATTAATAATAATAATATTGAGTAGTATAAACTAGAGAAAAGTCAATATAAACCAATATGTAATTACTAATTAGCTTTTTTTGTTCACTCTCAATTTACCGGATACCATCTCGGAAAGTATTACATTTTTTTTAACTAAATTAAAATTAAATTTTTTGATTTCTGTAAACCCATTGATGATATATTCGATTTATAAGTTTATACAGAAGGAGAGTGGTGGGACACTTTTAAAACGCCTTTAAACCGCATTAATGATACACCAATACTCTCTCTTTAGAAGTTAAAGAAAGAGTAGTGATGAAGAAACTTAAAGAAACTTAAAAGTGGAATATCTCATGAACAAGAATTAAAAATATTAACAGTAAAATGTTTAATATAGATTGCAATTTGAAATTAAAAATAGGTAGTGGTTTCTCCCGTTAAAATAAGAGTGACAAAATAAAAAAAAAGAGTAATGCAACGTCTTAGAGCTACTTATTTCTTAAATGTTCAAAACAAATTCCAAAAATAATTAATACTTTCCCCAATAATTAGTGTCTTACCTTATGTTGATGTACAAATTGAAAAAGGCTCTCAAATGAACAATAGTTACCCGTATGGTAATAAATCGTTTTTACGTATTTTTTCTCGTTTTTTTCCCGGTGTATCCTAATTATTAAGGAAACTAAAAAAAAAAATATGATCTCTTCAATGAACCAGTGGGACAATATTTTAGATTCTGAGTGTAGCGATGTATTGGTTTTATTAAGATGTTTAATTTTAATTGTTTTTTTTTTATGTGAACAATCAGAAAGCTTACTCTGATGTATACTAAGTAGACTTTCTCTTGAATGGAAATTTTCTTTTTACTTTAAAATGATTATTTTTTAATTTTCTCATAAAATGTGAAAACTAAAAATACAGAGGAAAATCGGTACAATATTAAACAAATATTATTAAAGAAAATATATAATACTTATATACTTAATATTTTATTATTTTAACATAATATGATATATATATATATATTGTTGACAAAGCATTACTATCAACTGAACTCCGCTCAGAATCGTTTTATCGTTAGCAATGGTTTTTCGTTGCTTACAGATATACATTAAATTCCCTTCTGTATCCTACCAGCCCAATTTCCTATCCACAATAATGGCTGCACCCTTTCCCATTCTCCTAAGACAGCTTTTCTTGTTTTGTTTTAATGTTACACTTGATAATTGGAACAGAATTTCTTGTAGAAAAGTTATTTACAGACACAATAAAATTAAATTAAATGCACATACTATAGTAAAAGCAATATATTCTCGCTATTACCTTTAAAATCTAAGTATAATTTATAAACGTTTGAATTTAAATAAATAACCTAATGCTTTGCAAGAGCCCATAATCAAATAAAGAGATTTGTATGTTTTTACGAAATATTGATTATATGGCTTTTATGCATTTCCAATTAGTCAGTAATTTGCATATTATACACCTTATTATTTGCATAATAATAAATATAATATATAAATTGTATTTAATCATGCGCGCCACAAATTTTAATAATAATTGTTTAGTAACTAAATTTGTTTTCCAATCGGATATTATGCTACAGCCTATGTAAGAACAAACCACTTCAATGTTATAACGGTTGTCTGGCAAAAATTAGCAACTGATAACAATTATTCTACGTTGGTCAATATAATTTTTGATGTGGGCGTAATAGTTGGAAACTTTTTAAGTAATTTATACCATCTCAACTTTGTTGAACCTAAAGATATACACATAATTGCTCATGGTTTTGGTGCCCAGATTGCAGGATACAGTGGTTATGCTTTCCAGTTTAATACTTATGGAAACATGATTGACAGGATTACAGGTCAGTAGTGAACAATGTCTATGTATCTGGCAGTTAATTAAACTGAATTATTACGTGACTTATACCTACATATTCTATATAGATATATTAACTGTGCAAAATAATTGCGGTGGTCAGTGAATTATTTATGATAAAAATATTATATGTTTATGCAACCACCTACATCTGTTCTATCTTGTTAAATTTTCTTAATGAAAATATAGAAAGGATAAGTCGAAATTACTAAAATCTCATGTCACCTAGGAACAGTCTAAATAAAATTTTAAAGACTATTAGAAAACGGAAATCCTACCAACATCTCAAAAGGTAACAGGGGAATTCGTAGTGGAAAAAGCCAGAACCGACCTCTCGTTTTTAACTTACTCGTACTTCATAACCAAATATGATCACTAAAGAAGATCCACCAACCAAATTTAACAACTCAGTATTCAATATAATATAATCATAAATTCCCAGTATGCGAAATTAAATTAAATTAAATTAAATTAAATAGAAGAAGCCCTCATTAAAGATAATAACATAAAAACAATGAATGTTCTTATCCAAATAAATTTTGTTAATAACCAGTAAAATTGTGTATACTACTAATCATAAATCATGAGATTTTCATTTTCAGTTGTATAAATAGAAACATGTTATTATTTTTACAATCTAATAATCTAACTAGTTAATAATAGCTTTTGCAATGTTGAATAAATAATAAGAAAAAAAGTTTCAAAACAAACTTCAATATATTAGATAGGCACATCAAATTCGAAATTTTTACTAAGAACGCTGTGTAAGAATACTTAACAAATTTGCTAGGAAAGTCATCCATTTACAGTCATACAATATATTTAATTACTATCAATTGTTATTTCAATACAGGTTTATAATCTATGTAGTATATACAATTTTTTTTTTATGTATGATTTTCACGGTGCAGCATTGGATCCACCCCATTCGAAAATCGTTAATGAGGAATCTCGCGCCAGATATATTTTCAGACAATTATCAAAGGAAGACGCGAAGTTCGTGGATGTAATCCACACGTCATCAGAAATTATAGGCATACCCGAACCCTTAGGGCACGTTGATTTTTACCCCAACTACGGAAGGTCACCACAGCCGGGTTGCATGAACTCTCAATCGACTAATTTACAAGGTATATATGTGATATGATGATAGAAACCTATACGGAAGTAGCTAGGTACATAGTTATACAAAGTATTATAGACGATGCATAAACAACAACGTAAATATTATAATTATTTAGCAAAATGCAGTCATCAGAAATCGTGTGAATACTATGAGTATTCCGTGACCACTACAAACACGACAAACATAGCTTATGTCGAATGTGCTGCGGAGGAATATTTTAATATGGGCATATGCGCAGATAGCAAACAAAATTTTTTAGGACATCATGTAGATCGCAAGTAGGTATGGTAAATACAGTTTTCAAACCGGTCAAAAACTGTTTAGTGCCTGATTTCATTAAATGTATTATCTATACTTACAGAATATCTGGGAAATTTTACCGGAATTTCAGCTATAATCCGTTTAACAAATTATTAATATGAATATGCTGAGTGTATAATAATAAACGATGAAGTATATTATAGGTGTAATAATATTATGCACCTTCAATAAATACAAAATTTACCGACCTACCAACCTACAAAGAATAATACCATATCCGATTCATCTATCTACCATTTCTAGATAAAACATTATAATATTGTCTTTCCAACAAAATGTAATTTATATAATAGTAATTATAATATAAATACCTATTTCAACTTGTTGCACGACATACAAATATTTTTTTGTTTTATATCATAATAATAATATTATTATTATTTCTTCAATGTTATTGCCTGTGTTTGAGACTCATACGAGTAGCACTTGCTTATACTTTTTGTCTTGAAATCTAGTGGATTATTATGAAAATGTATGCCACTTATTAATAATATGGTTATAGCATAATCGAGTTGAATGGATCTTGGAGACATTTTAATTAAAATAAAATAATGAAATTATATTCAAATAGGTATGCACAATATTATAAGAAAATAAGCGAAATTCAGGCTTGGACTAACTTAGATATATGGACGGTTAGTACGACGTGTTTAAACCCCTAGGGCTATTCAATGGCTGAGGGGTTTGGTTTTTATTCTATTAATAGGTACGTAATAGAATACATAAAATGAATCATATAAAATGAATGTTTTAAATAATACAATTTTGTATCATAAATTCATAAAATTAAAAAAACAAAAAAATAACCGTTTTACTTACCAACAATAAAAATTAGCCATACCAAATAATAATAATCAATTAGTAAATAAGGAAATTATTGACACTTTTCTCTGAACTACACAAAATTATGAAAGATGTAACGTGCCAAAAGTTTGCCGTCATTACATTAGTTTTAACACTGGTAAATCTCCAAATTTCAAATTTTGAAGAAATTTCAATTTTTTTTTTTTTTTTAGCGCTTCTTCAATAATTTTATCATTGATTTCATAACTTTTCGTTTTTATTTTTCTAGACAGTCGGACCGTGACACCATATTTTTGTTTTATTATTTAATTTAATATTTATAATTAGGTTGATACATAATATTATATTGTAACTTTTTATCCAATGCCTGCTTATACCTGCCTATTACATTAATGTTAAAATTGAAAAGTTCCTCAAATAATAGAATCTATTCAAGCCCCTCTCACACCCCTATTAAAAAATCCTGCGAACGCCACTGGGTATACGTGTATTTAAAATACATGTGTAAAATCGTTGTCCCTACTTGTTACCGGCCACAGACACGGTGAATATTTATTAAGTTTTTTCAACGTGATATCCGTAGTAACTATTAATTAACAAAGTAACCTAAACAATTTGTGTAGTACGATAGGTGTAGGTATACATACTTTGCATGGTTTGTTTAGTAAACACAGGTGATGATCTGTTTTTCGAATAAGCAACTAACGGTTAACAACACATTTAATCGATTTTTAATAAACCAGTTATTTTTTTATTATTATATTTAGTGTTATGCCAATCTTATTATTGTGAACGAAAATTGAAATTATTAAATTATTAGAAAAAATGAAACAAGTAACCTATTTTAAAATCACTTTTTTCGCGATCATTTTCTTTATAGGTAAGTGTTCGTGGTTTAAATATTGTAAAATGGTAATCTTTAAAATTATAAAAAAATAGTTACAGTAAGACTTAAAAAAAAAGATAGCATCCTTTGCAATTATTAAACTCATTCTAACCCGTGGAGGGAGGCTTTACTTCCTCGCATTTAACATTTTAAACACTATTCAGTTATATGTAATTTACAAAAAAAAAAAAAACCAATAATAGGTATTCCTGCCGGCTACATGTTTGCTCACGTAATATTTATTTATTTTACATGTATTATCATCAACAATATTATAATACTAAATTTAAACAAATCTATTTACAATATTGAATATATCTGAGTTGATAATATATATTTTTTTTGAAATCATCATTAATTGCAAAAACAGACGTACAGTCCTTCCATCCAATACTAATAACTACTAGTAAAGAGACCCATAAAAAAAATGAAAAATAATAGAGGCACTCCATTGCCTTACAGCCCCCCTCCCAAATTCGAGCACTGTATATAATGTTTGTTTTTATTATTATTTATAAATTATCGACAAAATAACTCAATAAAAATGTTTTAATTGATTATTTTCTAGTTTTATATATTTTGTGTATTATGTTGCGAGCGTATTTTCAAATTCAGAGTCGGGGGCTAAGTCGAATGAGTAAACACAATATTTTAATATTTAGTTAAAATATATTCTAACACTTTTTAATTAATTTACAAGTCTCAACTATCGCCACTTTAATTTGACTTCACGAATAACATTGTGGCCCGTAATTATATAATTATAATATTATAATATTTAAAAGGAATAAGCCGACGCCCGTAACAATTCAATACAATCAATTTTAATAGGTAAAACAATTAAGTGTAGACATGGGTTGTTAAATATAGATTATAAAATATAAATTTGGTTCAAAAAGTCTTTGAAAAAAATCAAATATAAGTAGGTATACTTAAATACATACCTATTTAGAAATATACGAACAATAAATTATATTCTTAAAAAATTATCTTATATTTATACATTTCATATAATAATTATTATTATAACTACAATATTCATTTTATACTTGTAGGTATTATAGTTTCGTTATTTTACAGTAAAATTGTGAATTGTTTTCTGCCATATTCATTTTTTTTTTTTTTTAGGGGGGCTTAAAAACTACCAAACAATATAATAAAAACATAACTAATTCTATTTGTAATGAAGGTATACACGATGTGAAGAATACTTCAAACAATGGACAGTTAAGGCGAAGGAAAAACAATCCAAAAAGTAATAATGTTTATTTATTTATTTATTTTTAGATAAATATACGGGATTGGTCCAATTTAGATACATTACATTAATAAATTAGTCGATTAAAAATAAACATTCAAAAGACAGTAAATTAATAACACACAGCAGTACAGTAATATTATAAAAAAAAAATTAAAAATTAAGTAAGGAATGATGAGGCCAGCTTGATCGTAATATACAAAGAATCATTTTTAAATAATGAGTAGGACAAATAGGGATGGAAAAGAAATGGAATAACCGAAGATTTTATAGGAGTCATAAGAAAATTGACGTCACTTAAAAACACAGGAGCATCAATTTAAAATAGGAATTTAATATTTTTGACAAAAAAACTATATTACTCTCGACCCTTCTGTCGGCTAAATATTTTAAATCAAAAACAGGGGCACGAAAAACAGGAGAGTAGTGGATGACAAACGATTTTCAAAACATATGCACAGAACTTATGGAATTTTCGCTAAACACGATCAAGCTGATACTTATCAATCAAAGTGATGAGATCCTAGAATACTACACCGTATTCCAAAATAAACTGAGCAATAAAGGGATTTAATAGATGCAAATAATTTAAAATCGACGCAAACCCTCTTGACAAAGCCTAACCATTTAAGGACTCTGAAGAATATATTTTCAATATACGAACGAAAACTCAATTCACTATCGAAAATAAACCAGGATGAATTACCTCATTTGAAGACGAAATCAATTTAATACCTTTGAATAGGTAATTAAAGACTAAAGGATTACGAATTTTTGATTAAATCATAGTATACCATTGTAAGATATGCTATGAAAACACAGCTATAACACAATATCAGCCTAAAGCATCATTGAGATAACGTCTTCCTGAAGATGAAAATAATCAAGAACAGAACTTACTTTAAGAAAAAGCTTAATATCATCGAAAAATATGAGAAATTACAATAATTCAAGGCATCAGGAAAACCATTTAAAAATATAAAAAATAGAAGTGGTGACAAGTGACCATCTTGTAGAACACTGAAAAGAACATGTCAGTAATTAGTTTGAACACCATTAATTTTCACACACTGTTTTCTACCACTTAAGTATGAGCCGAATTAAGGCAGTTATTCTTTGTACATTAAGATGGCTGCAATACGACTGCGTGCATTTTTTATTCATTATATATACATAATTCCATATGATTTTAAATAAAATGTTGCCACTCAATTCAAAACACTGTCTTTTTTACAATAGCCAACAAATCTATATTTGTATAAATGAACTAATGCTAATTCATTACCTTGTTCCGAATTAATTATTTCTATACATGAATTATTTTTATTTCATATACAATAAAATATAAAATCTTAATATCTATCTACTGATAGTCACTAACTAAACTATGCATTTGGTACGTGAGCAAATGTTTGGTACGATAATAATTTTATCTCAATGTTAATTTTATGCATATATTTATTTTATATATTTAGTTATAGAAGACCTTTATAATTACGATAGACAACAAATTCAGAATAGACACAAGCAACAAGCACAAGTATTATAAGCAATATTATAATTAAATAAATGAAAATTATTAATAACACACAAATTTATAATTACATCATTAATACATTCAGTAGAGTCGGTAGAATTAACAAAACTTAGAATTAATTTTTTTAAGAAATAATATTCTCTGATAGCAATTTATCATAATCCCTTCAGGTCAAAATATAAGTTGCAGCAACTTAGATAGCAGTGACATTGGAAACCGTACATAGAAGACATACAATGAATACCTTTTCACCATAATTTAAGAAATGATTACATCAATGTCATTAAATAATTCAAGTTTAAGCTGCTCAGATATTAAATCTCAAGATAAATATATCAGTAAACGAAATAACTGGTACTGCAGCGTATTCTTTAATTACTTAATAATTAATCCTTACATTATAGTTACAACAATTTTGAATGGCACAGACAAATTAATGAACTTTACAGAATTGACATGAAGAGTAAATTTAGAAATTGATTGAATATCAACTACAAGACGGTAGAGTCTGCTATAGACTTGAGGATGATTCAGACGACATGGAAATATCAAAATGGTTTAATTAATCATATATTCAATAAGCATAGGTTTGGTTTACTTACTAAGCTAAGCAGTAAGCTGGTCTAAATTATTACTTATTATCAGCTGGTACCTTAAAAGTAGGCAATAGTCAATAATACTAAACAGTGCAGGCCACACCAGGAACAAAGATATAAACCGCCTTGGATAGACAATTTAATATACACTAAGAAAGCTGAAAATAGAAAACAGCGATCGACGGTATAAGCTGGTTAATAAAGTATGATAGGTAATCACCAAAACATATAAAAAATAAAGTGAACAGGGCGGTGAAATCAAACGAAATCATGACAGCATCCAGCTATTCTTCTAAACCATAATAGTATGAAATAATACAGTGTGAGAGAAAAAAAAACACGAAAAGTTAATATTTAATTTTATAATGTTACTTTGATGAGCAGATAATTGAAGTTAAATCATACAATAAAATATTTAAGATAAAGCTATTTTAATATATTTGATTGCCCAATATAATTAATAATTAAATACTTTTTTTTTCAATGAATTTTATTTGATTTTATTATCATTATTGTTAGTTGATTTTTTGATTTAGATGAAAGATCAGAATGGACTATTATCATCGAAGGAACTACTAACTCAGGTCAAACTATTACAACTAGTGAAAGTGAAACTACCAAAGAATGTTCATACATAGGTATGTTTAATGTTCGTTAAAGATATATTTCAACAATTAGAACAAATATTGTAAGACAGATCTATTTAATAGGTCTTTACATTATATATTATACAGGATGATTCACTAAACATGCTCCCCCCATTTTTTTGATTAAATTTTGCATTTATTCAAATTCTAATTTTTGGAATTTTAAGTGCAAAGTCGATATTTTCGAATACTTAGATTTTTTACTACATTTAAGGAATATTCTGTGATGGTACCATTTGTGGTAGTATGATTGTGGCAGTATGATATAGTAATTAGTAGTGCGATATAATATTTTATTACCCTATGGTAATATTGTGTTATTGTCGTTTTCCTAGTAATTATTGCCACTACTGAATAACTATAGGTGAAAATAAAATCAAACTAGTCACGTCTGATCAGACAACAAATATGGGAACATGAGAAGTATATATAATAGAAAATTAAATACTTACTTTTATAATCCGTGACATAATGATTAATCATAAAAAAAAAAACTCTATTTTCAACGCTGATATGCAAAAGGAAGAACACGCAAGCTATGTTAATAAGTTATAGACAAAGGCGTATTTATAAATTAATAATGAGATGGGGAGGGAGGAGCACAAAAAAACCAAATAAATACTCACAGTTTAAAAATGTACAGTTTCTTTAACAATAGATACGTCATGTTGTTTTAGATTCAGAGTGTAAAATGAAGAATGTATTGGTTTTAAATAATTTTTTTTTTTTTTATATTTATATTTTGACAAACATTTTTACCAGAAATCTTGCTTTGATATGTATGAATGACACCATTTCTGAAAGGAAATATTGTCTAGGCGGTACTTTAGAGGAATCCCGGAAAAAAATCCCTGCAAATAAATCCCTAAAGCAACTATAATGTCAAAATTATATGTATAAAAATCGAATTGAATATAATTTAATCATTAATGGTTTGAGTCTATAGTGTGCACACAGCTGTCAAAAATAATAATAATAAATAATTTAAAAAATATATAATATCGTATGTAGGTATAATCATTAAAACATATTTTAATTTTTCCCTTATGTGGGTTTAATTATTTCCATAGTTGCACCTTCGTACAGTTTTAAATAATTACATTTAACAAAATTACTCAACAGAAACTGAAGAAGCACTAACAGTAATGCCGGGGGTAATATTCATGTAATTAGTAATAAATAACAACGTGTAGATACCAAATATGTATGTCTATATCATTTTTATTTTCCTAATTCCACAATTTATCGCTCTAAAAAATTGATTTTAGATATTTGGCAATTAAAATTAGTTATGCGGGTTTCCTTTAAGAGAGCAGATAGCACAGTTATACTCAACAAATTATTATTTTTTTGAATATTTACTATTTCATTTGTAATCTATAGACTAAAAAACTATACGGATGACAATGATTAGACGATAATTTATACATACATGTATAAATTAAATTAAAATAGGTATGTCTGTAAACTTCTTTAAATATTATTATTATTGTTATTGATAGTATAGTTGTTTTGGGGATTTATTTGAAGCGATTTTTTTTTCGGATTATCCTTTAGAGAGCTCATTTTTTAAATCGCAAACGGTTTTCATATTATATGAAAAAACACAGGATATTGGTTTGAAATATTTGAAGAGATTTTAATTTTTTGTTAAAATTTAGTTTAAAATATTTGTATATACTTAATAAACTTGAAATTTGGATACAAAACTTATATTTGTCTATTCTAAACGCGGTAAAACTGTAAAAAAAATTAAGATATTTATAGAGATTTTCATTTTGTTAGTAATTTTTATTTGGTAGGTACTCTGTGGGTAAAATTGTTAAACTAAACTTAAATACTTGACAATTGAAGAGGAGGTCAATTATAAGTCGTACTTTTTGGTTAAAAGGTTTCATGTGGTATTTTTATAAGAATTTTAATATCAAATTTTTACAAAAATCGTTTTAGTAAAAAACTGGTTCATAATAATTATTTCTATATATAATTATTTTACATTGGCAAATTATATTCTCTAATCTAATCTACAAATCATATAACATATTTTAGTATCGATTTGGAGTCACAACGACAAAAAATAAAAAATACGGACACTGGCGGCACGTGTTGCTAGCGTCCACAACAAAAAACGCTTTTTTTCAACGCTTAGAAGAATTGTACAAATTTTGGGGTTTCTAGTACAAATATGTAAAAATTATAAATGAAATTTTGTTACCGGTTTTGAGTAATATTACTGACCTACGGAGGCCAGCGATATGCAGCTAAAATTTAATATTAAAACGTATAAAAAAAAAACTACATTACACTAAACATTTTTTTTTTTTTTTACCACATAATACAACTTATAATGAACTTCCTACTAAATTTTCAAGTAATTCTGTTTAGTCTTAATAATTTTATTCATAAAGTACCTACCAAATTAAAATTATGTCGGAAACTCTCAAAATTAAATGTCTAAAAATAGCTCAAAAGTTTTAAAATTTAATCACGTTTAGAAAAGCTAAATGTCAGTTTTGTGTCAAAATGTCAAGTCTCTAGGAATATTTTTAACTGAAATGCAACCAAAAAACTTAATTTAAAATAACAAAACCATTATTTTCGTAAATTTTCCCGTTCTTTCTATGTTTTTGTCAGTTTTGTCAGAGAAAATCAAAACGTATTACTTTTACAAAGTTGTGTACAAGTTCATCGATCGTATCTTTGTCATCCTAAATTAGAGAAGGCACGGACTGCTTCTCGCAATGAAATTAAACTACCTGGTACGTCGTAGATTTGTACAATGTACAACAAACTCTTCATTCGTAATCGTAAATTGGGGTTGAATTAATACTGTACATTTACGAATTACGGAGTGTCTCGTAAAACACTAACACTGATTAATCGGAAATATCAAATAAGTACTATTAACTGACTAATTTTATCAACATATCTATTATATTTTTAACATTCGATATGCCTAGCTAACGGATATACGGCTATATCGAATATAAAAATCCGTTTTAAAAATAATACTACGTGTTTCAATCCAGGTCAATAGACTTCGTAAGCAAATTTTTCTGATTAGGTGTGTAATAATTTTTAAATATTCATAACATAACAAGTAAATGTGTTATTAAAAATTGCTTAGTTAATTATTTCATATTCGTGGTTCAAATTGTCCGAGCAGAATCAAATTGCCCGAGCAATGTACTTACACATTGTCCGAGATTCAACATTACCCGTAACATATTTAATAAAATTTTTTTCCGACGAAGCAAATAAAGCCCTGAGTAATAATCGTGTTAATTGTTTATCTTTATGTATAGTGAACCCAGAAGTAGTAGATAAAGTCAAGTTTAAGTATTGGGAACACGAGTAAGTTAAACATTATAATAGCTTGGTAGTCAAATATTTAAAACAAATTCAAAATTATTATAATAATAAAATATTTGAAAAGACTAGTTTTTAATATATATTTCTATAGAAATCGCCCAGGTGAAGTAATTGAACTTGAAAATGAAATCACATTAAAATATTTGTGGAAAAACGAATCATCATTAAAAGTCGTAATCCACGGATGGCGTGGTAGTGATACGATTAGCGACAATATTTTTCGCATAAAAGATAGTAAGTAATTTCTGAGGTAATTTCAGTAATTGTGTAGTGTATAATTTATTTTTATTTTACATGTAAACGCCAGATGGCAATTCCAAATAATAGATACAGTATTACATTTAGTCCCACGTTAAAAAAGTAATTGTTAATATAGGACATATACAGTTGTGAAAGAGAATTATTATAAAAAAGACGCCCTAAGATAATGGAGACGGGTGTAGGCACTGTTAAAGATTATTTAATGTATACCTGTAAGCAACAATAAACCATTGCTTACGAAAAAATGATTCTGAGCGGAGTTCAGTTGATAGAGATGATCTTTCAACAATATACAGTGAAACCTCTAAATACCGGATACTCTCGTCGCCGTAATTTTCTCCTTTAGAGGTGTCCGCTAGTCAGAGGGTGAAAAATAACTCTGATAAATTAATAACTATGTACAACATTTACATATGTAATATGTATATTTTTATTTTTTTAAACAAATATTAATTGTACATATTATTATTTAACATTATATTATTATTTTGTATGTAAAAATACTAATGAAAATATAAATGAAAATTAACATTTATTGACAAAATCAGTTACTTTAGCTTGTTTAAGACCTTGATTTGCTATAAAATTTCCATAAAAATGTCCGTTATTTAGTGTCCGGTGTTTAAAGGTTTTCCTATATAAAAGTGATGAAAATATCCTCGTTCCTGAAAAATCGTCCGCTATTTGGAGATGTCTGCTATTTAGAGGTGTCCGTTAAGGGAGGTTTCTCTGGTATATGTCCCTGGTAGTGGTATATGTCATTTTATGGTAAAATAATTAAATAGACTTTATATATATTTTTTTTTTTAATAATATTTGTTTAATGTTGTACTGTTTTTCCCAATTTTCGTACGTTTTTTCCGAAGTTTTTTCCTAGTGAAATTTCCTTTTGAAAACATTGCTATCATTAAAATTTGAAGAAAAATTACCGATAGAAAATTTGTGCACAGAAAAAAAGAAGGCCGTCATATATTCTAACTATACTCTATACTCTACTATACCAGCCCACAATAGATCATTACCGTGTCACGACCAAAACATATCCGATTTCGCGCATACCCCACCAATCGGCATACAGACAGCTGTTCAGTAACGGCCGACAACGCTCAACGCTATACAGTGTGGGACGTAACATAATACATAAATTAGATACAGTCTGTTGTAGTGAGGACGTGCATTGTTACTGTCATCTGTGTCGAGCGAGCTTACTAATTAATTTTATATTTTGCATTTTATATAATTTACACTGTGGTATAGTGATATTTTCGAAATGGACATCAATGTAGATGATCCTGCCGTTCAAAATATGAATGAGCAATTACGGGGTTCATCCAATAAAAGGAATAAAAACGGACAAGTAAGAATTTTTAAATTATTTTTCAGCAGATAATAAAATATATATTGCATTATAATTTTTACGTGTACACAACTCGTGTTCAGATAATGTCATCGGAACACATTTCCTTAACTGCGATTTATTAATTTAATTTATATTACAAAAATAATGAAATATTTTATAATGTATTTAAAATAGATATGTAATACATTAGTTTTATTCATAAATCAGTAACACTTTCCTTTATAAAATACAAATAAAAAAGAATTCCAAGTATTCAAAAAAATTCAATAATCATAAAATGGTTCTATGCGTTAATTTTTTAACTATATTCTTTATATCGTATTTATATTTTTTTATTTGTTTCAGTTTGGCGGAAGCCGACAGAAATTAATAATTATAAATCTTTATGAAGCCAAAATTATAGAAAATTGTGATATGAAGTATAAAGATTTAATGGGATATTTATCCAAACAGACCGGTATTGGATACAATACAATTTACAATACTGTAAGAGATTACAAACAAAATAAAGAATTGTAGTCACCAAATAAAAAAAAAATTCATCTAACAGTCAACAAAAAGATTGATGACTTCAATAAAAAATCTATTAGACAAAAAATGCATGGTTCTTGGTTAAGACATGAGATACCAACATTAAAAAAAATTATTCAAGCCATCAGTGACGATATGGACTTTCCGACTATACCAAAAACGTCATTGCAGCGTGTTTTAAAAGAGTTGGGCTTTGAATATTCCAAAAGAGCCCGGAACAGCGCTCTTACTGAGAGAGAAGATATTGTGGTATGGCAACAAAAATATATAATAGACATCCGACGTTACAGCAGCGAAGGTCGAACAATATAATTTTTAGACGAGACGTGGGTAAATGCAGGCAAGTGTTGTAGTTAAGTGCGGTTACACACTACTATAAAATCGAAAAATCCAACAGATAAGGGCAAGCGGTTGATTGTTGTACATATAGGCTCAGCAGAGGGTTTCGTCAAGGGTGGTCTATTATGTTTTGAATCCAAAAAAAAAAAAAACACAACAGACTTCCACGACGAAATGAACGGGGACATTTTTTATGACTGGTTTTGCGGAGTTTTGCCCAAATTAAAAGAGAACTCCATAATAGTGATGGACAACTCAGTTACTTCATACCACTCAGTCAAAAAATATCCCTACAATGGCTCGGAAAAAAGAGAAAATAGGACAATGGTTCGAAACGTTGCATTATCGATAAGCCGAATCGCATGTCTATTAATGGAAAAGGTACAAGAAATTAGACCTCTTCATGATCAATATGTTATTGATGAAGAAGCATTGAAATCGAACAAATAATTTTTGTAAATAATTATGCTTCCCCCTCACCCAATAAAATGAAAGTTTGAGATTTGTATCCGCCACTGGGGAAATAAAGTACTCTTTTTAACAAATAATATAGGGTAATATAGGTTATTTGTGGTAGAACGGGGGTGGACATAAGAAATCATGAAGAAACACGGAGACAATAAGAGCTTTTATTTTTTTATTATTTTTTTTAAAAAAAAATGTATGGGACAATAATAATAAAAAGTATCATAAGTAGAAAATATCTTTATTTCATAAGATAAATTATACTTTAATATTTAATATTTAATTAATATTTACACTATATTTTTACCAATCGGATAATGCAGCTTATGTTCGTACCGGCAGATACAACGTTATAAGTGTTAGCTGGGAAGATTTAGCAAGCAAAATAAATTATATGGATTCAGCTAAAATGGTTTCTGAAGTGGGCATAATAGTTGGTTCTTTTTTGAGTAATTTATACTCTCTGAAATTGATTACCCCTGGAGAAATACAAGTGATTGGGCATAGTCTTGGTGCCCAGATTGCAGGATGGATTGGTTTCGTTTTCGAATGCAAAACCAAATTTAAAATTGATAGAATTACAGGTTAGTAACCAATTATTAGTTATTTATTATGTAGTCATAAATATAAAGATAAACAAGTAGGTACCAACTTATACATGTTTACAGGATGATAAATATAACGTATAGTACTCAATTCTTATTTGAGTAACAACGGAATTTTTATTCAAAAAGATTAAAAATATATTGATCCTTATATGAACTACCTAGGATAATTCTTATGTCCCACTGTAATGAAGTAAAGTTATTTTTGAAAAACCTATCAATAGTCCGATATCTTCACGCTTCGGCAAAATGTCGCAGTAAAAAACGTCTCGTGTTCAAAAATGTCGCGAATACAAAATGTCGCCACGTTAAAAAATGTATAATTTTTCAATTTTATCTATATTTTTTTAATTTGATTTGTATTTTTTTTCCGTACTTCAATACGTCTAAATATTGACCATTTCATTTTTAGATTCTGAGTGGAGTGAGGAATGTATTGGTTTAACAATGATGTTTAATTGTTATTATTTTGTTTTTTTTTTTGTGAATTAACAACTTTTCTACCAGAAAATTCACAGAAAATTCGTTTTTATTTTAAATACAGTTTCGAAAATCAAAAAATGACTTATGTATTTACCAAGTAGATAAAATAGACTTTCAAAAAAAGTGATACACTTATACATCGGATCAAGTTTACTAGAATAAAAGTGGTCTACAGTATAAAAAAAAAATTAAATAAAGTACCATTGAAAAAAAAGGAAAAAAAATTGTCTGAAGATTTTGAAAATTTTACCCATCTAGTTAAGTCCAATATAAGTATTATTACCAAGTTTCAAGTCTCTACATGTATTTTTAAGCGAATTACAGCAAAAAAAAACTCCTAAAAATTAAAAACGTATAAAAACACGTCATCCATGTTTTTATAAAATAATGAAATCGTACTTTAAAAAAAAAATACTAAATTATTTAAATTATAACTTATATATAAAAAAAAAAATACTACTTTTATAACGCATATGAAAAGATAATTTTATTTATCTGCCCCCCCCCCTCTCGTCTTATTCCTAGATCCAAATCTAAAAACACGTATAATAATAAGTGCCTGAAAAATTCGCTATGAATTCACAGCCTCTATTATTATTTCAATAATTACTTTTAATTTTACTTTATGGGTTTAATGGTGCAGCATTGGATCCTGCCGCTCCGGGATTCAAGAGTAAGAGGTACATTCCAAACTATTTCAGACCATTAACAATAGATGACGCTGAGTTCGTAGACGTGATCCACACAGCAATAGGGATATTGGGAATTATCGAACCCGTAGGGCACGTTGATTTTTACCCCAACTATGGGGAATCACCACAACCGAATTGCAAAAATGACATTTTTCAATTTCAACAAAGTAAGTAGATATCTATGTATAGTGGTTAAAATGAACAGAATAAAGGAGGACGGATTCTCACTTCTTGTTTACGGCAAAATTATGCGTCCTTTTTAATATATAATAATTTTTCAAAGTTTGAGGGGGGGGGGTTAACAAGAAATGTATTGTAAATTTACATTGGGTGTACAAATTTAATAATTTATTAGATATAACATTATTATTATCTTACATAAGACGTATTAGTTATTAATTGTTTACTGTTTACATTAATCAACATCTAGCAAGATTAGTTATTGTTTCATTTCAGTTTTGTCACTCTTAAGATTTTAAAGACTGTTTGGTATATCATTAAATAATAACTTGGTTAAGATTTAATCTTGTAATATTATTATAATTTAAATTATCAACGTGATATTGAATGTAAATTAGTTTTTATTTGACTTTTTATTGAAATATATAAAACTAAAACAACGTTAAAAATTGAATATCCTTTTTTAACATTTCAGGCTAAGAATTGCAATTCATTTTTACTAAACATGCATAATGTGTGTAGGATCATCTTTCTTAGGAGGAAATGTGTTTTTACATCCTGTTAACGTACAATTTTTATAAGCAAAGCTGTATACAAGAAAAAAAAATGATAGAGGTTTAGACCTCGTGAGCTTCTTAAAACAGTTTGGTTATATAAGTATAGACTTAGGTAAGACCTCGGGAACGTTTTTCAAACTTCAGTGACTATCGTTTCTCTGAAACATTATTTTCGCTTTAACCACTGCCTATGTAGATGTATCGTTAAACAATATTACTGTTAACCCTTTCAGTCCTGAATTATTTTTTTAAATTGTGGTACGAATTATGTGCATTACAAATTTGGTAAACTTTAGACTTGCCAAGTGGGAAATAAAGTGATGGTTTGTACGAGGCCACTGGGTCAGTAAGGAAGTCAAATATTTTTTTTATTTTTGATCGTTGTTATTATGCACAATTTTGTTACATACAATTTTTTATTTAACATAAAACTAGATTTCATTCATCTTTAATTTATATATTAAATACATAGACCTTAGTACCTATTAACGTATTATCAGGTATATTATTAAATAATATGATTTAAAATTATATAGTTTACAATAACAAAATAAGTACAAAACAGTAAACAGAAAAAAACATACATTTTAAATAGGAAAATGTTGATACCGATAACGCCCGGTGGCTTCTCTGAATGCCATAATGTAATCAAATGTAAGCCAATTCGTGGGTATTGACAAAACGACAGCTTATCCACATAGAAACACCTCTTATCGTGGAAGAAATGATAAAACCAGATTTTTAATATCACGATTAGTCGAGTTATCAATAAAAATGAAACTGATATAATGATTTTTTAAATTGTTTTTATTCAAACTCGAATAAAACTTTATGAATTTATACCACATCGTTGACATTAAATGCTTAATAGAATCTAGATAAAATTTACTTTTTAAAGAGATATATAACGACTTTACATGTCATTTAGATAAATTATTTACGAAACGTTTTAGTACATGGCTTCGTACAAGGCCTAGGGGACTGAAACAGTTGTAACCGCGTGTACAATAACATTAATACATAATCATTCTCTAGTAATATGCAGTCATCGGCAATCGTATCTATATTACGAAGAGTCCATCAATAATAGTTACGATTTGGAAAACAATAGCTATGTTAAATGTTCTTCAGCAAAAGAATTCAAAGAAGGTAAATGTGCAAACAGCGATTTGAAAAATTATTTGGGCCATTATGCGGATCGCTGGTAGGTATTATAATTAAATCTTACGAATGTGTGTTGACACAATCCCGTTCGTATAGAATTTATGCAATTGTTTTTTTTTCGCCAATATTTAGAATGAATTTGCACGATTTCTCATACATTCGCATGACCCTTATGTACACCAGTAAAATCGATTTTCCTATTTCCGCTTCTAATTTTGACTGTGCAAATTGATGCTAATTGTATGCTAAAAATTGATAAAAAAAAAAATAATAATAATAAATTCTAAAAGGACGGAGCTGGCGTAACGCATTTATTGTACGAACAGTTCGAAAACGGACGTATTATAATTTATCAAATTTGTTCTACACATAACAGGGTAACAGGTAAATTTTATCGGAATTTCAATTCGAGACCGTTTGAAGGTGGAGATATGTATGATAGCGATGAAGAACAATAATATAGGTAATAGATATTGGATCAATATATAGACAATTTACTAGTGGCAATAGAAAGCAGATCAGATATACTTACCCATCAAGAATAAAACAATTTTCGCTAGACGTCATTCTGATAATAATTATAATATATATATTGTAAAACATATTGGCTTTTTAACAAAATTAATTTTTTAGTATAATAATTAATTGCACTGTATAATTAATTTTTTTTTGTTTCGTGTTATAAGAATTGTGTACTATTTCGTTGTTTCTTATTCTTATTATTCTTATTTCATTATTGATTAGATTAACTATTTAAGACAAATAATTCTTGACGTCTACAAACGGGCAAAACACGATTGCGTAGGTAGGTGCACGTTGGTTATCGGTGATACCGTTTTAAGCTACACGGTTGCGTACGTTTTTACCTACAAGATAGCGTACGAAATATTATTGCAAATTTTCATACCAGTATGTACCACACGACTATACGAGTGAACTGGAAATAATTTATAAATACTTTCAACTATGCGTATTTCCATAACCATTGAGCTATTTATTACCTACGTTTATTGTTCATGACATCGGATTCACATATTACCTCTAAAACATTTCAGTTGAAACGAAATTTCATTATTTCTGAAACATAGGATATTTATTGCCTTTCAGTTCATCGTCATACGCGACCAGGCGCGTCACCGAAGGGGGCGATCGCTCCCCCCCCCCACCCAAAATCCGTGTGATGTTCTTTTTTGTTATACAAAATAACCATAATTCTTAAGTACAAATGCAACTGATTTCAAATGCCATAAAGATGATTCCGGATCTTGAAAATACTTTGATTGAATTAAAAATGAAACACTTCTCATATATAAATTTTAATATTCTCTCAAGGGTGAGATAGAATGATAGAAAACTAAGTGGGAACAATCAATTTGTAAAGATATAATAAAATAATATATTCTTAGAATCAAAATTGGAAATGATTAATTTAATTTAAATTTTAAATTCTGAGTGTAGCGAAGAATGTACGTATTGGATTTACAATGTTTTTTTTTTTTTTTTTATATACTTTGAAAAAAATTTCTACCAGAAATCTTGCTTCAATATGTAAGTGTAGCACTCTTTTTAAAAGAAAATATTGTCACATTGACTAGATGGTACTTTAGGAAGGTAATTTTTTGATTTTCCAAGCAGTTTTCATAATAACAGGAAAACCAAAGATAAAACGGAAGAAAAACGGGAACATTTACAAAAATAATGCTTTTATTATTTTAAATTTTGTTTTTTGTTGTAATTCAGTTAAAAATATTTGTAGACTTGAAATTTGGACAGAAAACTTGTATTTGCCTTTTCAGGCGTGGTAAAATTTTTGAGCAATTTATAGACATTTTAATTTTGAGAGTTTTATACGTTATTTTTATCCGGTAGGTACTCAAGCTGTAGATAAAATTGTTAGACCAAAACAGAAATGCTTGAGAATTTAACATGATGAGGTTCATTCAAAATTCGAACTTTGTGGTAAAAACATTTTTTTAAGCAGAGGCTAACTGGCTTATCACTTTTAAATTATTCATCGAAATGAAAACATTAGTATAGAAAATATTGTTGATATGGTGTTATCCTGTTGATCAAATCGCTTGCAAAACGCTGCTTAAAATAAAAGTATTTTGGACTTGGTCATCTAATTTTTATTAATTATTATTATTATTATTTTTGTTATCCATATCATTATTATTTTAATTATTATTTATTTAGTGTGAAAAAACTTTTAAATTGTACTATTTTACTGCATTAGTACAATATATCTGTAGTCTTCTAATCTAATATAAGTTGAAATAACATCAGACATAAAAGTTTTGCGTTGAAATTAAAGAGTAAAAAATGTTCACCCCCCCCCCATGGAATTGATCCGAAGACGCCCCTGAGCAATTCTATTAACCGAGCTCCGTTCAGAATTGTTTTTTTTTACCAATGCTTAAATGACAGATTTACATTAAATTTCCCTCAATATCGTACGTTCCCAACTTCTCATCTATAACGGTGGTCCATCAATCATGTGAAGAATGTAAGTATTTTTTCTCATAAATTATTAATGTTAAATTTAATTATTTCGCCTCCCCCCCTTCATATTCAAAGTTTGGAGGCACCCCTGCACGTAACGTTTAGAAATATGGAAAACGCAATTAAACTTTTTATTAAATTTTTGTTACCACTAATTTCGACTTATAATGAACCACTTGACAACTGTTTAGGCATTTCTTCTGCTTAGTTCAACAATTTTAGGTATTTACCAGGTGATCTATTTAAGTGGTTACACTTATTATCTCGGAAAGTATTAACTTTTTCCGATCTTTTGTTTTCTAGAATATTTAAGAAACAAGTTACTCTACAATTTTGTATTTATGTTATTTTTTTGTCACTTTTATTTTTAGGGTTATAACCACTATCTAATTTTGATTTTCAAATGATTTTAACCTATATTTAAACATTTTATAAAAAGAACACGCCGTTAATAACAACACGTCACGTGCCGTAACGCCACACAAATGATACTCCACTCCTCTCCTATGACCCAAACCTAAAAGTGGAATGTCTTGTAAACAGATTAACGGAAATCAAAAATGTCAACACTAAAATTTATTTTAACTAATACTTTATAGAATTTTTAATATATGTAACTATTTGAAAATCAAAAGTAGGTGGTGGTTTTAGCCTCAAAAATAAGGTTGATCAATCAAAAAATAACATAATTACAAAATTGTAGAGTACTTTTTTTCTTAAATATTCTAGAAAACAAAAGTTCGTAAAAAGTTAATACTTTCTGAAATAATGAGTGTACCCAAATTGGATCTCATAATACAGAGTACTTAGTTATACAAATTCAAGAAACAAGAACTTTGGTCATTTTTCAAGTTGAACAAGTTTTCCTTTAGAAAATGTGTTCACAAAATGAAAGAAACACATACATCATAATAAAACCAAACTCCACTCCCAATATAATAATTAATATACTTTAGGTTATAACCCAATATCAACCTAATGAAATTATTTTCAGATGTTGAATATAATTATAAGTACCTATTATTATTAATATAATATACATATTAGTCTGTAAAAGTTTCAGCTCTCTACAATTATTTTTAACTGAATTAAATAAAATAGAAAATAATGAAACCGTTAATGTCATAATATTTCCCATTTTTTCCAAATTATTAAGAAAAATATTAGGAAAATCAAAAAACTACTTACTGTACCAGCTTGATCCAAAAATCTTCAAAAAAGTTCTCTTAATGATTTTTTTTTTTTTTTTTGATTGGGAAAGATTTCTGATAGAAAAATTGTATAACTACAGAAAAAAGAAAGCATAAAAAATAGTACAACCAATACCAATACGCCATGCTCAGTATCTAAAAAAAAAAAATAGGTATACATAGTTATTATAGATCCATATTAAATATGTTATCATTTGAAAAAAATTGTTTTGTAATAATTAATTTTAGAGTTAATTAGTAGAGAAACACTTATATTATATTATGTAGTAAAAAGGTATCAAATAATCTTAGTACTTTATTTTTACTTAATAGATTAATAATAGTGTGTACTGTTGAATGTTTCATAAGTAGTAGAAGGAAAATGCATAGGTATCAAAATATATTATAAAATAGTTTATGGTATATAATTTAGTATGCACCTGCTAAAAGAATATGTATTATAAACTATGTAAAATAAGATTCAATTTTTTTATTTTGGATAATTATTTGTACTTAGGTAGGCAGTTAAGAGTTTAAAAAAAATACCAAGAAAACCTTATTTTCTACAATTGTAAATATCTAAAGCAATAAAAAAATAATTCCATTTTATCAGTAAATTATATAAAATTAAACCATACCTAATATAGACTGTTCTCACCAACATAAATGCTTTTGTTAATCTGATTTTCAAACTGAGCTTTTGGCTGACAGCCAACCATGATTGGTCAGTTATCTTATATACATCATTTAAAATTCAATGTTTATGTTGGTGAGAACGGCCCTAATTTTTCCTTCATAATACGAGTTAATAATGATGTAATAATAGTATAATGATGATAGGTAGATAGGGGATATATGGAGGGTAAAAATAAAAGTAGCTGATTAGATATGCACGGATATAAATTAAGGAGAATGCACAGGATATAAGCGAAGGAGAAGAAGTTATCTTTTATAATTATTACATTTTATTTTTATCTAAATATAATCTTGGCTATTCTTAAAACTAATAACTATAACTTTAATATATATATATATATATATATGTATATATAAATATATAATATATATATTATTATTATTAATGATAACTGAAATAAAATTTAATAACAAATTACTACATATGATATGTGATAGTAATTATAATAGATCTGAATACTGAGTATATTCAATAATCTGATGAGAATCCATATGTTTTGTTTTTTTGGAAAAGTTTTTAAGTTCTTTATTATATACTTTTTCAAATGTTTGTCCAGGAGACACAGTAAATAATGACATTAAAACATTAAATAAAGTTTGTGCTTTATATCGAATTATTCTTTCCTGTTCAATTGAAATTGGTTCATTTACATTACTAATACAATATAGTGACACTTTAGAAATTGTATCTAATATTATTTTATATTTTAATAATGTTAGGGTAGTAAATTTGAATTTATGTAATCTATCCAATGCTGTTATTGCTGCTCCATAATTAAAATACTTAATTTGTAAATTTGTAATTAAAATTTTTAAACAACTCAGAATATTTATTTCTAATTCAATTTGTGCTTTTAACAATTTTCTGTAATCAGCATTTGTTTCATGTCCTTTTTTATATATCATCCCTTTGGTATCTATATTTCTTATACCTATATAAATTAAACAAAAAAAATACAAATCAAAATGTTGTATATATCGTCTAAAAAGGCACAACAGTAATTCAAAAGTATTTTACCTTCAGTTTTAGAAGAATGTTCCTGTGAATGATCAATTTTATCATTGCCAACTATTTGCTTTTTACTTGTACATATATTTAGTTTACTTTTATGACCTGAGCAAGATACATAATTTGCATTTTCATTAGTATTAGAATTAATTTGGTAAATGTTTTTAATTTCTGCCATTGGTTTTGAATCATTACAACTATTTATTATCATGTCACTAGATTCAACAGAAGATCCACTTGTTTTAATCAATTGTCCTTCATCATTAACAATATAGTATGCAGCATATTTCTGTTAATCAAAATGTATTTATACTATAGTTATTATTTATATAAACCATTCTTTTTTTTTATATTTCATGTTAAACTAGGAACAGTGTCACATAGAAAGGTGTAGGCTTTGAGCCTAGATTCTACACTTGACACTTATAGTAATATTTAATTTGTATAATTTTCATAAATAGCCTGTTATTGTTATTATTATCAAATTTTTCCTGAAAATAAAGAATACTGCACTGTATTGAATCTGTTATATATATATCTTTTTCTCACTACTTTTAAATATTTCTAGTGGCTACATGACCAAATTAATTCAAATTCGAGAATTATAGATTTTTTCGTTAGTAAATTAAAATGATAAAAATTGAGTTGAATCTCAATTTTATTTCAATCACATTGTTTTGGGTAGATGGTGTTTTTTATAGCTTTTTACACCCCATAAAAAGACATAAAAGTCAAGGGGATCAAATTTTATATACTTATGAACGGTGTTAGGAATGTATTTTTGGAGATACCATTTTTATAATAAAATTTCACCATTATTATAAAAATGGTATAATTTATTGTAGTATTCAAATATTTATTGTTTTGAAATTAACTACTTTTACTATACAAATAGGCAAGGAAAATAAATTCAGCACTAGTGAACTCAGTTGGCTCACGGTTTTTTTTTTTAAATTGTATATGTATGAAATGATAAGTATGTTTTTAGATTTTGAGCAAAGCGAGGAATGTATTAGGTTTACTAAGATATGTGATTTTTTTTGTGTGTGTGAGAAACTTTTTTACCAGAAATCTTGTTCTAATCAAAAAATGATAAGTGACCTTTTTTGTTGTTTCTTGCATCTAGACAGTAGGTAAGAAAGTTATGTTTTGATTTCAACCTGTTTTCATAATAATAGAAAAAAATTGTAGTAAATATGGGAAAGTTCTCACAATTAATGATTTCATTATTTTCAATTTTGGTTTTTTTGTTGTATATCAGTTAAAAATTATCATAGAGGTTGAAATTGCCACAGAAACTTATAATAACCTTTGATAACATGTTTCAAAACATTTAGAAAATTTGTTTTATAACTGTTTTAAGATTAAATTTTAAAGAAAATTGTAAATATTACAGACTTTAAAAACATGTATAACCAAAGTTCACTCAGAATTTTTAGTAGTAATGGTTTACCGTTTTTTAAAGATAAAAATTAAATAACATTATGTCAAGGCATGTCTTTAGAACATGATAATGCCATTTTTAAAGCTCTTCCAATGATAACATTGATTGATAGCTAAAAGAGTGAGTAGTTTTACACTCAGTAAGAGTAATTAATTCAATACTAAATGTTTATATCTTTATTAATGATAACCAGTTGTACCTATTCAAATTAAAAATAAGAATACACACGTTTATGCATGTACACTAAGCATCAAACAAAATAAGTAAAATAACAAAATTTGAGAATATTATTATTTCTTATATACTTTCTTGAACATGTTTACAAAATCTTAGTATTTGTTTCAATTTATTCTAATATAACAGTATGGATTTAATGAGTATTACAGGAGTCTAATAGAAACAATTTTATCACTACCACCCATTGATTTTATTTAAATAAAATATAACATTAAAAAAAAAAGCCAAGGAAGGGTGTGCCACTGTTATAGATAGAAATTTGGAAAGGTAAAATACAGGAAGTTATTTAATTTATACCTGAAACCAACGATAAACCAATTTGAAACGAAGCTTAGTTATACATGTTTTAAAAGGCAATAATATTTAGCAATTTTCGTCAAAATTGTCTACTAAAATTCTTAAAAAAAAAATACTACATTACATTAAATTTTTCTTTTAATCATTGAGTACAACTTATAATGAACTTTCTGCTAAATTTTTGTTAGTTGAACAATTTTATCTACTGATCACCAATCAGGTATCAGATACCTATCTACCAAATAAAATGTATGTAAAAAAAAACTAAAATGGCTCAAAAATTGCTAAAACATTTGAAAATATTACCATATCTAGAAAAGGCAAATATAAATTTTCTGTCCAATATTCAAATTTCTACGAATATTTAGAACTGAACTACAATAAAAAAAAACAGTTGAAAATTATAAAATAAATAATTCCATACATTTTTCCATTTTATCTACATTTATTTTTGGGTTTGCTCAATTATTAAAAAAACTACAGGGAAAACTAATAATGTCTTTATATTCACTGACTAGATTAAAAATTCAACAAAAAAGATAACTTCTCGGTTTAGTATTTAAGAAATGTCTGATAGATAAAATAAAACGCAAATATATAAAATAATGAAATTGTAATACCATAAATTTATCCATTTTTGTTTTAAGTTCTTTTTGAGGTTTTAACCACTATTATAAAAACTAGTGATGGGCACTATCAAATAGTCACTTACAAACTATACAATAGTTGATCACATTTAAATAGTTGACTTACTTGATAGATTTCATTCGAACTATTCGACTAAACGAATAGTTTATATTCGGTCACAGGAAAAACTAATTAAATAGTTTTAATTCCATTGTTTTTACTTGGATTTTTCTTCTCAGATATTATTAAAATATTTTTCTTTTTCATTCACTAAAGGTGTATAACCAACTGCAGGTAGCGTTTTGTAGAATTATTTACCTATAGACTATAATCAAATAGTTTTATTATAAACAAAAATATTTTAATAATATTGGGGAAAAACAATGAAGTAAAAACTATTCGAAAATTCAAATAATTTTTCCCGTGACTCAATAAAAACCATTAGAATACGGACTATTCAAAATATTTAATATTTTTTTCCAAATATAAGTATTCGGTCACGGAAAAATATTTGAATGAAATATTTGATAATTTATCCAAACTATAGAAAACTATAAGTAATATAAAACATTTGATAGCATCCATCACTAATAAAAACTACTTACTTTGTGAGCATCTGATAATAAAATGCAAAACAAAAGATTTTGTTATTTCTCTATTGGAATAATATTTCTGATAGAAAAAATAGTTTGAAACATTAAAAACAATGAAATCAGTAACTCCGGCAACATGCCTTAAAATTTGTCATTTTTTTCAACAATTGTGTTTTCCCAATTATTATGAATACCCCTTGAAAAATGAAAAAAATGACTTCACCAATGCACCAACTAAAAAAATGTCCATTAATAGAAAAGTTGCTCACACAGAACAAAAAATTTATCGTAGTCATTATTTTTTATAAACTGATTTTCTTTTACTTTCCATATTTCAAATGAAAAATTTTAGAATTTTAGTACATATTAATGAATATTTTGCCACTTTTTAGTAGATAAGTTACTTACATTAACTTACCAAGCCCTAGGCATCATATAAATATATCATTTCCATATCACCTTATCAAAAGTACACACAATTTTTTAATATGTTTAGGACTATACTAATACATTAAAGTATCCTAAGTGCTTGTTAGCACTAACAGTTAGGTTGGTTAGTGAACAGAATTTTGCTGCAATGCAACAAGAAAAATCATCAAAAACAAACACTTTACAGTTTACAAATAACCCTTAAGATATTATATTTAACTTAATTTAATCTTTGTAAATGGTTTATTGATATTACTAACCGGCTGTTTACCAAGTGCTTTTGCAATAAAGTAATCAGACAATCTGTCAAGCTGAACTGATACACTGTATTTAAGTTTTTCGTCTAAATATTTTGGATTAAATTTTTCTGAAGATACATGACAAAAATAATTTCTCTTTATATTTTTAGAAATGGGAGAAAGTTCACTTTTTTTCTGGATTTTATCTAATTTAACTGGAGATGATCTTTGTTCCGAATAATATATGTTACTTGATGTAAATATTTGAACATTCTTGTCAGAATTAACATTAGATATTACTTTGGAATGATTAAGTTCATAAGGAACTTTTTTTTTTCGCAGTACTATATCATTTTTTTTAAGTAAATTTAATTTGTTATTAGTTTTTATTTCTTTATCAACTTTTAAATTAGATTTGTTTATTCCTTCAATTATATTGATATTTTCCAATTTATCTGAATTGAATTGATGGTTTGTGTTACTTAAAGTAAATTCTTTTATATTTTCATTAGATCTGTCACTACATGTTTCTTTAGAAATAAAATTTAGCATATTTTTGCTAGATGTCTGATTCTGTTTTTCTAACAAATTTGATTTCCCTTTGATTTTGATGTTCTCTATGGATTCAAATTTAAATTGGTTTATATCCAAAACTTCATTAGTGGAAGCCAATTTATCTTGAGAATCTATTTCTTTTGAATAATTACTACTTCTTGATGATGTAACTACTTTTGCAACCTTATCAGATTTGACATTAGGAATTGCTTTAGAAACATTAAGTCCATAAAGACCTGTTCTTTTTCGTGGTACTCTATTATTATTTTTAAGTAAATTAAATTCATCATTGCTTTTTACTTTTTCATCAACTTCTAAATTAGATTGGTTTATTCCTTCAATTTTATTAATATTTTTCAATTTATCTGAATTTAATTGTTGGTATGTGTTATTAATGTTACTTAATGATATAATTTCATGTATATTTTCATTATTTTTGTCACTACATGTCTCTTTGGAAATAACAGCAAATTTATTTTTGCTTAATGTAAGATTCTGTTTTTCAACTGAGTTTGTTTTCTCATTGACTTCGGTGTTTTCTATGAATTCTAAATTAGATTGATTTATTTCTGCAATTTCATTGATGGATTCCAATTTACCTGGAGATAGTATTGATTTTGAACAATTTGTGTGACAATTTAGTGTGAATACTTGTGCATACTTATCATATTTAATATTAGAAATTACTTTAGAAATATCATGACTCCTTTTTTTTAATGGTACATTCTTGTTTTTATTAATTAAATTTGATTCATCTTTGTTGATTATTTTTTCTCTACCTTCTGAATTGAATTGATTAATACATTCAAATTGATTGGAATATTCCAATTTATCTGGAAATGATTGATGGTTTGTATTATGAATGCTACCTAAAGTAAATTTTTGCATATTATCCATATTGGATTGATCACTACATATTTCTATAGAAATGGCATTTAGCTTATTTGTGCTTGAAGCTTGATACTGTTTTTCTAACAAATATGACTGCTCTTTAACTTTGGTGTTTTCTAAGCATTTTAATTTTAATTGATTTGTATCTAAGATTTCATTGGTGTATTCCAATTTTTCATGAAAGTCTATTAGTTTTGAATAATTATTATTACTTGATGTTGTTAATAATTCAGCATCCTTAACAGATTGATCATAAGATATTAATTTAGAAGCATTAAATCCATTAAAACCTATTCTTTTTCGAAGTACTGTATTATTGTTTTTAAGTAAATTTAATTCATCATAGTTTATTATTTTTTCATCAATTTCTAAATTAGATTTATCTTTTTCTTCAAATTGATTGATATTATTCAAATTATCTGAATTTAATTGATGGTTTGAGTTATTAATTTTACTTAATGGTATAAATTCATGTACATTTTCATTATTTTTGTCACTACATGTCTCTTTAGAAAAAAATATATTTTTGCTTAATGTAAGATTCTGTTTTTCAACTGAGTTTGTTTTCTCATTGCCTTCAACTTTTTCTATGCATTCTAAATTAGACTGATTTATTTCTGCAATTTCATTGGTGGATTCTAATTTATCTTGAAATGGTATTGATTTTGAATAATTTGTATGGCAAGGTATTGTAAATACTTGTGCATCCTTATCAGAATTAGTATTAGGAATTATTTTAGAAGTATTAAGACTCCTTTTCTTTAATGGTACATTGTTTTTTATGTTAATTAAATTTGATTCATCATCGTTGGTTATTTTATCTTTACTTTCTAAATAAGATTGATTAATAGCTTCAAATTGATTGGTACTTTTCAATTTATCTAAAAATGATTGATAGTTTTTATTATTAGTGTTACATAATGGTATAAATTCTAACATATTCTCATCAGTTTTGTCACTACATGTTTCTTTAGAAATAACAGCAAGTATATTTTTGCTTAATGTAAGATTCTGTTTTTCAACTAAGCTTGTTTTCTCATTGACTTCGACTTTTTCTATGCATTCTGAATTAGATTGATTTATTTCTGTAATTTCATTGATAGATTCTAATTTACCTGGAGATAGTATTGATTTTGAACAATTTATATGACAATTTTGTGTGAATACTTGTGCATACTTATCATTTTTGATATTAGAATTTACTTTAGAAGTATCATGACTTCTTTTTTTTAATGGTACATTTTTTTTTAAATTAATTAAATTTGATTCATTTTTGTAGATTATTTTTTTTTTACCTTCTGAATTAGATTGGTTTATATCTTCAAATTGATTGGTGTTTTTCAATTTATTTAAATATGACTGATAGTTTTTCTTATCAATGTTACTTAATGGTACAAACTCTAACATATTCTCATTAGTTTTGTTACTACATGTTTCTTTACAAATAACATCAAGTATATTATTGGTTAATGTAAGATTCTGTTTTTCGATTGAACTTGTTTTTTCTTTGAACATGGTTTTTCCTATGCTTTCTAAATTAGATTGATATATTTTTGGAATTTCATTGATAGATTTCAATTTATCTTTTGATGGTATTAATTTTGAATAATTTTTACAACACAATATTGTGGAAACTTCAGCATCCTTATCAGATTTCATATTAGGTATTACTTCAGAAATATTATGACTTTTTTTTTTTAATTGTATTTTATTTGTCATATTAAGTAAATTTGATGTATCTTTGTTGATTATTTTTTCTTCAATTTCTAAATTAGATTGGTTTATTTTACCAACTGCATTGTCATTTTTCAATTTATCTGAAAATGTTTGTTGGTTTTTATAATTGATGTTACTTGATGTTGTAAATTCATGTATATTCCCAACAATTTGGTCACTAAATATTTTTTTTGAAATAACATGTTGTTTATTTGTTTTTGATGCAATATTTTGTTTTATGGATAAACTGGATTGCTGTTTGACTTTTTCTTCACCTTCTAAAGTAAATTGGGTTATTTCTGCAATGCCATTAAAAGTTTCCAATTTGTCTTGAAATGGGCTTTGTTTTGAATGATTTAACTTATTTGATGTTGTAAAGACTTGTGCATCCTCCTCGGATTCAACATTTAAAATATTAGGACTTATTGTGTTTTTAAGTAAATTTGATTCATCTATGTATGTTATTTTTTCTTGTTCTTCTAAATTAGATTGGTATATTACATTAACTTGTTTGTTATTTTTCAGTTCATCTGAAAATGATTGTTGGTTCTTATTATTGTCATTTATGATTGTTATTAATTCTTGTATTTCCTCATTAGATTGGTCACTACATATTTCTTTAATAATAAAACAACCAGTTTCATTTTTCTTTGATGGAAGATAATGTGTTTTTAACAAACTTGACTCCTCTTTGAATTTGTTATTATTATTACCTTCTAAATTAGATTGGTTTATTTTTGAAATTTCATTAATAGTTACTAATTTATTTTGAGATGGTCTCTGTTTTAAATAATTTATGTTACCTGATATTTTCAATGATTGTGCACCTTCCTCAGATTTGAAATTGAAATTATTTGAACTTCTTATCTTTATCGGTTCCTTATTTATTTTCAGCAAATTTGATTCATCTTTGTTTTTTTTTTTTTTTAAAAAAGATTTTATTTTTTTTTTTAATACGCCGATTTCAGCAATATCATCCAAAGATGATTGTTGGTTTGTATTATTAATATTACTTGATGTTGTTAATTCTTGTATCAGATTGTTGTTATCAGATCGGTTACTGTATACTTCATTAGAAATAATATCAAGTATATGTTTTGCTGATATAAGATTCTGTTTTTCAATGAAACTTGATTCCTCTTTAACTTTTTCTTTGTCTTCTAAATTAGATTGATTTATTCTTGTAATTTCATTGATGGATACTAATTTATCTTGAGATTGTATTTGTTTTGAATCATTAAGATTAATTAATGCTGTAAATACTTGAGCATCCTTATTATAATTGATATGAGATATTACTTTAGAAATATTATGGCCCTTTCTCTTTATCGGTATCTTTTTTTTTACTTTAAATAAATTTAATATATCTTTGTTGATTATTTTTTCTTTACCTTCTAAATTAGATTGATTTATTCCTCCAACTTGGTTGAAGTTTGATTTATCTAAATATAATTGATAGTTTGTATTACTAATGTTATTTAATGTTGTAAATTCTTGAATATCCTCATCAGATAGGTTAGTAAGTATTTGGTTAAAAATAACATATTCATTATTTCTTGATTCATGTTTCTGTTTTTTAGACAAACTTGAGTCCTCTTTAATTTCAATTTTTCTTTTGCCTTCTAAATAAGATGAATTTATTTTTTCAACTTGATTGATATTTTTAAATTTATCTGAAGATAATTTTTGGTTAGAACTATTTATGTTATTTGATGTTGTCAATACATCCTCATCAGATTGGTCACTACATATTTTTTCTGGAATTTTAGGACTACTTGGTTTTACCTTATTCTTTTTTTTCCGCAAATTTGGTTGACTTTTGATTCTTTTTTTTTCTTCGCCTTTACTTTTTATTTCCTTAAAAATGTCACTAATTTTGTCAAATTCATTTGATGACGTTTCTTGTTTTTGTATGTTATTTATGTTGCACGTTGATCCATCATCTATAGTGTGATCTAATGAGTCAGTATCATTTTCAATTTCTAAAAGTGCTTTAGCAAAATGTTGAAGTACATCAAGTTTTCCTTCAGGATTTGAAAACTTTAGCTTATTTTTTTGGTATGGAACTAGTTGTTTGGATTTACATAATGAATAACCACCAGTTCCATAAAAGTATACATTATATCTTAATTTTAATGATGAATTAATTACAATATCAGTTATAATTGCAGGCCAAGGAGGATAACCAGATGTTGTTGCAAAAACTTTGTCTTTTACATTAAATATTCTTTTGGAGCACATTGTACAAACCTATAAATAATGAAAAAAAATGTTTAATAATAATCAAAGACAAATAATATATTATACATAATACAGATACTGAATATTATATTCACTAAAAAATATAATAATAAATTATATAATATTATTGATCATGGATGCTTTTGTTTTATTAATACAATGTAACTTTATCATGAACCAGGTATTATTCAAAAAGTTGTTAAGTACATTTGATATGGTTACTTTTTAAATAGGTATTTTTTAATGATCTTATATACAATATTTTAAAAATTGTACACTCATTATTTATACTAAATATATACTTAAATTTACAATTGATTTTTAAAGATCAACTCATTTTGGATTCTGGGCAGAGCAAGGAATGTATTGGTTATACAATTTTTTTATTTTATTTACCTCAGAACAACTTTTCTACCAGAAATTTTGCTTTGATTTTTAAGTGTTTTACTTTTTCTAAAAGAAAATTGTACTGGCGTAGTATTTTAGGGCAGTCATTTTTTGATTTTTTTTCAGGGGTTTTCACAATAAAAGGGAAAACTGAGTAAAAACAGTAAAATGTACAAAATTTAATATTTGTAAATAAATATTATGGCCTTTTAAAACATATGCAATCAAACTCTACTCAGAATCGTTTTTTGTTAGCAATGATTAATTGTTACCTACAGATATATATTGAATTTACTCTCTACCTCCCCAACTTTTCACCTACAATAATGGCCTAACCATTATGTATATCCATTTATTTTTAAACTTACATATTTAAAAATGTTAATATGTATAATGTATAACACTAATATCATATTATAGTTTAATGTTTAGTCCAGTAGAGTAAGGAAGGGATATTTAAAAAAAAGTCATGAAATTTATCGCCATTCTCTACTATTTTAATCTTAAAATGTTACAACCAAAACTTTGATTTTATAGCACTTAAATGTACTGAAATACGCCCTAAAATATTATCATAAAAACCTTAAATTATGCACTGTAATATGCCCTATAAAAAAAAATAAACAATGTTATTTGTTTATAATTTTGTATTAACAATTTGTAAGTAACATTAGATTAGGAAATTCTGAAAATAATAAAATTCAAATGAGATAATGAAAAACCCAAAATAATTATTAAAATTTTTTCAAATATCCAAAACACAATTGTATTATTTAGAATCATCAAGGTATAAAAAAATGTGTAGCTCACTCTGCTTTTTATACCTGTATCTTTTAATAAATAGCAAATATTACAAAATTATAAAATCTAATGATTACCTATAATCCCTGGTTATAAATTATAAACGATATATACCTATAGTATCTGATATTAATGTTAAACATATAAATATTTGTAGAAAAATGCTTCTCATTTCAAATGTTAATATATCTGTATGGAATGAGAGCAAATATTTAAAATATTGTTTAAATGATCATTAAAAAAAAAAAAATTATCATCAAACTATTCTTTAATGATTGAATAAACCAAAATCAAATTTACCATTAATAATCACTGGTTCTTAGTATAAGAATCACCCTATATAAAGAACCTATAAACTTTTGAGTTTAAGTTATTTTATTGATAAACAATACCCTAGATTAGTGGTTCTTAAAATATGTTTAATAGTAAAATAATATAAGTAATAATAATTGTAATACATTTTAAAATGAATTAAAGAATAATATGGTGACTTAGTCATGATCAGGGCTCGGAAGTTATTGCATTAAAAAACATGAAAATTGGTTGCATTATTAACAAATATTTAAAATTGCACTTAAAAATTGTATTATTGCTGTAAAAATATCCATAATTTCACTTAAAAATTACATTATTGCTGTAAAAATATCCAAAATTTCAATAATAATAAAAACAAAATAGTACAATTTTATTGGGTTATAATGTTAATATTTCGGGAAAATAACTTGTACGTCATCTTATCAAATGATATTTTCATTGCTGCCATTACAATTGACAAAGCCCGAAATAACCATAAAGACGCATACACCTCATCATATTTTTTTATTATATCATTATTCTGACATAATATCTGACACGGCCCCTACCGTTATTTTATTTCAACGTAGAAAAATAAATAAATCATGTGAATAAAATTTAAAAGTATCTAAAATTGTATTATAAATGGAAAAAATCAACAAAATTGCAATCAAATCAAAAAAATTTCAAAAAGTTGCATAAAAATGTTTAAATTTTAATTCAAAGCAACCAATCCAAACAATAGAAAAAAGTTCCAAATGCAACAACTTTCGTGCCATAATGTTTATGATCAAAAATATGGTAACCATATATAAAAATTAAATGATGATTGTAAGATATTATTTAAATTTTATTGCATTTTATACACAATAAATACAAATTAAGAATCTAAAATTAAAATTAACTTTACAACAAAGACAGCTAATATACAGAGGAGTAAGACAAGGATGTACACTATCAACCTCCTTATTCAATGTCTACATTGAACAAACAATAAGGGATATAACAAAAAAGCTAGAAGAGAAGAGGATAGAAGTAATAATAGTTGGTATCCTAATATCAATGATACAATTTGCAGATGATATAGTATTTCTTGCTACATTTGAACACAATCTACAAACAGCACTTATTGAAATGAATGACATATTTGTAACATTTAAATTAAATATAAATACAGTAAAAACAAAAGTAATGATATGTAATAAACAAAATTAACTAAATATTAATATAGATTCTTTAAAGGAAACAGAATAGAGCAAATAAATCAATTTAAATATTTGGGAAGCATAATAAGCAAAGATGGAAGATTAGAAAAGGAAATAAAAAGTAGAATAGCTAAGCAAAAAGGGCATTTCTACTTAAGAGTAAATTACTTATTTTTTTTATTTAAGATATTTCTAGCTTAATGCTATCTAAATCTACTAATATTATATACAAATTGATAGCTATAAATTATGGTTATAGTAATAAATACAAATACATAGGTACTATTTACATGATATGTTGAGATCTTAAAATTACATTAATAATAATAATTCTTATTATATAAACAGAGTTTTTAATGTAAGAATGCTTTTAGATGAAGTACTTGTGTACTAAAGATTTAATGTTGTATGGGTGTGTTTAACATAAAAGATGTTGGGGATGACCTCGTTTTAAACGACGTTATGTCGGATATATGTGGAGATTATAATGAATTGCCCCTACAGAATAGTGAGCTAAGGAAGTTTTCGACTAAGGTTTTTATGTGGTCTTCTATTTCTGAAAGCTGACATGTGGTGTTGGCGAAAAATGGATATAATAAAATTGATATATATGAAGACAAGCAAAGAAGTGTTAGACTTAGTCAAAGAGAAAAGAACCTTGCAAAATATTTTAAAAACAAGACAATGGCACATGATAGATCATGTGCTAAAGATACAATGAACAACTCAAGGATAAAGTACAAGACTGAGAATCATGGTGAGAACATTTATTATAGACCAAGCTATGGATTGAATACTTAGAAAAAAAAATGGAACTCAAAAAGCATTCATTTGTTTTATTAAGTATAACTAATCAACACAATATAACCCTTAAAGACAGAATGGATTAGAAAAAATAATATGTATGTTTTAGATTAAGTACCAACTTATAAATTTATATACTGCCTACCAAGATGTATAACTATTGTTTTAATAATTTCATGAAAACATTTATTATAATATTTATTTGGACAATAATATAGTAAAATTACATCACATAGAACTTAAATTATTGTTTTTAGGGTTTAATCTTGAGTTTATGATTGAATTAAAAAAAGAGAAAATTAGTTATGAGACAATATGTTGCAATACCTATGTCAAATATTGTGTAACAAAAAACTTACCTTGTTTTAAAAAAAAATCTAACACCTTATTTTAAACGATAATGCTTATGCATTTCAAATTTAAATTACATTATGACACAAATTCCTATACAATTCAAGCAAACCCAGACATTTTGCAGTAATAGGTTAATTCTAAACTCTAAACATAGCTTAACAACAACTTTCAATTGATACACTAAATGACAGATTAATAGTAAATAATATACATAATTAATTAGTACATTTAATTTTAACCTAAATTTTAAGCCTTATTAAAAGCATATTATTGATTAGCATATTATTATTTATTAAGCGATTTAATATTCATATCAAGTTACTGACTATACCTACTGGACTGTTAAAAGAAAAAACCTTGAACCACATATGGAGGATCCAGATGAGGGTAAAAGGGTCATTCGCCCTCCCCCTCTCAAACACTGTAATATAAGTTTTTTTTTTGTTTTGTGTTGAAATATATAGGTACCATTTTTCATTTTTGTAAATAGTCCATTCCCCGCCTAGTCCTAAAAAAAAATTAAGGGTCTGGATCTGCCAATGACCACAGACTATAGAGTAATATTATAGACATGATGTTTAAAATAAAATAAAGTGCCTTCTGTATACAGTCAATATACAAAATGAAATGTAAGACACAATTTACAATTAGACAAGTACACTTACAATCTTGTAGAGTAAACGAGTTACGATTTAAAACGCATTCACTTGTCATAACAATTCCAGTGAAAATTTACATTTAAAATTTGTATTAATACACTATAGAACAATACAAATGTTTTTAACAATATATTTAAATTAAATTAATAAACCGAGTACAAATTAATTTTTAACGGGTAGTCGGATACAAAAAATTACAAACAAAACAAAATTATAATATTTTGAAATCTTCCTTTACCACATGGTCGTTGTACTATAGATAAAAAAAGTTAAAATATATAACTGGATGATGGTAACGGTTGCAAAAATATATATTTAATTTATTGGCTTAATCAGTGAAATTATGGGTAGAGAGTAGTTGTTCGAAAATGATAAGGATAAATAATAATCACAATGTAGAGAATATAATATTCTTCTCTAGACCGTGATAATAACTGACCGAAAGCACAATAATTTCTATAATATTTCTACACTAAATACTACTATATATAATATTGTAATATTGTTTTATCTGAAGCATTTGGCAAAGGCAAGGAATGATGCCTAATTATTAGGCACAACGACGTCAAGAATAAACGTCATCTATCAATAATTTTTCTTAAAGACTTTTTCGCTATTAGTGGTCATACTGATATGAGGAAAGTTTGGGTTTGTTTACATGGACTGAATAGGAAGTGCACACGGAACCATTTGGTTTTATATAATCTGTGATCATAATATTACGTATTATTATGAATATTAAATAATATTATAATATAATAATACATATTATAAATAATATGGAGCAAAAAATGTTTGTTTCCAATAACTGACCGGGTAACTTTCAGATGACACTATATCCTGCTATTTTAAAACTAATAGGTGTGGATTTACGGAGGTAAAGGAAAAAAAGTAATTTAGTTTATATAGGTGCTGAAAGCAACAATAAATCATTAAAAATGATTTTGAGTGGAACTAAGTAATCTGGTATAGTATTGATCGTGTTTTTTTTTCCTGCGTAGTAATTATAATCCAAAAATCAATAAAAAAAGATCATTTGTTCTCAATTGATTTAAATTGTTTAGATAATCTGTTAGTAATCTAGAAAAATGTTTCTATACCGCGTAGGAAAAAAAATGTACTAAAACACATAACAAAAATCTAGTAGGTACCAACTTTTAATTTCTAAGAAATACTGTTATTCGACTTGCATTACAAATTAATCTATAGTAGGTATTCACTTACGCAATCAATTAGGTAACGAAATTTATCGACGACACTAAAAATGGTCCTTATTCAACATTAGTCCACTTTTTTACCCATATTTTGTTTTTTTTTTTTTTTTTTAATTTATTAATTCAAATTATATTGTGCCCGATAATGGCAACAGAAACGGCTAAAGTTTTTTTCCGAGAATCCATACTAACAAGACAATATAAAACTAAATAAATAGTACTACTGTACTAAAATACTATACTACAAATAGTAAACAATAATCAATACCGTGGTATACAGCATAGAAAAGTGATAATATTATAATGCAATGGTATACAGAATAATAGTATAGATGTTTTCTTATCATCATTCTTATCTTTGCTGCTAGTTTCTTCATTTCTTGTACCTTTTATAATGTACGTATTATGTTATGGTGTGAATAAAATATAGTACAGCAGGTTCTGTAGTACACTAGATTACACGCAATATCTAAAACTGTAGAGATAGCACAATATCTTTAGTATCGTGTGTAAAATCGTGCTTTTCACAATAATTATTATTTTAGCTATCCGTACTGAATTCGCGTGCGTAATTCAGCACACGTTGTATGCCGCGCGGTACGTATTGTGATAATATAAACTAGGCTACGATTTTATAATATTATTTTAAACGATCCCGGGCGGCGACCGACTCATCATGAGTCACGGCGATTAATAATAATAGTCTTGACAGCTGTTCGAACGCCGCGCTCGCGACAGTAATTTTTAAACGACTATTTTTTAACTGCGACCGATTATTACCGATTGATACGGTGGTTTTTTCGTCGCGTCGGTTTTGTCGTCTCGATTGCGTTTACAGCTATCACCGCACACTGTAGCCACGTAGTAATTATTTGTTATTTGTTTTGGTCTTTTTTTTTTTTTTTATTGTTTTCCCCTCCGCCAATAATTACGAAACCAACGATTTGTCGGTAGGACGCGTCCGCGTGTGAGTGCTCGCCGATCGAAATACCTAGACGAAAAGCCGGACAGGTGGAAAAAAACTCCGAACTGCAGGCGCGGTACTCGGAGCGTACACGCGTTGAAATTTCAATTATAACCGTCGACATTATTAAATGGTGTCCGGTGTATTTGTCGTTTGCGTACCTACAGTCGTTACCGCGGACTTGTCGAAAGCTCGGCATTATGCGCTTGTTGACCGTCGAAATAGCGTCGATTCTAGTTGTTCAGATCCTTGTGCTTTTCGCGCCGCAAAACCACGGTGGGTATAATAGTATTTAACAATATTATGTGGCGGACGTATTCATAATACGTGTATACATTTTATACCGGTGTAACAGGTGATTTGTACCCCGCGTGTACCTCGGTGGCTACGAATCGCCAAAAGTAGGTAATAATATAAAATATGATCAAAGATAGATGTGACGTTAAGTGAAATGAGTATAACAGAACCTATAGAATAAAATTGCCGCTTATATTTTTATTTTAAAATACCTATGTGATCAAATATACGACCGATACCTATACAAAAACTGGAAATCCGAAATACGTTGTATGATTTTAGAAGTTTATTTTTCGACAGATCGAGCACGATCGCCTGCGAACGCGGCGCGGTATTTTCTGTATAAATATCCATTTTATATAAAAGCTCGTATTTATAACAAATGTATAGATAATGGAGCGGTTTATTGATTTATTTAAAATTGCAATATCAAGTAATTTAACTATTCATCATTCCTGTGACGATATGCATCTACGACTGTGCGGGACAAGAAGTGTACCTATCTATAGGGATACAAATCATTACTTAACTTTAACGATTCATATCCACCGAGGTAATAATATATTTGAAGTACAAATCGCTTGTCACTGTCGACGATTTTTCCTACAGGTGATTTATACCCACCGAGGTAATAATATGGTGGTTATTAAAATACTGTGACGCCGGGCTAGGGGGAAAAAGTTGCGAGATAATTTTTTTTTTTTTTTACAACTGCGTAAGCGTATACGATTTATGATGAATTGTGTGATGAGCATTTTTGTGCGTGGATCCGATCAAAAATAACAGAACAGATTTTTTGTAGTGAATCGCGGTAAAATAGCGGATCTGATTGATGGGGTAGAGGAGTTATATTTTTGATTTTCCAAGTAGTTTTTATAATAATTGAGAAAACCCGCAAAAACGGATAATTATAACGACATTAAAAGTTTCATTATTTTCAATTTTGTTTTTTTTTTTTTAACGGAAATCTTATTTTGAATATCAAAAGAGTAGCATTATTTTCTGAAAGAAAATGTAATCTTGTTAGCGCATTAGTGTTTTACTTGATTTTACTCGTAATTTTCTTGATTAAAGTCAACAAGGGAAAAAATATGACTATAATAATATAATTTTGCTCAAAATCGTTTTTAGTTAGAAATGCGTACCGTACGCAAATTAAATTACTCCATTATGATATTATGTATTATATTATGATCTTCTCTTCCAACTTCCCTTTGAAAACAGTGGTATAGGAACACCAGTCTGCAGGATCAGTTTTTATTTTTACCGGTCTAATGGATTATTGTTTGATCAAACATGTCTGATACAGGGATACTTATATTGACTCGAGTACGTTTAATATGTACCTACGTTTGGTATCTGTGAAAGCTGTATGGCTAAGATGGGTAAACCTTTTCAGTCCCGTCCGATATCGCCTGGCGCAATTACGCGTACATCAGGTGTTCTGAAAACGATTTCGTGCACGTTTGGCACAGGTGTGTGTGAAACAATAATCGGCCAACGGTATGAAGTATAGAGTTTAAACGTATAATATCTACGTTTAATAACTACCAGACTATATTACCGTATTACGCGCATACAAGTTGTATACTCGATTATTTGCATTATTATTGCTATTATTTTTTTTTGTTGTATAGTATTATAACCACGTAAACACGAACCAACTCGTATTAATTTTATATTACTTATATTTTATTATTACAAAATTGTAATTCGTAGAGTATTTGTGGCATGGTTGATGTGTTAAGCGCTCAAAATCGTTTAAAATGTTTTGAGCACCTATCTGGTTTTTTTTTTTTTTAATTGCCTACTCAAAATAGTAAATAAAAAATTTAGAGTTTGTGAGAAGCGAAAATTGTTCGTCTTATAATGTTTCCTTATTTGTATTATTATTATTCATTTTGTGTGCCTAGGCTTTTTGGGTGGGAATGATCCAATTTTTTCTCCTCAGTTTCTCAAGTACAATATTAGTAACGAGAAAAATACAATTTAAATGACCTAAAATTAATTTAAAACTGTCCTAAATAGGTGTATAATATAATATGTAAAAATTGTTTTTTTATTAACCTGGTGTACAACCCACATTATTATGGGTTAGTGTCTGAAATCTTCGGCTATATTCACATTGTAAAAACTAATAGGTATACAGGGTATAAATTAAATATAAAAATATCAAATAGTTCTGTTACACTCTGTATACTAGATAATATATGCAATATAATATGAGTGTATCGTTAAAAATATTCTTAAGTGCGAACGTTAGACTTCTCGTACCTACTACACTTGTATTTTGCACAAACAACATAATATTTTTCCAAGGCCGGTTTCTGGGAACATATCTTTGGATATCTCTATGTGATTGAATTGCCTTTTCTTTGGACACGGTAAACAAATACATATTCAAATAAAACGAATAACAACACGTATTAAAAATACATATACATATATCTATTTGTATAAAACTAAAAATTGTTGACTGGAAACCCACTGATTGTCGTATCCTAATCGAATTGATTTATTGTATTTACCATTTCTTATTATGTAAAATTCATATATTCTAATACATCTCTTATGTATTTTTTTTTTATCCACAATCTAGCATGCATTCTGAAGGCTGTTTTGCGTTTATTACAAAATTCGGTTATCAGTAATCATCTTCTTAGTGATAACGATGTAAAATCATTGATGACTACCGACGATACTATGGACATCAGATACTGGAATTCGTAAGTGAAACCATCACTTATAATTAACCACCTATTACCAATAATAATCTAAAAATCGTGAGGCTAATGCGTTATATTGATATTGCTGACAATATCAGTGAATTGAATCAATAGAGTTCTATACGTATAAAAGCATGCACATTTTTTTAAATAGATGCATATTGTTTCTGAAATTAGATTATTGGAAAATCGCGTTGTTTTTTTACAATACTATTAACTGCAGGAGCCTTATTCGACAACATCGAGTTTTAAATTTCGAATAAATACACATATCAAGGATAATTGTACACTATACATGAATTAGTTTGAAATTGTATTATAATTATTAATTTTAATTATACTTAAATGCCATAGCCATTGTCAACGTCGAAAAACATATTAATTATACTAAATCGGAGTTCAATAATCATTCGAAAATCACACGTACTTATAGAATAATAGCTCTTGATTATTGATTATTATAGTGATCATATAGTAAGGTTTATGATTTTTTTTTTTTTTTTAATTTGACTTTTTCAAATATAAATCACTGATTTGTCTTTGAGATATCTGTAAAAAATTTATTTTTTATCTTCTGAGTGTAGCGAAGTAACTATTATTATTATTATAGCTATACTAAGATGGTTTTTTTTTCGAAAAACTTTTTTTCGGTTAGTTAAAATCTTCGATTTTTCATGCCGTACCTAGAAAGAGGAATTGTTGAATTGCATTTTTTTCCCTAAATTAAATAATCAAACTGCACTTGGGTCAAAATAGGTAATAGTTGAACTGCACTTATGTGAAAAAAGTTTTAAAAACTCTTGTTTCCTTTCCCGCTTATAGAAATACGTATTATTATAGGACTGAAATGAGTTTTTGAATTTGTTAAATTATTAAAATTATTGTTTGTAATTATTTTTCATAGTAATTATAAGAAACTCCATTATGGTTATTTGATTTTAAAGCATAATATAAAGACATATAATTTTCGATTGCGTTTCTTTTTTTTAGAAAGTTTAAACCTAATCACGTCAATGATTAAATTTTAAGGACAATTAGTGTGTTCAAAACTTTTAAATTAAGTTTATTTTTTGAAACATTTTTGTTTAAATACCTTTCTTGATTCGAGTGTAGTTCGAACATTAGTTACTACCTATTTTTGTTCCATGTGCAGTTCAATCATTATCTTTTTTTAATCTCAAGTGCAATTCAACTAAAATAAATTAAATTCAATCTTACTCATTGAAAGATGTAAAATTTCCGTCTTGTGGTAGGTACTTAACTTGAACAGATTTATAGATGAAATCCTTTTTATATTTAATTTGCCATCGATTTTAGGAAATTAGGAAAAACAAAATCGATAAAAATAAATTATGGTCAAGAAGCAGAGCTAAACAATTATTGGATGTTTAATTCTCCGTTAAAAGTGATCATTCACGGATGGCTCGATTCGACCCGACACAAAGATGGGGTGTTCTGTATTAAAGCGGGTAAATGATTTTATATGTGTATATATATATATATATATAAAATATTTTTGGTAAGAATATAGTATGTTGTTCAACACATAATGTTGACGTTATACATTCATATATTATATTGAAGCACTAGAAAATACCGATGTTCCATTCTTTTTTTTTTTTTCAACAGCTTATATTGACCTCGGAGGGTACAATGTTATATCAGTAGACTGGGGTTCAATATCCTCAAACAGAATATACATGTTGCCAGTGTTAATGACGCCAAAAATCGGTAACCTACTGGCTAGAATAATTGACAATATTATTGATCTTGGTTTGGCCAAACTAGAGGACATACATCTGATTGGACACAGTCTTGGTGCCCATATTGCAGGAGTTTGTGGCTCTTCGATCACCTCGGGCAAAATTTACCGAATAACAGGTAAAATAAAAATTAACGAAAATAGCCGCACGCACTTGTTTGAACAGCGAGTAAGCCATTATAGTTGTAGGTGAGAAGTTAGTAAGATATAGGGTGGAAGATAATTATATTTATTTTATATAGTTTAATATATTTTATGTTGAAAGAAAAGCTATTTCAATAAATGTAATAAAGTCTGACATGCTAATTCAAAACTGAAAAAATATTTATTTATTTTTTTATGAACAACTTTTTTACCAGAGGATTTGCTCCGATTTTTACATATTTACATATTTTCATAACTATATGAAATAATAAACCATTGCTAACGAAAAGCGAGTGTGAACGAAGTTTGATTAATCATGTTTTGAAATGCCGTAATTTTTACGATTTGTATCAAACATGAACTTTAAACGTGCATAAATACATATAATAAATACGCTCAATTTGTTTTTACTACCAAGTGCAACTTTCTATATAAATAATTTTCTCCATATAATACCAACAAAATAAAAAATAAAAAATGTCTATAGATGATATCTAAAAAAATTCCTGACTTTCCTAGAATTTTTGAGTTGTTCTAAATTATTAAGAAAATTTCAAAAAACGACTTTTTTATCAAGTTGATAAAAATGTTTTTCAGTTAAGATTATTTTCTTGAAATTCGTAACACGATTCCTGGTAGCAAAATAAAACCAAAAATAATGAAATTTTTATTACTTTGACTGGTTTTCCTATATCTTTTTTCTAGGTTTTCCCAATAGGTTTTCTCAGTACACGAATTAGGTCCAATATGCAATAAAGAAGGGTCTAATGCCATTTTTTGATTAAACTAAAATTTTTGTTGTCCAAATTACTAACAGATACAAAAAAATAGAAAAAAAAAACATATCATAGTGAAACCAATACAATTTCAGAATGTAAAAAAAACGCACTTTGTATAATAAATTACATTTCGTTTCGTAGGTCTCGATCCGGCTGGACCGGGCTATGAGTATGCAAGGTTCCAAAGAAACGGGCTGAAGAAAACGGACGCCAAATTCGTAGATGTGATCCACACTTCAGCCGGGTCCACGGGTATGTTTAGTTCGATCGGCCACTCGGATTTCTTCCCGAACGGTGGTGTTCCGCCACAGCCGGGTTGCTTCGAAGGCGATGTCAATCTACTTAAACTTATAGGAGTTGGTTAGTAATACACATATATATCTTCGCCGCTTTTATTTTTTTTTTCGGTTTATACGGTTTCTATTCAACAATTGATATTATAAAAAATCGTTTCGTCCTGATATCAGTGGGTTGCAGTCATTCAAGAGCATATGAACTTTATGAAGACTCGTTGTACAACAGGTTCTCGTTGTTGGGGATCAAGTGCGATTCGTGGCAGGAATACATGAGAAATATGTGCAAGGAAAACCCTTTGATGCCAGTAGGACATGATGCTACATCAGAGTGAGTCAATAGCGCTTTCGATGAGCAAACGGAAATTACTTTCTACACTTGTACTGCCAGCGGCGTAGTAGTTGGATAACTAATCATACAGCTATGTGGTATTATTAATCATGTAGTACACGTACATAATATTATTATTATTATTATTATCACTGATATCAGCGATATAGCCAGAATTTATTTATGGGGGGGGGGTCTTTTGGGTCTAAACAAAAACAGTCTTAAATTTACTTATAGCCATACTTACCTAGGGGGGGTTACAACACCAAAAAATCCCACTGACCACGCTATTAATCATTATCATCTCAATATAGATTTGGACGTTTTAACAGATGTATACTATTATTGTATATAATCCATGTATTCCCGATAATCTATCTGCCAATGCAGTGGACTACTTAGCAGATTTTTGCGAGTTTAGGAATACTTTTCCTTGAGATGTATTGATTTGGCTGCATATGAATTGCGTTTCTAAAAAGAAAAACGTACTTAGCGACCATCGAATTGCGTCCTGTTTCGGATTGTGTCCGCAGTAATAATTATTGTAATTCTATTTCTACAATATGTTTGGCGATAAAGATACTCGTAAATATATGATTAAATATTATTATAAGGAACGATAAAATCCAACGGATGACAAACCTGATGAATTTAGGAAAACACGGAATATATATAATACTAGGTTGCTTACTTGTGACAAAAATATTTAAATTTGTGTCTTATCACAAGAAATGTATTATTTAATCATGAAATCGGTTTTATAAAAAAAAATTTTCACGTAAAACAAAAATAAATTGTCTACATTATAGAACTATTTAACTGTACTTAAGAGTGACAACTTTTTCTAAAGTAGCATTATATGTTATTATGATCAATTTTATTTAGGTATTTCATACGCACCTCTATAGTGTGTATATACGTATAAAATTTGAATTTATTTCCAGGTTGATAGGGAATTTTTACTTTTCGACTGGACATAATGCACCGTTTGCTATTTCCGAACCAGAAGAATCGTCAACCACTGTGAAAAATGACCTATAAAATTATATCTGCAATTTTATTATATTCATTAATATACATTTTACGAGATGTTCTGAGTCTCGACAATTATTGTGCGTGCGACAATTATTAAGGGCAGGGCAAAACAAAATAAATCATTACACACTAGTTACACGGATCATTTTTTTTTTAATTCAAAACTATTATCGTTGTGGGGTTTATATACCTTTTAATCATTATTTAAGTGTTTACTTCTTATTGCTAAAAAAAGACGGGACTATAAAGTTGTTTATCGAGGTCAACAATAATTCGTTGGTCTCACACTTCCGAGTTCCGAGTTCTACATATAGTAATTTCGAAAATTCATTATAATCTGTTATCTCATATTTATTTATTTATTTACTACCTATATACATTATATAATTATGCAGTGAATACGAAAAACATAAAAGGTCGTGTTTTGACGAGTAAATATAAAAATCGTTTCAGAATCAGTATTTAAAATTAAAAATATTTTAAAATGTATTTAAAAATTTAGCTTTTATTTTGTATTAAATTATTATGTAATTATTACTTGATAGGTAACAAGATACGTCAGATATTTTGTAAGTTTAGTTAATTTGTATTGTAATTATATATTTATATAATTACTAATATTATGTCAACCGACCAAATTATATTATAAATATTTATTACCTATGTCTGGGCTGAATTGTCGTAGATTGAAATATTTTACGTATATTTATATAATAGTATTGTATTTATATTTGTAATTAAAAATTATAATATGTGTAATTCAAATTGTTGTCCTAACCCTAACTGACCTGACTCCTTCGTACCTTCCGTACGAATCGTACGAAGGTACGAAACTCCAGCGGTGGTGTGTATGGGTATTCTATGAAGCAAATGCTCCATGACCATATCATGTGGATGAACGGTACTTCATTATTAGGTATCTTAACGATAAAGATAAAGTACAGGAACATTTAGTATTAATCTTAGCTCCTGGTTCTTTTGTATTCAGATTGTATGAGATCTTTTGCGATTTCACTCATTTCAATTGTTTTATAGGAAACACAGTTCGCGCCACCCCAGCCAAAGAAGAAGAAAACAGGAATAGTAAGATTACTCATTATGTAAAACACTGCTAAAATTGTAATGTATTGTAATCAAATACATCCAAGAATATATAATTAATATTTGTATATATTGGTCACGTATTGTGCAGCGGTTCGATTTCGGTCGTGGTAGTCATATTCCAGTTCAATACGTTGTAAACCCTTTGGAATACGTTCTTTAATCCATCGGTGATCTCGTACAATCGGTCGCGCCATGAACCTAAGTCCCGTAGTTCTATTGTCGGAGAACTCTCCAGATCCTCTGCTACAGTCGTCGATGGTATCATCTCCACGGTATGGAACTCATTGGTAGTCGTCGTTATTTGGTCTTCTTCGGATTCTTGTGGATTCTCCATTTCATCCAATTTCGTCAGGTTTTTCCACACAACCGAACGGTTCTGACCGAAAAACATAATCTTCTGTTCCCCCACAAGCTCGTGTTTGTTAATGTTAGCCATGGATTCTACTTTATATATTATAATTGTTTTGTTTTTATGTGTTTGACGGTCTTTCTCCTTTCAAGTTTCAAAATGTGTAGTTATAATTTGTTGGTGTATTACGTTTTGCAGTTGTATTGTTTGTATAACATTATATTATTGTCAATAGTATCGATCGTGTGTTTTTTTGATTAACGATTCCCTTGCCGACGACGACTATATTTGTATTTGCCAGAATTTACGGATTTATTTTAATTCGTCAATAACTAAATACGAGAATTAGTCACATATTTTTTTCTCAGAAAACATTTTTAGTAGATAAGTAAATGCTCTGATTTTTTTCATAGCATACGTTAATAGATACGGATGTTTTGGCTAATGGTACTTTTTTTAGAAAATATTTTGAATTTCTCATTACTTTTTCCAACCAACTTATATTTATTTTTTGAAAATCACTACTTTTAGTTAAACAAATTGTCTAATTCATTCATTTGCGAGATTTTTACCCGGTGGTACTTTTTTTAAGATATTTCAGTAGGTAATGTAGGTTTTATTTTCTGTTAATTTCTGGGTTATCTTGCCAACAAGGGAAAAATACAGGGCTGATATACTTTGAATAATATTGTTTTTTCAATTAACGATTTATCGTTGCAAACATTGTATGAATTAAATTAATCTGTATATTCTGCCTTTCTAACTAACCATCTGAAACATTAACATTAAACTTTTTTTTTTAAACATCTCGGAAAGTATTAATGTTTTTCGGGATTTTTTTATTTAAAACAATAAGTGTGCGCAGTTCAAAAATGTTGCGTTTCTTTTATTATTTTTTATCCTTTTGTTTGGTGATAAAATCTCTACCAACTAAATTTTGATTTTCAGATGAAAACCTATACGTAGTTTAAAAATTGAAGAAATTCTCTAATCGAAATAAAGTTTAAATATTTAATTTATTTCCATCTGTTGGTGAGATAATAATTAATTTACCCTTTTTAAAGAGATGATGCAGTAGAGCACCATTTGTGTGGACGCAATTGATCACGTTGTGTAGTGTATACATATTACTCCAATATAATATACTAAAACGATTTTAGTTCACTTTAAAGTCAAGAAGGAAAGTTTTTCGGGTTTTGAAAATGACTTTTTTACAATTCAAAAAAATTTAATAAGATTATTTGAAACTGTCGTGTTTTTAGAACGAACTTGATACATCGGGATTATAATAATTGTAAAACGACTGAAATCGTCACGTTAGACAGACACAATAAACTTAACCATAAAACTCTGATTTTCGTTCAAATGTCATGTTTAAGTTTTAGTGGGTCTAGAATATTATTTTATATAATACGAATACGCTTATTATCGTTCAACCACAGCTTCATCACATCGATGCGTATGATGATATTTATTACAAAATTAATTGTGTACAAAAAAAACTTTACAATAATAAAAATATAATATAAATGTACTGATGACAACTCAACATCTGCATGAATAAAAAATAGTGCTTATAATTTACGTTCCAAAAAAAAAAAAAAAAAAAAAAAAACAATCAATATTAACAATTTTCTAGGAACTTGATTTCGACATCATGAACGTTTTTCTATAATTATAATATAGTATGTAACATCAGTTCACGCATATCATACGGGTATAAGAAAACAGCAATAACTTTACGTGTCTTGGTACATATTATTATAACATAATATGAATATGATCACAATAGTAATAGAATATTGAGTCGCGAAGTGGGCAAATTCGTCGCGAAAATATAAATAGACATGTAGTATATATTTTAAAACCATTCACATAATAAATATACTTAATAGTTATAATTTAAAAATTAATGAAAACCTAAAAAATTCAGAAAAGATCGTTTTACACCCATGTTATAAATAATAACATATAATATCGTGTTTTTGTATGGATGCGGTTACAGAGTTTACCGCTTGTTTAACCTGTACCATATGACCGTGGTCGTCAGAACGTAGGTGCACAAAAAAAAAAAGCAAATGAAAAAAAATTCTGGGTAGATGTTCACTTGAGCAAATTCCATTTCGTTGAGAAACTTAACCGGGTTCTTATAGTGGCAGTACACTTCGTCATGGCACGGTAAAATGTCTCTGCCAAATCCGTACATCGAATACACAACACTCTGGAACGACGCTCTAACGAAACTGAAGTAGTAGAGCCAAACGTACGGGCCGGGAATGTCCGTCAGTCTTATCGCGAAACCGAACACAGATAAAAGCACAACAAACACCGGTCCAATAAATACAGACACCTGCGAAAAAATATTTAAAAAAAACCGGATAACTTCAAGAATAAGCTAATTTTTACGAGCAATAAATATCAAAAACTACTAATAAAATATACAATATTAAAATAATATGATCAAATACGTACAAGAAGTAATGTAAAATTACTTCAATAGCCACTAAGATTATCGGAAACTAATTGTCAAAATTAATAATTCACGTCATTAGTATCTTCAGATTTAAGAATATATTTGGATTACCTTCACCGGCAAAGTGGCGCCACATAAGAATCCGGTGCTTTGCGACGTCAACGAAGTCACCACCAAGAACAACGTGAAATAACAGAATCGCATCAATTCCAACGGCTGGCTGGTCAATACGTACGCCGGTATAATATAAATGACACAACACAATATCTAAAAATTAAAAAAACGAAGACCAGTCGTCAATAGCAAAATACTTATATACCTAATAATTGAATAATATAAATTAATATAGATGAGTTTTTAGTATTATACTATACGTTTCCGGAGGGAATACGAATACTGTGTATCGATAAAACTGAGGTTATCAGATCAGTTTTCATCTCGGTAAATATAATATAGGTACTTATAATATTTTAATTGTTTTTTATTTTTTTTTTTCATGTCTCACTTGAAACGGTATTTCGACCAGCAGTATGGATATCATATACGGGAACAGAGTGAACCAACTGTTAAAGTGTTCTCGTTTCAAGACTTTGTACTCCAATGGAACTGCGGACAAATAATACAAATGATTGTTCTTTATTTCATATGTTAGACAAATGACTGAATAAACAGGTATATGATCCAATGAAAACCAAATATTTCCAAGATAAGAAAAATACCTTCCCATAAAACAGCCCTTGTCAATTCATCCAAGACCACGGGCCACAGAATCCTGCATTTGTTTAGTCATAGAGTAATTTTAATTTATAGTTATTACATTTTATATACTTACAAGATACAATGACGGCCATCTGACCAGTATAAACCAAAAACAGATTGGTACCGTACACGAAAACCATGTTGCTGAGCATTGATGATGCGTCGTTGCCCACTCCGCGGTACAGGTATCCGAAAATAAGAGATATAGCCAAATGTGCGATTACCCGTAACATCAGATAACTCTAAAACAGACAACAGAATAAACTGTCTATGTAAAACATAAATGTGTTGTGTACATAAAACATATTTTTAATTTTGTTATACTCTATATTTAAAAAAATTAAAAAGTCAAAAATTGTAATTTAGTTATATATTGATATTACATAAACCGTAGTTTTCTTGTTTTGGTAGTTAATTTTTTAGGGCATCACTAGGGTCTATGTAAATTAATCATAGCGAAACCATTAAATTTACTTTCATACATGGTGATTCGCAAATATGTTTTATTCTTTTTAATGTTGAAAAAGACAATTCAATACTACCAATACTATTACTACCTATCAAATTCTGACGAAAATTATATTACAACCTTTTAAAACATGTACAACCGAACTCCGCTCAGAATAGTTTGTCGTTAGCAATGATTGACCATTGCGTACAGATATACATTAAATTCCGCTCTATACCATACTCTCCGAACTTCTAACCCATAACAGTGGCGAAACATGTCCCCCCGTCTTTTTAATTATATTGCCATATCACCAGCGGTTTGAATAGCTTCAACTAGATTTATATTCTGTGTCTGAAGGCACTTACTTAATTATATATAATATCTAAACTTAAACTCTAAATTTAGGGGTCTTTATAAAATACGTGTTTTATTGCACACGTGTATCTGTGTCACGGTTACTCGGATATTTATGTGGCGCATATCAGTACCGTGTCGTGTATATTGTAATTTTTTAACCGGAGCAAAATTTCTTAATAAAATCGAAACTTCAAAAATCAAAAGATGACTTTATTCGTCACTAACTGGATATAATATGCAACAAAAAAGGGAAAAATTTAAAATACATTTGATTATTTTAAAGTTTATATTTACGTGTATTTATCTTTTTACTTTTTCGCATTCAGGAATTTCATGAATTCCGGATTACACGGTCTCTAGCACGAAATTTTTAATTTCACATGTACACGTGTAATAAGCAGATCTAGTATAAACTATTTTATTTATATTTCAAAGTACTAAAACTATAAAATATTTACAAATTTACTTACTTTGTTGCGTTTGTACATGATTACATTACGTAAATATAAATGATAGGCTTGTAAATAAGACGGAGGTTTATTAATGAGCTTGGTTTTGAAGGGTAATTTTTTGTGAGCTATATTATTGGTTTTCTGGCATATTTCTGCAAAACAAATTAATTTAAATAACAATAATTTATTGTTATCTCCATTACAAAAGCATTGACATATAAATGTTGTGCAGCCTACCATTTTCCAGTTGAGATTCTTTGTCATCGGGCTTTGTAGGATAATTTAAATTGATATTTGTGTATTCTTCATCAGCAGCTATTGTTGAATCGGTTATCTTGGACAGTACGTCAGTACCATAATCGCCTATAGCCACTTCAATTACTAGGACAAAAAAATAATATAATATTATTATAAACAATTGAAGCTTTTTTAAATTTATTACGTTTTTAAAAGCTCAATAAATAAATATTACTTGTTACTTGTATATATTGTTTGTAAATTAAAAAATAAAAATGTGTGCATTCTAATGAATAATGGATAATTTTCAACGATGACCGTTTCCTTATCTTCTTCGTTTTTTATCCTCATAAAATATAGGATTAGCTAACACTCATGTTGCACATATCCATATCCATATCCATTGTGTTTTCTTTGTAAAATCCACATACCCCCTTATTTCCCCTTAAAACCTCTGGCCATTTATATTATTTATATTTGTATTTCTAAATGGTCATTGAATTTTGTTAACCACGTTTATGAGAATTATCAAACATATTTATGATAACAATTGTGTGCTCACAGAAATCTGCTGGATTGTGGTACGGCGGACACACAATACCTCGATCATTAAAATAAGGAATGACCAAATTAGGAGGTCCTTGGTAGATGCACCGGCCCGCGGTTAACACGTAAACTTGGTCGAACTTTTCGAACAGTAAAGCACTGGGCTGGTGTAGGGTGCAAACCATAGTACGGTTCTGGTTGTGTGCTAGATTCACCATCAATGACACAAACTGGCTGCACGATTGACTGTCTAAACCACTGCGAACGAAAAAATGATAAAAACAAATTATAATTGCCTGCATATCACTGTAATCCGTAAGTTTCGCACGAAACAAGTTTGTTTTGTACAATTTTATTTTATTCCGCCAGATGGCCGAGAAAATCCGGCAAAAACGTATGCCAAAAAATAAGTCACTATAATGGAGACATATAGGGTCATGTGGGGTATATATGAAAAAATGGGTATAGATATAAAGAAATTTAAAAAATGAGAATTATAGTAGCTGACCCATTCATGGGGTTAAGGCGAAGTGCAAGAAGAAGAAATTTCATAGCGTGATTAAAGGTTATAATATAATATATTGGGTTTCAGATGAAATGCAGCGATTTGCTTTGTATTAACAATGTTTGTTTTGTGTTATAATATGTCATTATGAATACGTAAAACAATATAAACTGCACATAGGTGGTGTTATATAGCCATGTAGGAAAAAATATGCTTTGTATATTGTATCAATAATAATGCAAAAACGAACAGCGAGATAAAAATTTCTAAAACTCATAGAACTTAATAAGATTCCATTTTGGACTAATTAAAGAAGTTCATCATCACGTAATAGACTTTTTATCGAGGTAAGAGAAATTACAATTTATATTGTCTGTGTCGGTGTATTGTTGAAACATGTCATCGTGTTAAAATCCAACACTGTATGACTACGTCACGTATAGTAGACGATCAGTAGGACTGTTTTGTGTGAGATATCATCATGACCATCCACGGTGACGTCATAACGAATGAACCAAAATGGATATACAAAAGGATTTCAACAGCAACACTTTTTCAATGGCTGTTAGACTTTATAATAATAACCTATACAAATGAGCACAATTACGATGTCATAGATTTTATAAAGACTCGCGTGTAGTTAAAGTATTATTTCTCAAACAAAGTCTTTTGTGCGGTTTACTGAGTACATCCCATACACATTAAAAACTGCAATACGTCAGTAAATGTTAGGGCGGTCAGTCTTACATAAAAGAAAAACAAATATACTCTTTGACTGGCATGTGTAAAACCCAGTATTAAAGAATAAAATTAATAGAAACAAAAGAGTTGATAGATGGGTAGTTTGGAAGGTATAGAATATATATTATAGTAAAGTTATATTTAATTAATATTTATAAAAGATGATGAAATATTTCTAATGAAAACGATTCTGAACGAAATACGTTTATTATGTTTTAAAATGCCGTAATTTTACGATTTTGTTACAATTTCAACTTAAAATTTATATAAAAAAAGTCAAATATACTTCGCACGATGGATGGGTCACTGTTGTATGTGAAAATTTGAGAAGCATTGGCGTGCCGAGACACGCACTATAATTTTTTATAGGCTATTGAAAACAATAAAAACATTATATTTGTGTATTTTCCTACGTTTTTTCGGTTTTTCTAACTATTATGAAAATCCCTCGGAAAATCAAACAATGATCTCTTACTAAAATACCAACTAAATAAAATTCGCTTTCAAAAAAGATGCTCCACTTGATACATCAAAGCATGATTTCTGATAGAAAAGTTGATTATAGAAATAAAAATAATTGTAATAACCATTGTAAAATGAATACATTCCTCGCTACGCTTCAAATCTAAAAATGACTACATAATTGTTCAACTTTTTTTGCAGTGACCAATTTTATCTTATATTGAATTTAGAGTTAAACTTTCAGATATTTTCGCTCAACTAAAACAATTGTATTCACATAGAACCAAATAAAAATTAGAAAATAACAAATGGTTAAACAAATTTAAAAATCAACAGTTTATTTTTAATATTTGACCACGTCTAGAAAAGAACAATATCTATTAGTATTCTTTGTAAATTTCAGGCTTCTACAATAATTTTTTTAACAGAATAAAAACAAAAATAAAGTCGATAATAATGAATAATGATTTCTCGTTTTGCCGGGTTTTACCAAATTATTAAGAAAACAACAAGAAAAATTTAATAACCACTTTTTTATACAACAACTAGACAACATTTCCATACAGTAAAAATGCTATTATTGAAATTTGAACAAAAATGTCTGTTAGAAAAACAAAACCGAAAGAAATTGTAAATAATAAAAATTGTATAGGTCATACATTTATTCATTTTTCTAATACTTTTTTTTATGATTTTCCCAACTATAATGAAAACTACTAAATCAAAAAAATGACCTCCTTAATGCACCAACTAGATTCAAAATACCAAGAAAAAAAGTCTCTTGTCATTTTTTGATTGGTGCCAGATTTCTGTTAGAAAAGTTGTTCATAGACACAAAAAAAAACTCGCATAAATCATAAATAAAACCAATTTATTCCTTTGCTTATAATCTTAGATCAGTGAGAAAAACCAAGGAATATAATCATGCAAAAGTATGATAATGGTAAATTTCATGATATTTTTAGAACAATCTAAACAGAAAGATAATTATCGATAATTTTCAACGTAATATTATCATTTACTAATAATTCGTAATTATTACTAATGCTTATTATACTAATTGGTTAGTATGACATCCAAAGTTTTATCGTATTATCAGTGTTCCACCTGACTCGTCGGGATTTCGGTTCATTGTTTGTGCCGGGCTAAGAAAACGTACAATACATTCAGAATTGATTAACACATTATTAACAGCAACATATCGAAGTTAACAATAACATGCGATTTGTATTAATTTATCAAAAAAGTTTAGAAATTTATTTATGATCAATATTATATCTAGATCATATCTAGAGAAAATTTAGATACCCGCCTACTCCTTGTAGGTATACTACCATCATTGCGAGTTATAACTCATAAAATATTATTTTATATAACTTTTGAAAAACTAAAATCGCATTTGATCTAGGTATACCTATAGGTGTGTAAATGTAAAACTAAGTACGGCGTCACGTTCTGATTAATCTTTAAATTGGATTGAAGTTTCGTTCTATAATCTATATGTTATATACTAGGACCATAAATATGTAAGAGATATTCCAATTTTAACAGCAATAGTAAATGATGTTAGGATAAATCTATCTAACTATATGATTTAATGTGCAGCTTTTAAACAAAAATAAGAAAATGGAAGCACACGTTTGTAATTTCATTTACTTAGGTATTTATAAATACATACCATGTAGGTACAACATAAATATAGTAATAATTATATTATGTACTCACGTAGTGGGCTCGTCTATGAACAATATCGACGGGTTAGTTATGAGCTCCAGAGCGATGGATAGTCTCTTTTTTTGGCCTCCTGACAGCCTTTTGGTAATCGTGTTACCGTGAATGGATAAACCCAACGCGTCCAGCAAATCCTCTACCAAACGCACCTTGGAAAGAAACGACGCAGTGGTCGGCAATTTGAGGTTTGCGGCCACGGTCATCGATTCCCTAGCCGTTAACAGGTCGCGTACAAAATCGTCTTGCTGTATGTAACAACTAATGTTCGACATTTGTGTCTCGTCTCGTACCGCTCCGTTCAAGTATACCGAACCCGAACTTCCGCTCGTCCTGTGGATACATAACGTATTTCGTTCAAATCAGTGTGACAATAATAAATAATAATAATAGAAGTATTAATATTATAGGGAGACGAAAACCTATTTTAAGAAAAATAACCTTTGTAAAAGCAAAGAATGTCATTGCTGAAGATTTGCGGATAATTAGTTGTGAATCTGGTCTTACTACTAATTTTCCTAAAGAATGAATTAACCAGAATAATAAAAATAGTAGTAATAACTAATAGCTCATGATGGCCAGACATGTATACAAACAAATTCGGGGGATTTATCAAAAATGTACAATAACAATATTTATAAAAAAAAATATTAAATTTACATAAATAAATTACACAACTATTAATTTTCGGGGTGAGGAAGTTGAACCCCTAACTCCGAACCCCTCCCCCTATATACGTGCCTGATGATGGCCATTGCAAGAGAGAGTTAGTATACACATAAAAACTTAGGTAATCTCTTGCATGGATATAGTGAAAATCCTACAAAGGATCTCCTACACTAAATAGTATAATATTAAGTTTGAAAAAAAAATATTAATCGTACTGTTTTAGATTCTAAGTGTAGCGAAGAATTTATTGGTTTTACTAAGATGTTTATTACTTTTTATTTTTTTATTTTGTGTAGAAAAATTTGACCAGAAAACTTGCTCAGATATATACGCGCGGCACCATTTCTGAAAGGGAATGTTGTCTAGATGATACTTTTGGAAAGTCATTTTTTTATTTTCTATGCGCTTTCATAATATTTGGGAAAAACCACGATAAAACGTAAGAAAAACAGAAAATGTACGAAAATAATGCTTTTAAATAATAATTATTTTTCATTTTTGTTATTTGTTGTAATTGAGTTAAACTTAGACTTAAAATTTGGACAGAAAATTTAAATTTACCTTTTCTAGACGCAGTAAAATATATAACCTCTAAAAGTATGAAAACATGTACCAAATTATAGTACGAAACAAGTGTATTGCAACATTTATTGAGTGTTTCATACCCGAAACTTAAATAGATCTGATTTTGAGATTACACCATCTTTTTTGGCAGATAAAAATTACCTGTGTAGGAGGTATCCTATCTTTTAAATTCAAGTAAAAAAGTTATTCACACAGGAGTTTACATGTGGTCTATTGAAGGGTCTATGATTTATTGTAAAATGTTTTTTTTAAATACGTATTTTATTATTCGATGGTCGCGGAAATATTTAACGCCTTATTTGTTTGGCTCTTTAAACCGGCGATTTGAGTGCGGACGGTGTATGCAATAATTTGCTTAAAAAAATGCACAAAGTGTTGTGTCCCGCGTGGAATTTTATTATACGCGGAAACTATACGTATTTATAGAGTTAAATTTATCGAAATTATGCCATATGTAAAATTATTGATTACCTATTTATTATTACGAACTATACATAGGTATACCTACTATACTTCAATTAAATCAATAGTAAACCATGCACGTTTATTGAATAAAATTACGGCGATTGTTTTTATTTTATATATAATTATAACTTAAAAACACTTCCAAGCTTACGAAAATATAAATTTATTTTTATTCAAGAACATACCACATATACTACAATAGTTATATTAAATATGCGTATTTGTATGATTCAATAATAAATTACTATATTGTAACTGCAACCACTGTGATGGGGTGTAGAAAACTTTATACGACGAACAACAATGATCGGACAACACGTCATTATTATAGCAGTCGTATTCAAAAATATTTTAAAAAAAACATGTGTAATTTATATTCCAACCTTTATATTATAATCACGTATTGTTTGAAATTGACCACCCAGTAATAACGTCTGTATAAAAGGTTTAAGGTAAAAATACAATTCGTATGAAAAATCCATTTTTTTTTTTTTTGTTTTTAACATTTTTAATATCGCCAGAGATAAATACATTTAGAAAATATTCTGATACTACAATTAGATATCTATATCACACGTTTTGTTTAGATATCTTTCGAGTCGTCCGGAGGGGAGTGGTGATTATAGATATTAAAATGTATATTCAATTTGTTTAGTATACATAAACACTAATGTACATCAATATATATATATATATATATATTGCATACCTACTTAAATAGCTCTCCTACACGTTGCCCGTGCCTATTTTTCATTATTTTTACCTTTATTCTCGTTTTGCTTTGCCCGTATCAGTATATTAAACGAAAAAAAATAGGCGGTAAGTGGGTCAGTGGCGAACTAAAATTGTTCTAGTAATCTAGTGTATCATACATTTTTTCATCCGTGTTACCATAGATACCCACACAGCACAGGGATTAAACTATACATCTATTATAATAACGCTAACATTACGAGGACATAATAGTACTGTAATAGTGTAGTGTAGTGTTACTGTACCAAAAAATACAAAAATTCAAAGGTGACGGACGATTTACGTGTTTTCACTTTTCACTTACCTATCCAGTACGGCACATAGTTTTTTGTTTTTTTTTTTCATCCATATAATCCAATAATAGACCGGAAGACAGTCAAATAAACTCTTTATTTTAAGTTGTCGTAGTCATTATGGCATTTTTATTTCTGTTTATTATTCATTTTTGTTTTAAATTGTTTTTCATTTTATCCGTGTAACTTATAAAGTAACCCATAATTCAACAAAAATAATTTAATTTTCATACCAAAAATACTTAAGAACCTTTCATCATCCTCTTTTAGGTTATTAATCGAGATGAAGACTATCCTATATTTTAAGTTAAACCAAATCACACACATTGAGCATTGTTTATCAAAATCGGCTGAGTACTTTCAGAGTACATCACACGTAAACTCATCGTATGCGTGATTTTTTTTATATATTACTACATAAGATAATCAATATCTAAACATATTTAAGCATCAAATTATACTACGAATCGATTGTTATTATTATTATTATTATACATTTATTTTGTACTATCAGAACCTATCAGCACATTATTATCAATACGGTATTTTGTAACATTTTGTTTCCAATCAATGAATTATTTTGTATTTATACATCTACTATAATTATTATTTATTTATATAAAACTAACCATAAAAAAAACCCCTATACGTATTATGTACTTATTGATTCTATTAAATAAACTAAATTTATTTATCTTTACAGTTAACATAAGAAAAACACTTATTTTTTTTATGATAATCATTTTTTTAGTATAGATTTTTTTACTTTGTCTTTAATTTCGAGCAGTGTTTACACTACCGATAACGCCTATGTTATACTCGCAAATAATGAGTAACTGTGATGGTTTTGAATAAAATGTTTTCAGTGAGTGACCTAATCCTATTCCTACATAGATAAGAAGTGTGATCTGGAAACGCACACGTGTCTCTAGTTTCCGAACGGGTTTTTGTCAAGACAATTGGTCTTTTGCTTGTAAATAGTTGTCTGAGAATCGACGCATAAATAGGAAAAACAATCATAAATTATTTTTGGTTCTTCATTTTTTTTTTTTGAAGCCGCCACTGCACATACGAATTTGGTCATAGTTCGCACTATGGAAAACTATCGTAGACAGAAAGATGGGGTGTAGGATACTGATTTATTCATTTAAATATTAAATGTCTCAATACTACGATAAATCCCAGAAAATAAAATACTATTTTAAAATCGTATAATATATACCATTGATCATACTAAACGAATCGGGTAGGTATACTACACTGACAAGTGATAATATAGTAGTAATAATCAATGTGTTACAATCAGAATCGATTGCTGAACGTTGCACGAGACTAATATTCACGGTGTAGGTCGCACAACATTCGTGCAATTTTTATCAAGTTCGGCGAAGGAACAACAGTCAGTTTCCGGACGTTGTTTACCGGCAGCTGCTGTTGCAGTCGAAATATTATTACGATAATAGCCACCTAATTGCAACGTCATCATTATAATATACGCGTGTTCGTACCGATTATTATCATAATATAAACAATTAAACGGCACGTTATGCCGTGATTAACGTGCGTATATTATTCTATTCGTACAATAATTAACTGCCGGCAATCGTCTGGAAAACAATACAAAAACGAACTGAGTATGACAATAGTAAATTTAATATAATAATATGTGCTTGTTACGCGCCCACGAGCTCGAAACGTATGATGTGAACCCGAAAATGTATATATTTTATCTGTTGCATTTGTATACATATTGTGTAAACACATGAAATATTTAATATTATAGCGAATATAAATACTTTATAAAGAATTGAATTAGAAAATTAAGAAATAATAATATTTAAAATCGTTATTTATAAATAAGATTAAAATAGAGAAATAAAAAAAAAAAAAACGTCAAACAATTGTGTCATTTTGATAAAATATTTTTTGCCGATATTCAAAATAAAATAAAATGTACCTACCCTTATGTTTTTATTTAAAAAGAGATCGAATTTGGTGTTGAAAAAGTGGTCCGATTCGGGCTTGCTCCAGACGAGTTCACCGCGATCAACGACGATCATCTCACTCTATTTTGATTTACGAAAATATAATTTAGACCTTAATATTTATCAGTGTTTAATATAAGGATTTGCAACATTTTTAAATTTTTAGTTACTTGAATTCGTGGTTTTTTTATGGAAATATTACGAAAATCATTGGATAAAGGCAAAGGAAAGAAGAAGATTAAACGAATCTGAATAGACATTCAGTCGTTGGCGTTCAAGTTATTCATATACCCTCGATTTTTTCGTTTACTGTACCGGACACGTTATAAATTGCTCCGTTTGTTTATACCTAATTGAAAAACAATATATTTTCTGATTAATTTGGGGGTTTTTTGTTTTAGATTCTGATGTGAATGTTATTTTTCACAAGTTTTTGGTTATTATATAATAGTAAAAATGCTCCGAATAGTACACACCACGGCGTACTTAAAACGATGCAGTTTTCGCCAGCTGAATTTCGGAAAAAATGTCTTAATAATTATCAATAGGTTTTCTAAAAAATTTAAAAAAAATCTATCCATTTCGTCAGCCATAATATTAGTACAAAAAAAAAAAAAAAACGTATGAGCGTCGTATAATTTACGTATTACAATGACGTAAATGGCAAGGATGTTTGTTGTGAGACGTGATACACGTGCCACCAAATATTTATTGTATATTGCCAACAATGCAACAGGTATAAGACGTATAAACTATATATTTTGTTAAACCAGTTAAAACCAGTGTTTACAAATAGAGAGATTAAAATTATACGCATAACATATCAAATTCATGTATAATGCTTAAAATCTATATAATAAGCAGGATTCTGGACATATAGCACATAAAATCAACACAAAATTTTAATAAGCCTTTTGAGTGCTGAAATAAGCACTTAAAAAATATTTTAAAAGCAAAAAAAAAAACATTAGAAATTGTGAATCTTTTAAAACCTCACTCGCGGATTTGTATTGCCCCATGCTCCAGTGATGAATAGTTAAGATAATAAAAATAAACAATTATGCGTCATATAATGAAATACAATTATAAAATTATTTAAAAATCATAAGGGGGGAAAATAGAATATATGCCATAAAAAAAAAAAAAAAATGAATAACTTTCAAATTTCATACGTTGAACTTATTTTAACGTATGACATAAATTTCCATAGGACACTACTAAATTTAATGTCGAGTAAAAAAAATGTTAACACTATATAAAAGAAAATAACGTACTTTTACGTTATACGCGTAATATACATTATGTATTCTACTTAATCGGCTGACCTATCAATAATATTTTTTTTATATTATGCAAGGTCGTACAGAGTATTATAGCAAATTAAACGGACATAACCGAAATAATTTTCGGCCGTGTTGTTCGACAAAATTTACATGTACTACTCCGGTTTTTTTTTTCTTCCGACAAAACAATACGTTACATATTATAGTCCTGCACCAGTTAAAAACATTATTATTCAACAACTAGGTTAATACGCAGTGGTTCGCAAATTTATTTCGAAACGATACACATCCCTGAAACCGTTAAATTTTAAAAATCATTTAAATGGTATCGCATTTGAAAGAATAATATTATTGTGGGTTATAACAAAATTCAAAAGAAAGTTGTATATTTCAGATTCTTAATGCAACGAACTTAATTGCTAGTTTTACTAATATGTGTGTGTGTGTGTATGTGTGTGTGTGTGTTTCTTAGAAAACACTTTTTCGGTTAGTAAAAATGATCAGATTCGTTCACGTAATACCTCAAAAGATGTGATATTTCTACCCAGTGGTACTTTATTTGGATCATTTATCGAAATAATCATTTTTTGTTTCTACAGAGTATCCTTGACAACAAGACAAATAAAACACGAATAATATACTATACCACTCTGAATCGTATTTTATAAATGGAAACACACTGGTTTAAGAACCACAGTATTAATGTGTTCACGGTCTATATGTAGTTGCGATATTAAAATGTGTATATCTTAATAATGGTACATACTTGTATCCGGCGAGAACGTTGAGTAATGTGCTCTTGCCGCAACCGGACGGTCCCATGATGGCCGTCAACTTCCCGGACTGGAAATTGCCTGTGACGCCATGCAAGATCTCTTTTTTCACTAAAACAGACAAACGCAGATAAAGTTTAATAACATGATTATGTTAAAAATACGCTATAAATAATAAGGGATACAATATCAATATGTAATGTATTCAATTTATTTATATTTAGTCGATTCGAAAATTCTAAAAGTTTGAAGAATCTACACGAGAAAAACACTTTAAATTATCGAATGTATTGTTTTTTCTGAATGAAATATGGTATCCGACTCAGCTGCAAATATTCTTCAATGTTATAATACAACTTACAAACTCACAGATTAAAATACGTTTCCCATAATATTAAATCGACTATTTATATACAGTAGGTATACCTAGATGAATAACCAAAACTATAACATGTTCAAAAAAAAATTTCAGAAAACGAAAAAACTGGGAAAACGTTTGCCTGTGCAATAAATAATATGTATTTTTTTTATGAAATGTAGGCTATAAGAAATTCAAAACTGCTAATAAAAGTTAAGATTTGGGGTTAAAAATTGGAACATATAAGTTTTGATTCTAACATTAGAGTTTTAATAATAGTTGAAATGGAATATGTCAGTTTTCATATTATGGATCATGTGATTTTTGACACAGTTGAATACGGTTCAGTATCAAAACTCGCATGACCCAATGGAATTTGTTAGTTTTGAACAAAAACTGTTACTTTTCGATTAAATTTTATTCCAATAATTTAGTTCTTGCGTGTTTTTAAACGAACTGATTACAGTCGTATTAGCATTCAAAATTCCTATAAAACAGTTTTGCTAACTCATTTTCCTATTGTTTTTAAGTTACTAGACTACTCAAGCTGTCACTTTTATTCAGGGGCATCATCTTAGAGATACAAGATTACCGCAATTAAGGTACATTAGTCTCCTTACTTTTTTTCGTGTTGTATTGGTCTAAAAACCCTATAATGACGATGACCTCAGTGGGAATAAAATATAAAATGTATAATACTACTTATATGAAGCATATCGTGTACAATGTATATTGTATAATGCAATAGCGTGACAAAAGTTATTTTAAACCTTACAGATAATATTTTTTTTTTATGGCTAAATAATTGATATCACATAAGTATAATAATACTGTATCTATGTCGTTAGGTATCAACAATAATGATGGCACCCGGCACCTGCGATCGACCGGTAGAAAAAGTAGTCTAAACATAACATGTGATTATGGCACTATCGATTTTATTATTATTACTATTATTATATTTACTATTCCAATTTGAACATCGCAGACACACATAATTAAGTCCTCTTCCTCTACAGAGTGATCAATCTAACATAAGATACTCATTATCTCGGAAAGTATTAACTTTTTTCGATATTTGTTTTATAGACAATTTTAGAAACAAGCTATTCAAAAATTTACTAAAAAACAAATTTGGAAAAAAGTTATTACTTTTCAAGATAACGAGTTTTTTAAGATAGATTGATCATCCCGTACAACACGCTATATTATGATAATGTATGATCTTGTCGCGAAAAATCAGATTGGTACATTACATTTCGAGGCAGGTCACATATTCATAATTTACATTATACCCAAAATAATGTCACGGCATAGGTAAAAATCATGAGGCAGGTGACATAATATTACTGTACCTATTTCGACACACAAATAAAAATAAACGCGAAGATATTTTATTTTTTTCATAAGTTTTTGGAACAAAATCAATTAAACTATAATAAAGAAATATAACAGGTTTCTAAAAATAATACATTTTTACGCATCACAACGATCGATAGAAATCACTCATGTCTGTAACCTACCTGCAGTTAGTAACATCTTGATACAGTCCTATAAGTCTAAAAGGGAAGGGAAATAATGGAGAATTCATGTAGTTTAATGATGTCGTTTAATTCGAGTGAAAACGGATATCGGGACATAATTCATCACATACGCATCGATTTCAATGGATAATTGAAATTACTTAACCCAACCTATTAATGCTCTCTCTCCCCCCCAAAAGATGACTAAAAATCAATTATATGTATAGGTCCTTCAAAAAAATTGAAAATCGTGTCTAACATAACCAATCATTTTTTTTTATTTCTCCGAGTTGATTATTATTAAAATATGACGTTCACGAAATTTCCGTATTATGAGAACGGTCTAATGATAATATTATATGCACCACGTAGTTTCCGGTTAGTATATAGTATATTCTAAAGAATCGGTCGAGACGGAGTGTCTCGGATAAGTCCAAATCTGACCAGTCGGTGGTAATGTCGGTCGTTCAGCGGCCGTGACACGCGACCCGTACCAATGTTTACATTGTTCAGGCGGATCCGTCAAGGTCGACGGTAGCGATGCACCGATTCCTAGGTTAACTGTTTTGTTACGTGGTGTGATATTAGACTCGCGAACGGACTAAACAAAGACGTAGTGGATTATCATAGATTTTTAATATTTTTTTTTTTTAAATGAGCGACCCGGCTGCTAAAACGTATTGAGCACAGATTGAAGTGGACAATTTCCCAAGATCAATAATTATGGCCAATAATTTTAAACGTAGTTTGTGGACCGTTTGTCTATAGAAATATTATACTGTTTATCCATGTGAAATGCGTAATGATTCACCAGGATTCAGTAGTTAAACTTCAACATTTGGGCCCGAGAGTGAAATTTTCAAAATAGCCCTCTCATCCAGGCATATATAGCGAGATCTGAGGGAAGAGAGAGGTACAACTAACTACTTGACTGAAATTATTTTGAATAATTTTTTAAAAATATTACTGCATGTTGAATTAAATACACATCTTATCATTATTGATAAATTTACTCTAAGAATAAAATCCGATATTCGACAATTAACAGTACCTAATGATTAAAATATAAAAATTATACTGTTTTAAACGTATCATAGTATCAAAGTATCATATACGTTCTCATGGACATAATGTATTCACATTTATATACACTATATGTTGTAGGCTACAACATAACACAATAATAATAAATATTATAATCATTTTGAATTATTAAAATCAATTATTAATTATTTTTTAAATTAATAGTTTATAGCATGTCATCAAAAAGAAAAATACTGTATTATTATGTCGGGCTTCTTAAGCGAACGGGCCTAAGTGCGACCGCTTTCTCTGGTCCCTCTTAGTTACGCTAATGCCGATAAAAAATTGATAAAACCGTCGGTATACAATAAAGAGAACATAAAAGCAAATATAAAATCGAAAAACGATTTTGCAACGTGTGAAACATGATTCCGCGGACCTGTGAATCCGATAATTTGTAGGTTAATGTGTATTCTGTTAGTTCGTATCAGATAAGTGTTGCCTAGTATATATTGTGTCATTTTTGTGCAAGTATGTACCTATGTGTTATCGAGTGAATGTCTGAAGACATTCACCATCATGTAAATATTTTTGAACATTAGTAATCTATATGATTTTTTTTATCATTTATCATTTTATCAATTGCCCACGTTGGTAGACAATTGTTAACATATTATCGTATTTAAAGTTATCTTCAAAATCGTATTATTAGAGTACTAGATAAAATGCTTCCGTTTCTGAACAGGCATTTTTATTGTGGGACATTTTTTTTTCGTTGACCTTTACTGCGTTTTTACTTAACAATGCAATTTTCAAGCGTCCACAATCTGCATTTTGCACCGTCCAATGTTTAACTATGATTTACATACACGAATGTCAACGATTAAGGATAACTGACAAATGTTAACGGACACGGCCGACTTTAGAACAATCGATATCGAAATGGACGAATGCAACACAATACGGTATGTAAACTTTCTATACAATGTTCAAGAAATGAAAATGTTCGTTCCGCGTAAAGGTTATGCTAGTATGTCTGAGACGGTTTTAGAACAGTTTTTGGCTTAAGGCCCGACGGATACGGATCTGTTGGCTCGACCACATCTTAACCGCGAGAATACAAATCTATGGCGTAAGTCGATAAAATCGTGATGGTTTCAATATTCTGCTGTATCGGCATTTCTTCGAGAGTAATTATGTATAGCGTCAGTGTTTAGGTTAATTATCGAGAATATTTTTTTTCCCGTGGAAAAACTTACTAATATTATTATAAATGGTCTAGAAAACTGATCAAAGTTTTATCTATAATAATGACCAAAAAGACTTAACCGCAAACTCCGTGACATTTTTGTCATAAACACCTAAACACCTTACAATAACTGAGGTAATTCCTGGGATCTAATTTTAAAACCGTAAAAATTTATGAGTTAATGAACAAGTAAATGTTGCATCAGTCGAAGCGTATTTCTTATTTAATTATTTACTAGGTATGGAAAAGTATCGGCCTATCTATATAGTAAACTTGTTTATGAATACAACACCTAAATCCTCACCCTGGCTACGTCACCGTTTACTTTCATAAAAATAAAATAATGTAAATACGGCCGTATCGTTAAGGTCGCCATTCAAAGTCAAAAATAATTTTGGATATTGGAGAAAATTTGAAACCGTTTTTGACCCATTTAAAGGATTTTTTTAAAATGTTCAATTGCCCTCCTTGAACTCACGAGAACAACGTTTTATATGACGCCAATGATAAATTGTCTGAGGTCCATCGTTATGAAATCAGAGCAATTTTTTGCAATGTTTATAACGACATAACACTTTCGATCATTATTATTGTTAGTCGGCCGTTGACTTCACTATACAGTATGCATAGCCCGAACCCGTTCAAGGTCGACAAGTTTCACAGTCCGTAATGTTCACCATGATATTTTAATACGTTTTCCGGTGCAATTACTTAAATAATTAATTAGATACGTTTTATAATAAATTATAATATTGTTTAATAATTGTGTCTGTACCAACAATACATAGATTCAACGATCGATTTTAATGCTGTATCGTTATATTAACATATTAGTTTTTCACGATTTATAAAGGATACCAATCTATCAATGTATAACTATGAGATTAAACAAAATGTATTTTTAATCGAAAATTGTACAGTTCATGACATTTAAGTGAATAAAAATAACAATAAAGTATATATGTGGCAGTATACCTATAAATCATACATTAATAGTCCGAAAATATTCAATTCAATTCGAACGTGGCGTTAACATTCACCGTCCGTATTAATAACACTCAGGTACATTATCCTATCTATTTGAACAAAGTTTAAAAATAGGTAGTAAATATCAATAAAATATTGTTTCATTTTTGTTATAAGAAAATGATTACCTTTATTATATAGACTTAATTGTACAGATTTTATAAAATATAAACTGTACTATTCAGAGGTCAAAAAACGGGGGGGGGGGGTTAGTATGGGGGATAAATCTTCAATAATACGTTTCTCTTAAATATTTATAACAATATTTATAAATATATTACATTAACAAAATATCAATTTCAAAAATATTATAAATGGTAATAATTGTTAAAAAAAAATCAGCCTTATTCCACCCGTCATGACGAAATCATTTGACCACCATTGTTCTCAGTTTTAATAAACTATTTAAAAATTATAATAAGATGTAAGTACTTAGTACTATTATTAACTTTTAAGCATATTAAATACTTTCAAATATTTACTCGCATATTGTAACATCAGGATTAGACTTGAGAAACATGGCCACTGCAAACACCGTGCAATTATCGTCAAAAAGACATAAACCTCTGACAAAAATTGACCTACTTCCTGTGGTTAAATTTCGTTTGTAAAGATGAATGAGTTTATAATAAGCTTACTTTGAATCAGCTGAGGGATATTTTTCACGTAAACATTTTTTATTATTTACTATTTAAGGTTGACAATTCTATAAAAATAATTTAATAAACCTATACAAAATAAACTTGTTTATGAATTCAAGCATATTTTCATTTTTAAAAGTATAAGTGTTAATAAGAATCAAAATTTATCGAATATTGACATCAGCTATATACTACTTTACGTTTATAAAAATAACGTAAAAAAAGAATAATATATTTTCCTCTTAAATGGGTATTGAGCAGTATATGAATTCGAAGTTTTATCGATAAGGTGCTCATTAAAAGGTAAAAATAATTTCAACATTTAACAAAGTTGGAGACAATTTGGAAAACAATTTTAAAGTCCCTTATGAATTTAATTTTTTTTTTTTTTTGAAAGTTTGTGAAATACGATACGTATCCATGTAAGTTAATTCGAAGTACATTAAATTTAAACCCTCCGATTTGAGGTTAAATATAAAAAAATTATGACCCGCAGATGAGACTGAAACTTTCATATAGGAGTGATACGAGTTTTTAAATTTGCATAAACATTGTATATCATATAATAAGTATATGTATAGGAAAGCACAAAGAATATATATACAAATAGTTAATATCATGTTATGTTCCTACATTGATAATTAACGTTATAAGCTTAATCATTCATTTTGATAATTTACTAATAATTATTTGTGTAAACAGTAACCTTAGGGAAAAAAATGAATGTCATGATACAATCACTCGTGTGTTACGTTAATATTTGTATTTAATTATTTTTCAAAATCCAATTATACTAACCGAAGAATCTATATAATTTTTAGTAAGATTTTTTTTTTTTTATTCTAGAAAACAATTTTTTGGTTAATAGCAATACTTTGCCTTATAAGATTCGAATTTTTATGGCATGGTCTAAATCTAATAAAAGTTAAAAAGCTCATAAAAAAGATGACGAAATACGATTACTACTGTATAAACTTACTAATTTACCACGATACGCTCAGAATCATTTTTCGATTACAATTATTCATTAATGCTTTCATCCATTTATAAACTAACCTAACCATATATTATCCTAAATACTTTCCCGAATTCTAACCTACAAAGCAGTAACCTATCCACGGTATATGTCCTGTTTTTTTTTCAACTATAATAATGTCATAAAACTTATAATATGTGCCCGTTCTATTACTGCAGGTGGAAGATGCCAAGATATACGAACATTACTTTTAATAAAAAAAAATCTTAAAAACACCTAAGATTTTAATTTTTTTTTTTTAACCAACAGAATATAATATAATATCATTATTATATACTCATTGTGTCCACGCGTCACGTCTTCCATTGTCACAATACGCTGCCGCCACTATATTGTTTATTTGATACAAAATATATTGTTCGATGCTTCAACGACAATATGTTTCATTTTAACTTGTAGACTTTTTATAGGTAGCTATAAAGATTTTTTTTCTTGAGTTTTAAATACAGATATTATATGAACAATTGCCGATAGCCGACATTTTGAGTAAAACTGAAGCATGCTGGCAATCATAGTACCAAGAAGGCAAATTTCTTTGATTATCCAATGGAATATTTTTTTACTTCATCTACGTGATAATATGAGACATATTCGAAATTAATCGAACAAATGTTGTATATATATATATAGGTTTATTAAATTAAATTGAAGTGGGTTTAGGTTAAATTGTTTTTTATTTTATTTATTCATCTTTATCTTCTTAGTAACAACGTACATTTGGAGATAGTCAAATTTAAATATATGGCAGTTAAGTCTCAAAATTAATTTGTAGTGGTTAAAAGAACGTTAAAAGTTAACCAAAGATAATGGGAAATATTTCATACTTGGTATAATATGCAGATGGTAAAAATTCAATATCCATTTAATTTCTATTCAGAAGAATGTTTTTAATAGTTTTTAATATAATAATGGTTAATATTAATATTTCTATTAAATTTAATAGATATCTAAATATGAATAAACAAAATATTTAAAAATATGTATTTACATCAAAATGTGTGGAAATATGTAAAATAAAAAAATCGTATTTAATTCAGGGTGTTGTGAAACGTGCTTATTTTTAATCAGGATTCAGAAATCTGCATTCAATAAAATAATGTATTTACATAAAAATCAGCGCCCTAGATATCATATATTGGTAATTATCTAGTCGTTTTGAAATATAAGGTTATAAATAAATCGTTTTTATTGACGTTGAATTTACAACATTTGGTATTTTTCACGCACGCTACCATCATTTAGATACGTGGTATTTGCCGCTTTAATATAATACCAATTGAAATATTGAACACATTATGTTATTAGACTTTTTTTTTTCATCGTGTATCATTGAACATAATTAGACGCGTTACACCACATCGTTTTTTTTTTTTTTTTATCGATTACGGCGATTTAAAGAATCGAATGTATTTTTTTTTTTTTGCCACAATTATTATTCAATTTGATGACACACGTACCTATATGGTTTTTAAAATAATATAAACTGTCTAGCGTCTCTCCAAAATACCAAATTTAAAAATGGTACTTACATTGCCAATAGGTTTTTAAAAATTAAAAATTTTAACACTAAAAATTATTTCAAACAAAACATTACCAGTTTATGGAATTCTCACTATAAATATTAGGTTGCAATTTCAAAATATCGAAAATTGAGTATGGTAGTTCGCTACCTACAAATACAAAGATGATTGTCATTTTAAACAAACTACCGTGTATTTTTAATTTTTCAATACCTACAAAAGTGACGAAAAGAGTTAGTATTTTTTGAGACATCAATACAATGACGAGTGACTTATAGAAAAAATATATAATACTCATAGTATACCAATATCAAAATAGTTAAACGAAAATCGATTAGGCACAATATTTTGTCTTCGTTGATTAAAATTATAAAAAAAAATAATAATAATAATTATACATTATTGTCCTATTCGTGACAAACGTAAACGTTTATAGCGTTTTTCCCCTTCCCGGACTCTTTTTAAACAGTTTCCACAGTACCAGAATTCACTACTACGTGTAAAACACTAATCAAAGTGAAGAGAGTAATTTAATGTTTAATTATGTGTGTAAATTACATTTTCACCAGAATTAATTATTTCTTCAATCAGAAAATTTAGCAGAACTTTCTTGTAGAATTTTTGATCTAGTTGGTATATTATTAGGAATATTATTTGTTAATATTCCTTGTAGTTTTCTTAACAAATTGGAAAAGCATGCGATTTCTGGTATAATTTTTGTCGATTTCTGAATTATTTTGGTAATAGAAGAAAAAATACGAATTATAATACTCTATACTTAGAATTGTTTTTCTTTAGCAATGATTTATCGTTACGTATAGATATAAACTAAATCATTCTATTTCTATCAGCAGTATCGGCCTTTTCAAAAAAGAATTTCAGTGTTTTATTTTAGTAATTTAATTTAAATTTGTGTATAATATTGATATATCTATTTCGCTATAAATAATGTAAACTATAAAAAAAAATATACATTTATGTATAAAATATTTCATCTAAGGCACGATATATTATAATGTACTCTCAAAAAAATTATAAGAAACACATCTGGGTATGATTTCCTTACGACATAATATAATTGGAGTTTATATGTAATAGTGAATCTATTGAATATATTGTTTATGTAATAAATAAAATACATAAAAATAAATCATCACTTGTATTAGGTGGGCTAGAATAATCATATTTTTAATTTTTAATCATTTTAGGAACTAAGCCCCTCTAGTCCCCCTTAAATCTCCACCTATGAGGTTAGGTTAGGTTAGGTATTAGCTATTGGAGTAAAAACCACCGAATTATTACTATTGTGTGATGTCTGACGTATATATACATAGGAAGTTCGTCTTCGTCATCACACGGATTATTTCGTCGTGTTTCAGACACAATAGGTAGCACAGCGAGACGCGCCGACAATATAAAAAAAAATTTGTTAGCATAATAATAATAATAATATGACATTTTATCATCGCTCGAGACGTACGTGTCGACGACAACGTGGTGTAGGCGGTCGACTCGATTAAACTTATTATTATTTCGGATCGCACGTACAATATTATTTTAGAAACAATATAATATGATATCTTGTGGAATATTATATTGTACGCAGTTGACGAACATAGTATATTATTATGTTGTTATAGGCGGGAACAGGAAGCAGATATTATAGTAATGCCGCATCCTCTTTATGTATAGATAAAGTCAATCACACATCACATAATCCATTGCCGGGACTAATAATGCGCGTACAATATACACATTTATAAAAATATTTTCGCCGTTTATAGAAAACCATCACGTATATGTTTTTGTCTTTGTTTTTTTTTTAAACACGTCGACCGCCATGGGTATTTTTATTGTGTTACTCAAATTCACCATGAGATCTAATCCTAAATCTCAGTCAATTACTAAAACTTGGTCGTGAGATCTCATATGAATTCTCACAACCGTCTATCGCAGATTAATGAGATTTCATTACAGGAATATTCGTACCTTTATGATGGTTTTGAAATCAACAATGTTGCTACTTTCAATTGGTGTTTTTAGCAAACGTCTAGCATTATTCAGAGGGTACCACCGCTGGATGATTTCCCTCATCATGTGCTTCATGTGTATTTTTTTTTTTTTTTATGTATATAGTGTTATATCAGTCATCTATTTTACTTATTGTGTCATGTAATACAGATTGTAAATTTTCTAATAAAAAACAAAAACAAAAAAAAAGCATTATTCGTTTTTATTTTATGACATATTAAATAATATATGATATCAATTCTTAAAATTATTTCTTTGATTATTTTATCTTCAGTTAAGAACTATGCTAGTAAACATGTATGATTAACCTTAATCGATTACCGTAAACCATGTATACGTAGTTCAACGTTAATTATCATTGATAAGAATTTTTTTGATTATGTGATTATTTATTTTATTAAATTTTAACGAATGTATAAGGTAAATTATTTTGGTTTATATTTATATTATTATGAATTCTAAAAAAAATAATGAAATTATTAATTTTCATTTGATATGAGTTCTTCTGAGTCTATAGATGACACAGATGATGATCCCAATTGGGTGATAAATAATTATATACTATGTAGGTAATTGAGATTTAATTTAAGATCTCACAGTAATATAAAAATAATTAATTTTTTGAACAGTGACATCCTACGGCCATGAGATATAATTCTCAAGTCATATTCACTTAAAAATTTAAAAAATATTCTAGGTGGATAGTAATAAAAAGAAATATACATTTTGAAAGGAATAGGAAAATTTTTTTTCAAAAGAATTTTTTTAGTTGACCTATGAAAAAACCCGTGGCGGTTAGGACAAAGTATGAGATCGTATAAAAGTCATATGACTCATGGCGGTCAACGTGTTAATATATATTTATACATTATTATATTCTACACATAATACTCAAATATTTTTCAAATAATAACAAGGATATTTTAATATCGATGAGCTCTCAATACCGCGATTTTAAATTTTAAATTAATAGGTACCGAATTATTCGGAAAAAAACACCCGTCATTGACGAGGATGTTTAAGGTTAAAGAGCGTAAAATATATAGCATTCGTTTTCCAAAATAAATTCAAAGAATTTTTTTAGAATGAAATACAAAATGATTACGATTTCTCGAAAACCCTTTTTCTTTTGTCTTTAGTCTTTTTGTTGAGTTCTCCAAAAACACTCTTTTTACTAGGTACTAAAAATGCTCCATATTATTCGTATTGGTCCTTAAATGATGCGGATGATGTTTTCTCTTGTGGTAATTTATATTTTTTGAATACAATTCAAGATTCTCAACAATTTTTCTATACAATTTTAAAAAAAAGTGACAACACGTCGGTTTATTTATGTTGATTTCTGGGTCACCATGGCGACAAGGGGAAAATACTATTAATTGTACTCGACTCAAAATCGTTTTATGATTTCGATGGTTTATTGTTGCTTTCAGTACACATAAATTAAATTAACATATTACATTCTTTACTTATAAAACTTCTAACCTAGTACAGCGGCCTACCCATGGTGCCGAATTATTACTGTCAATTGACTTTCGCCCTTTTTTTTTATTCTGACTCGTGGTTAGAGCAAACGTCGTCATACATTGACCATGATGAATAAACCATTACGTATAAACAAATTAATACAACGCCACGAATATAAAATTAATATTTCATTATGGTCGTGCAAAACAATAAAGTGGTCGTTATTCACAATTATTATTACTCTCAGTCTTTACGGCTTAAACCGGAAAACAACTAAATGATATTTTTGTTTTGCTTGTTTTTTTTTTATACCAACACTGGTGCTATCACAATTAATACATAAACACTACTGTATCTATAGAAGTTTTTCACAGATTTGACCAAGAGACATTTTTCGGGAGGTACAGAATGACGTCAGTTTGCGCAGACGGGGACTAATGTTTCCCTCTTTTGAAATTCGTTTTTTACAAATGCATATTTAATGTCTTTTTTACTTTAAAAATAAAAAAAAATTTTCTATTCTACAAATTCTACTATGAATATATTTGTTTAATTAATATTACAACGGTTACTACTCATTTGGTTAGTATACTCTATCGATAAAAATATATTTCTATAAATTAAGCCAAATATGGAATTAATTTTAATCGAAAATTATCGTACGAATTGACGAAACGACGACGCGGAGAATTGCAACAATATTATTATATCGATTGAATAGTCCATTCAAATCGATTACATCTCGCATCGCAAAAAAATTAACTGAATACAATAATAATTAATTACACGTACGTGACACACGAAACGAAAAAAAAAATGTTTACATTTATAATCGTTAACGAATTATAAAGAATATCGCAATGGCTGAACGATTATTTTGAAATCGGAATGTTCATCGAGCGGCTACATCTGCGCTGAGCTTTCATGACTTAAACACATCATATAATTGTATTTTATTGAGTCATTAATTAAATATAGAATGGTGGTACACAAATGATTTTATGATATTGAGAAATCACTCAGTAATGACTTTTTAACGCGAACGATTTATATAATATTATAATATAATTGCTAATAGTTACACGTAAAAAAAAAATAATTTAGTTTTAATTTCACCAACTATAGTAACTGTAATATTATAACCCTTAGTACTAACAAAGAGGTTTGATAATAAACAAAAAAATAAATATTAAGAGAAAGAAACATAATAATATACATGTAATAGGAACACTTGAACAGATCGAATGGTTTCGCAAGGTGTATTTCAATATGGACTCTGGGACTTTGGCACATATTAATTTTAACCTATTAAGTTTTATAATAATACAATATTTTATTACTTAATATAAATTTATAACGATCAGGTTCACCAGAGTTCAATGACACATTTCGGACTTATAAACGATAAATAAAACAATTTATAACTTAACAAAATAAAAATAAATAATAATAATTATAAAAAGTGATTTATTTACACGAATAATATAAAATATTAAATTAAGATAATTAAACATGAAATTCCGTAAGTTATAAATTATTAGTAACGCATGTTTTTACAGCTCATGCAAGCCACGTCGAATATTAATGAGTTAACAGGTTAAAAGTTAAGTAATTTCGTACTTTTACTTTTGATTTTGTATTAACGTGACTTATTCATTTTATACATTGTAACTGAATAAATTGCGAGTTAATTTTGAATTGTATCACGTTAAATTGATTTCAATTTCTTTTCATTTTAACGCAATATTAAAGTGTACAATCTATAAATATAGATATAGTCTATACACTGAAAGTATATATTTGGAATTATGGTATATTATATTGGTACCTTTGTATAAAAACAATTTTAAAAAAAAGACTTTATAATCCGTTTAGTGGAATTCAAAATAAGTATAGTTTGCTATTCCCCGAATAACTCTCCCGCCTCCGATTAAAATCGATCATCCTCTGAAGAATGACAAATTCTATATACATTTAATAGTTTTAACAATATTATGGCAATAAGAATATTACACAAAAAAAAAAAAAAAATTATTTAGTTAATAAAACAATTAGTTTTAAAGTTTGATTTTTCCATTAACTTAACCAAACTGAGTTAATATATTATTCGTTAATTTTCCAAGCCTTGGACAACAAAAATACAAAGTATTTCGGAAAGGTTAAGTATGAACTTTTTTCGGAATTTTTTTTTTTGACAATTTAAGAAACAATCAGCTCTAAAATATTAAGTAACCATATTTTTTGTTACCTACCTTACCTTTATTTTTGTGAGTGAAATAGCTATTTCTATTGTTTTTCAAATAGTAACCTATAATAAGTTTCATAAATAGATGGAATATTATTTAAATAAATGTTGACGTCGATATTTTTAATTTCCGTTTGTCTGTTAACGAGATATTACACTATTAAGTTTTCATTTTTGTGGTTAGGGAAAGAGTAGTGTAATGCTATTTGTACGTCACGTCACTACTCAAATAATATCCCGTTACAAATATCTTCCTATCTAAACCTAAAACTAAATACTATACTGTTTTTTTTTTTTTTTTTGTATATGTGAGCAACTTTTTGAACATAAAATTTGCTCTAACCAAAAAATGACAAAAGAACTATTGTGTTGAATTTTGAATTTAGTTTGTACATTGGAGAAGTCATTTTAAAAATTGTTCAAGCAGTTTTCATAATTAAAAAAAAAATCAAAAATGACAGATATAAACCTAGCATTAATATTTCGTATTTATATATTTTAACGAATCATGTTTTTTACCAAAAATATTGCTCCAATCGAAAACCTATTTCGTTATTATTTTTTTGAATATATAAGTAGTAAGTGAATACGACATTTTAAGTACTTACATTTTCAGTGTAGTTTTCTTAATAGTTGATCAAAACCAGAAAAAATCGTAGAAAGAACAGGAAAGTTTATGAAACTAATGGTTTCTTTATTTTCAATTTTTTTTTTTTTTTTTTTTTGTAATTCAGTTAAAAATATTCATAAATACATGCTATTTTAACAGAAAACATATATTTTCATTTTCTAGACGTGGTAAAATACGTTCATGATAGACATCAGCCAAATCAACTGTTTTTTTTTATTTTGAAATCTTCATTTTATCAATAAAAAATTTAAAAGGTTATACATATTTTTATTTGTTATTATTTTATTAATCATACCTAATCAGAGTATTTTCTTATTGTTGTTATAGGTAATATCTATTAAATCAATATAACATCTAAAATCTAACAAAATTACAAAAATTAATTTAATTTATTTGGATAAGGGAATAAATGTTTCCATTTTTTTTTTTTATCACTTTATCTATTTAGATAAAAACGATATTAACCATACAGAGATCCTACATTTGAAATATTGACACAAAAATTAAATTCTTCGAAATCCAAGCTCTGTTAGCAAAATCAGTTTTTCTTTCCTGTAAAATTTGAATTTCTGAAACTTTTCCCTATTTCAAAAAACCCATTCTAATAGACAGACCGTTCGATAGGCCGATTGACGACAAAAACAAGGCGATATTTTTTTTTACGGCTTTTAGAACAGGGATCAATGATACACCAAAATATAACCAAAGGTTATATTATCTATAACTTCAAATCTAATTTGTTTTTAACCAATCGACATTAATAATAATGTAAAGTAAGTGTATTGGTATTTCGATGAGTTATTATCAACACCTACTATGACGTGCAGGCGTAGTACAGTCTACAACAATTAATAACAGAACAAAAATACCATAATAATAATAATCGTGTGCACACGTATTCGTCAAGCATATAAATACGCAACACAAAAATTGAACGTGCTGCTTAAGTACATACTGATGTTAGCGATAGATAAAATAATCATTTTCGAGCTATTTTGGTAAGTAATTAAAATCAATTCCAATTTGTGTACACTTTATACAAAAACTTTAAATTTTATAAAAAACAAAAATGTGTACATGCAATTTGACAAAGCCTCCTTCAGCCGGATCTCTATAACCTAGTAATTTAATCAGAATATAGTGTTAAATAACGACGGCGATGTTGACCACTAACGTAGCCTACATTACGATCATAACCAACCGTCATATGACTCGTATGTATTAGCAAAGTTATATTATAATTCATGAAGAAAATTATCTGCATAGTTCCCGGTATAAGGTATTAATATGCTTATCAAACGCATGTCCTTTATTTCACACAATAAGACTGAACGTATCATATAAGTTGTTAGAGTTTCATTAACGAAACTTAATAGTTTTGCCCGTCAAATCAAGCGATGTAAGAGATCTTAAGACAGTGATAATTCTTAAGATGAATCCATGCGATATATAAGTTTGTGCTGAATTTTCTCTATAAAAAGTAGAGCTACCACATCTCAATTGATCACTTATATCAGTTAATGGTTCAGCCTACATATCTTCTGTCTGTACTCGTCTTCTTATTATTTAAACATTAACATTGAGAAAGACGTTAATTGTAGAAAGTAAATTATCAACAGTACTTGCGACTTCTTAAACCTCTTCTATTGTTTAAAAGATCGTGGATACCGACATTCAAATTATTATCCCGGGTGTGCACATTTCTTTCAAAATAATGAGCACCACCATTTGGTATCACCTACATACATAGTGAAAGAACTGTTTAACTCGTATAACATTCCAAAAGAACGTGGACACAACCGCACTGTACCCAAAAATTTCGTTAACACAAGTCTTAGTATCGGGGTGTCCACGAAGTATACGAGGTGTGGCTATTAAATAACGATACTGGTTACGAAAAAGTGTTTTATTATAAAAGTTATTCTACATTAAAATGCTCCCCTTCAATATACTCTCCTCCCCTCGCCACACACCGTTTTATTCGTTTCTTCCATTGCTCGAGGCAGTGCTGGAAGTCTGTTTTCGTAAGACCATTCAGGAGTTCCGCCGATTTTTGTTTCACCTCTTCCATCGATTCAAACCGGATTCCTTTTAAGGCAGACTTTATTTTCGGAAACAAGTAAAAGTCGCAGAGTGCCAAGTCGACCGAGTAAGACGCGTGTTCGAGTACTGGAGTGTCTTAAGCGGCCAAATAACGCTTCACGCTTTATCCTGGTGCAAGATCCACGACTTGTTTTTCCATAATATCGACTGTTTCTTACGAACTCATTCACGCAATGTTACCAAAACTGTCAAATAGTAATGTTGGTTCACAGTTTGACCCTCTGGAACCCATTCAGTCATCACGATGCCGTTGATATCGAAGAAAACGGTTTTGAATTTGGATTACGACTGAATTGGATTCCGGTGCACTCTCGACCTTCAGAAAATAATTTATNTTTTTTTTAGTTTAACGAGAAAATTTTACGTTTATCCGTTGCTCATGTTTTTCGTCACACATGGTTTTCGGCACGAGAAAAAAACACGTTCGTTTCAAACCACTACTGTACAAATACTATAATAGTGACGAAAACATGTTTTGGTAAGTACATAGATAAGATATCTAGATACTCAACGCATTACTCGGTTTTTTCACTACCCATCTAGGGCGCCCTCTAGGCGATCAGTCTCGTTATTTAATAGCCACACCTCGTATTATAGTTAGCACCTACATAGATGAGGTAATTGACGGACAAGCTGTGGGCCGTCGACGGCAATACCGACCGTCCTCTCTTTTTGTAAGCATTCAATCGTGATCACATATTTGTACGCATTGTATGCAACGGCAAATAACTGTCACATTCAACAGCTGGTATGAATCGTGTGCTCGAATGGTACACGTATGAATCCAGTGGCGAACGCCGACAAACAACGCATCTTGTCCGTCAATCACTATCACTAGCTCCTTGAAGTCCCTTGAAGAAGAAGGAGCCAATTTCCTGTCTAGTCTAACAGAGTTGAAAGTAGTGAAGAACCTTCCAACGAGGGATGTAGTTTGAGCATATGACAGCTCTTCACGGTTCGGCTTCCACAATCTACATGGTAAGTGGTTTTATCACATTTTGCCGAAAGGCAGCCGCAGGCCTTTGCCTGGTTATAAACGGTTCCCCAGTCGCTTCGTCATCTTGCTCACGGCACTGTCACGTCCGGCCTTTGGGTCAGAATTTTGTAACCGTTTAAAGCCAGTCGTCGTTCCAGTTGTCCGGTAGTATGTGTCGCACATACGGCCACAACTGAACAAATAGTACCGTCGTCGAAATCACCGCCGTTGCACACGTTCGCGCCGCAGTAGCGACGTCATCGAGTGACCTTGATTGGGGTCCCTGTTCTGAAGCTGTTTGAAGCTATTTGAAGGTTTATTCTAATATTAATTTAAACTATACTTGTTTTATGGACTTGAATCTTAGTCTAATTAATTAAATAGTGTTGTACTGAACTACTGTACTCGCCACAACTACGATTTTAGAGTAGCGTTAAAATTTAAAATTTCTTCCGCATATATCTTTATTATGTAACATATTTTTGACGATAAATTATTATTATTGCTATTATATTATAACTTATCTATCCATGGTGTCATAATAATTAATACATGGTTTATATATACTTGTATTGTAGAATTATATGTTTGTACCTACAGCGTTATTGTATTACTCCTTTATTTCTTTTTTCCGGATATCACTGTTAATTTTTGTTTTCTTCGTCTATCCCTCTATCCTCCTCTCCTAACCGATCATCAGGTTACAGCTTCCCTACAACCCTACGAGATCCATTACGTTCCGATAGCTGGCCAACTGCCCATCTAGATCCTGCGCCGTAACAGATATAAATATTTTAACGGTTCGAGTTTTTGCTGGATAGTCGACGATAAATTATAAATATTACCAAATAAACGATAAATATACGAGAACATAGCATAGTACTTAAAAATTAATATTATAATTTAAAACTAGTTATAAAATAACTATTACTATACTAGATAAAGTATTATTCTAATTTTTAAAGAATTCAAAACATAATATAAAATAAGTATTTGGCCAACACGATCTGAGTGCATCGACCTTATGAAATCTACGGTCTATTAATAAACTTGTTTTATCTAACTATATTTTTATTTTCGATAACAAATATTAGTTTATTGAGTATTGGCAGGTACTTATGAGTTAAATACTAGGTATAGGTAAAATTATTATAAAATCTTGTTATGATTTCCTACTATGTTTTAACGATTTTTTAAACAAATAATATGATACATATCCAGTAATTTGCAATCTTTTTATTTTGGTGTATTGAAGATGTTTTTTAATTTTTTCTTGTAGTTTTCTTAATAACTGACAATTTTTGTTTTTTTTTGGTTTATCTTGGTTACAAGAGAAAATATAATACTAATAATACTCTTTTCAGAATTGATTTTTTTAACAATGGTTTATTATTTCGTACAAATAAAAATTAAATTACTCTATATATCCTCCTTTCTAATTACTCTCCTAAAATTCTACACCCATCAAGAGTACCAGTTTTTTTTATTGGCTTTTATATTATATATATATATATATATTTATGCATATTATATACAATTATATTATTTTATATCAGATTAGTATAATTTATAATATTATAATAGATTCGCTCGATGGCAAATCAAATAAACAACATTATGGTACTCAAGACTAATAATAATTTTGAAAACGAAATTAATTATAATATTTTTAGTAATTATTTATTTAAATATTTACATATATTTTATGGTTAACCTATCAAAAACAAATTATTTAGTATTATTAAAAACAAATGTATTTGCTATTGTATTCAGGTATATACTAATTATAGGTAAACTTATTAGTATTTGTTCATAAATATATATGTAATTATTCATTTGAAAAGTTTTTAAAATAATTTTCACAAGATTGTAAACAATCAATGTCCCTCGTATATTAATATCACTCATTTAACTACAAGTTTAAAATGTTAATGTACAATGTCGTACATTGTAATATTGAAATAAAAGTATAAATTATGAATGGATTTGTACATAATTCCCAGTATTATAATCAAATAATATATTCGTTATATATTTTAATTTTTCAGAGCTACGCATTGAATGTATTAAACTCGGGATTGAACTACATAGTTTACACGAGATTTATGTCATATACAAAATGCGATGACATAATATAGGTACCTTACAATCACAATAGTGTTTGTCAAAGATAATAATTAATGTACAGAATGCTTAATGATATAAAAAAAAAAAATAATATGATTCATAGAACTATTTTATTTTATCGCTATCGTATAATGTAAGGCGTATGACTAACTACACTGCAATGGGATGAGTCGAATTAATAAACAAAGCAAATCGAACAAACAAATATTATACATTATTAATGATTCGATATTTACTCTCTGTTTGGATAAAAATATAAACTACATTTTAAGATTACATCTATAATTAATATTTAAACTATGGCTATTAATTATATTGGAATTTGGAAATGTTTAATTAAAATTATTTTGGTTTTATGTTTTATTATAAAGTGTGTGTAATTTAAATATTATAATATTTGTACACTGAGTACTATGATTTATGTGCATAGATAATTGAGCACTAGCGTACATAGATTAGTTAGAAAAAACGAAATGATTTAATATGATAGACAAAACTTGGTATAAAACTGCATTTTCAAAAGTGAACGAATGTGTCCATAATATGCACATAAAATTATTATATCATATATATCATATTATATTATACATGTATTATGCTTATAATAACAGTTACATACTTATTAAAAACAAAGGACTGTTTATAAAAATTACACAAAGTATACTGTCTTTAATATATATATATATATATATATATATAGTTAGAATAGACGGTATATTCTAAAAACAAAAATATAAAAACGGAAGCTGCATTCGTACGTGTTGTAATTTAAAAAAAATAAATAACATCGATGATAATATAATAATGGTAATGTAAGGCCAGAATATAGGTCGTTACTTTTTGTAACTTATTTTTGTTTTTTATACAGGACTTTTTATTTTCTCTTCATAATATGCAATGCAACGTGCCAACGTATACCCGTATTAGGTACCAAACATTGAATAATTTAAAATATCGTATTTTTTTTTTTTTCTAATACCTATGTTTTGTATTAGGTAATATAATTATAATAACGTAACAATCAACAATAGTGCTGATAATAATAACCCTGTACAGTTCGAATGGAAACACTTCTATGATAATTTTAGTAATATTATGGTCTCTGCTCGGTTTGATTATTATTCCACAATGAGAATAATAATAATTTATTGTGGTAGTGCGTATACCAACGAAATTAATGTTTATAACTAGCTAGTATAACAGTACTATATTGTTTCAGTGTATTTCGATCTTATCGAGGACGGATGCTGTTCGTCGTTCCATTGAAAACACGTAGGTACCTACCTATACAGAATAGGTATCTACTCGTACTGAATACAGACTGGCACTCCTTCGAAATTATAGTAAAATATACGGTAAAAAATATTCACGCGGAAATAGTAAATGATATAATATACCGGAGAACGGAAATTCTCAAAAAAAACTCAAAGAACTCATACAACTGTATCATCAGATGATATATAATATATCATACATCAATATATATATATATATATATATACATAAAACCGAGAAAGTTAAGAAAAGTATGTATGGTATGTATAGTCCAATCGTGAGCTGCCGACGGAGGTCGAGAAATCCCTTATGTCGGCAGTAAGGAGGGACAAGCTGGCGACGATTATGTGGCTCCGGTAAGAGTTCCTCGACCGAAGCGAAAGGACGGTCTGGACCAGGCGGCTGATCCCCGACGTGGGGCAATGGTCCGGTAGAGGGGTGTGGCCAGTGACGTTCCATTTGACGCAGATCTTGACCAGTCATTGATGTTTCGATCATTACATCCGCCGAATCGGGACGTTGCCTGGTCCAGAGTGCATTTACTACCAAGCTGCGGACGAAACCTCTAAATGCACGACATTCTAATGCACTTAGTAGGCGCTGGAGAGAAACACCATCAGGGTATAGTTCCTCGGGGAGCAAGCCTTGGGGACGTCATGGACCATCTATGCGGGCCAACGAACCTATGGGACACTCCTGTGACTTCTGAAACCGTTAGAATTACGGGAACGGCGATCCGCTGCAGGGCGACTTTCCTCGACATAGCGAGAGCCATTATGACGAGAAAGGAGAACGATGAGAGAGCGAGACAGGATGCTGACCCGGCGGTTGACGACTACGCCACGCGGACTCTCGGTAGCGCTGCCTTGACTTCAGTTCGGTGTCTGCGGTAAGGAGCGGGTGCCGGACAGGGTGAAGTAATGCTAGCACGATTCCTCCCAGCTCTCGTGGCGTTTGCAAGGGAGAAAAAACGGTTTTGCTCAATTATTTAAAAAAAAACTAAAAATTAAATTTAACAACGGCTTTCTTGGTCATCAAATGGATTAAAAATACAACAAAAAAAGTTTCTTGCAATTTTTCTGTTGGAGCAAAATGTTGTAGAAAATATTAGCTGTAAAAATTTTAAATAATGAAACCGTTATGCCGTAATTTGAAAAAAAATTTATTTTTTTGGGGTTTTTCCAATTACTATGAAAAATACTTTAGGTATCTAGAAGCGACTTTCTTTAACATTGTCTATATATTAAAATGAATAAAATCGATCTTCTGTCATTTTTCGATTGGAACGATATTTCTGGTATAAACCATCGTGTTAACAAATTAAAGACAAAGAAAACGATAACGCCGGAGCGTGCCGTTTATAATTTTCTTTCGGGTTTTCCCAATTTTCCCATTTTTTCTTCTCATTATTATGACTATTATAATCATTGTATTATTTCTCCCTTAATAAAGTTTTTCACTGCAGGTGCTAGGTTCACCATATTATAAATCTCTTTATTGAACCTCTTTCGTCAATTCCCCCCTGTTTTATCGATGTTAGTTCACTTATTATTTTCCTCTGTAGGTACTTTATTCTCGTATGTTCTCAATTTTATTCTGTTTATTGAGTTATTGTCCAAGCTTCCCAACTATAACCTATGAGTGAGGTGATGATAGCAACCTATGAGTGAGGTGATGAGAGCAACCTATGATAACCTTATAATAGCAAAGTATAATATAAAGATAATTAAAAAATAAAAAAAAATAAATATTGTTCCTTGTTTACATTTTTTACAGACAGTATTATTTTTTCACAGTCAAAAAATGAGTAGGGTAAAAAAATTGAAATAAAATTTCCGAATATGGAAAATTTCGCTCGTAACTAGATGAACGTTTCAACAAAAAATCCAAGCGTCAATTTTAAAAGCATCATAATTATATTATTCAGATAATTTTGCAAAATAATAAGACTCGATTAAACCGTATTTATTGTATTGATAATTATAACAGATAATTAACAGTTTAGTAAATAATACGTACATCATACAAAAAGACCAATAATTGATGATAAGAACATTACATACACGTAAATTGTTTACGTGTTTTATAAAACAATTGCGATGGCCAACATTCATAAATAATATATTTATTTTTCATAAAATATACATTATATTTTTATTATAAACATATACTATCGATTTGGTTATTGGTAAGTATTGTGTTTGATTCAATACGACTAATGTTAATGATAAAATATCATATTGATTCACCTTGAACACAAATCCTATAATATGCGGTAATAGATGATAACATGTGGATAAAATTAATATCGAAATTTCGTGGTAAGGCATACGACTAATTGAAACAAAATATATTAAATGAGAAACAGTAATTATTGTGTTGTTGTCTGCACTACATATTATGGTACATATCATAACAAAATATTTATCTTGGGAAGATGATTTTTTTTTTAACTCGTATCTATATAGTATTATATTTCAAAGCTGTATTGGCCATGATAATGGTAGGTCGGTAGTTATTTTTCCTACCGATTCGTGTATGGGATCGCGGATAAAAGGATGAAAAAAAAATCGACTTCCCTATTGTTTAATATAACCACAACGGTTCATAATACTGTGTGCCGTTCAACCTTGGACCATTGTACGTTGATAGATTATTTTTTTTTTGTAAATCAGTATAATTCTAGGTTAATATACGTAAATAAACAATTGTTTTTTTTTTTTTTTTTTTTTTTTTAAAGTAGGTATTTATTATTTATCAATAATATGTATCGCCTAAATATAATATTATTTGGTATACATATTATTGAATGTTTTGGTTATCGTTTGATTAACCTTGTGAAATATTATTTCCAATGCAAAGGAACGATATAACACAGTTTTTATTGGGCATTTTATTGCTATTATTGTTCACAGAAAAACATTTTCAAACTAATATTTACAATAACATTATTTAAAAACAAAATAATGTTTTTTATCTCATTAGCGTTCGGTACTCACTCGCTAACTCGGTACTTACTAAAATAAAGGTTCAGTATGTAAACACGATCATAATAAAATAACATTATTATCCAACTAATACAATTTAATAATTATGTGCATATTATTATAGGTATATCTACATTTATTTCAATTGATTAATTTCCATAACTACTATGCAAAAATTGTGACTTTTAAAAAAAAAAATGTACATCGATACTATACAGGAACTATAAAGGGTACTTACTTAAAAAGAAAGAAAAAAACATTAAATTTAAAGATTTTTGTTTTTGAAAGTAAGTGAATAATTATTATTTAACTTATAGTACGATAATTTATTACGCTGCACTAGTTTTTTTAAACAATTATTGTCGAAAAAAAAAATCTCTTACCGTGAATAGCAAAACTATTTATACGGTTGGCCATCGTTAGACGAATAATTTTTGAAAGTTCAATAAATAGAAAAACCAAACAATTTCGTATACAACTTTCGTACTAATAAATAGGGCGTGTATGCGAATACATATTCCACTACGATATTCACCTAGAATAATTTCGATTGAAATAGTTGTCGTTTCGTAATGTTCAATAATATTTTTGTGTAGTTGAATGAAATAAGAATGAATATAAACTGTATATTTCTGGATAGTGTCATGATTTACTTTAGGTATTTATTAAAAGAGGTATTTAAAACTCGGTGTATTCGGTGAAAACATAACATTTGAGCATAAAAATGGCTTCACGCGAGGCCACTAATGTAAGCAGTGGTTTGAGACACATGGTCTTAGTTTCATTTAAACGGATTAGAAACGGTGATTTCTTTCTTTGTCTTACGTGCGTAAAACATAAGAGTTTGAACGTATTCTATTCCAGCTCACCGATTAATCAAGTAAACCGATAAGAATTCTGAAAGCAGATTTGAATACGTCGTGAAGTCTAACTGATATCGACTCTCCCACTTGTTTTATTTAGATTCTGATTGAGACAAGGATGTATTGGTTTTACAAAAATGTTTATTTTTATTGATATTATTTTTTTTATCTGTAAACGACACTTGTGTACCAGCAATTCATTTTGCTCGGATTTTCAAATCTCATCTTTTGATTTTCTCAGGAATGTTCATAATAAATAGAAAAATGACGTAGGAATAAAGGGGAAATGTAAGAAATGCATTATTTTCAAATCGTAAATATTACGCCTATCAAAACATGTAAAAACGAACTCCGTTCAGAATCGTTTTTCGTTAGCAATGATTAAACTTTGCGTACAGATAAACAATACATTTTCTAACTTTTCACTTACAACAATAACTCACCCATTGTGCGAAGTATGTCCTTTGTTCTTTATTTTATTTATCCAAAATTTAAAATATTCCATTAATTTAATCAAACCCAATTGTATAAATAATAAAATTAATTGTATACCCTGTTTTACATATTCCATGCTTCGTCATACGTGTCCATTAATAATTTAAAAAATATATTATTAAACGAGCGTATTAACAAAATACTATAAAATACTGTTGTTATCAGTTTATAAGAAAATATTATAAATGTATAAAATATATAATTAAATAAATAAATATATAAATAAAAAAAAATGTACATGTAAAAGTAAAATAAATACATGAATCATTGCGTCACCTGGATTTTTTATTTATATATTTACGAGTATTAACCATTTTAATAATTTTGTTTTTACTTTATTGTTTTATTAAATATAATTAATTATAACCATGTAAAATAGGGTTGAGTCACCACCTATAGCCACCCATTTGTATTTTATTCGTTAATAATATAATTTTGTAAGTTGATATTCCATATAATTATTATCAATTGTATTTATCTAAATTAATTTATTTACTGGGTGGATCAATTGTTACCAACATACCTAGATAGCATAGGATGACCATAGAAGGTGAAAATTAAATTTTAAAAAAGTAATAATGAGATCTCATACAGTGCATTTCTTAAGAGATTATGAAATATTAAACAAGTGTTTGTTCATTTGTATACATACATGGTTAAATTTTCGATAACCGTGGATAAAATAATAGAGATAAGAGTGTGAAAAAATTCTTAGGATGATGACTCCATCCTTATTATGTTATATTCTTAATATCCTAGCGACGTGTTTTAATTCATACAAATTAATAATTAATATGATTACTCATATACTTTACAATGATATATATTTTTTTAAATATCCATAGAATATTTTAAGAGAGAATCGTAAATAATATTAAGAAAACCCCACATCCGCATGTGCTGTCTCCGTCTTATTAACGTACAACATAGGAGAATATTTTCGACGGCTATGCGTATCATTTTTTTTAAACATTGTCATACAAAAAAGTTACAGCCATGTCAGTTTTTGCGTTTTTTAAATATGTGAATTTTTATATAGGTATGACAGTAGTTTAAAAAAAGAAAAAAGTTACGCACAATCCTTGAAAATATATTTACTCTTTAAATTTCGTTAATGCTTGTTTAAACTCAAATTTCCACCGATTTACGTTCTATTTAACGTAAATTTGCTACGTATGTTAATAATACGGAAATAGCACATGTAGCGTGTATGACTTCATCTTAACTAAAGGGCGATAACATGGACAAATTATGTTACTTATAATTAATACAATGCGGGCATTTAGGTTGAAATTAAAGTTCAAACATCGGCATTTTTATAGCAGATAATTACGGCAATTCCGCGCGTGGCGTGTTAATCACATTATTATTTCGACAATCGTTGCGGGGTGAGACGTCTGCCTATCTTTATTTGGAGAGACGAGGTTCGCGTATCAGACGAACCACCGCAATCGATTAATAATATTTCGGTTTAGCAATATTTGTCTGGCGGTTTCGTAACACATTCAAGAATGATTAATTGTTTCGAACACAACTCCGCGAAAACGTGTGATTTAAAATCAATTCATCAACTGATGCGGTAGGTAGTGTAATCGTGTTTTGTCTACGCGCCGGTTCGGAGCCGAATAACCGCGCCGACAGACCTTTGAAACGGTTTGTGCGAAAGTGGGTAGGTGAAGCAGCCGCGGCGAATGTCTCGAAACTTCACAAATTAGGAGAACAAAAATCCTACGAAAAAACATTACGGATTCTAGAGAACTTTGGCGTACACAACATTCCCGGATTCCCGTCCCGTTACTCTATACCTACGTAACTACTGCTCAACGCCGGTTTTGGTTTTTTCTACTATTTCCGTTCGTCGTTCGATATAACCGGTGTCCTATCCGAATCGGTTCACAGATTGTTTTAAAAGCGATTTCGATTTCCCTTCCCATTTGCACACAGATTTGGGAATGCTTGCATATCATTACCGTTGGATACATTGTACGTGATTGATGTAATATATGTATTATGTATAATCAACGATATCGCGCAAATGTAAACGCTACTCCACATCTGACTTCGTGCGTACACTCTACGCGGTTATTGGTGGATTACCGAATGTACAGTGACGCGAGAACAACGACAGTTTATCGCATTGTATTTATGCGCGTGCATAACGACGGGAAACCAGTGTGCAAAATTCGTATTGAACGATACTATTAGACGTCGCATTTCGCCCGTTTCGTGAGCCTTTAACGAACTCGGACGTGTGCCGGCTAATATATCGGGAACCAATGCGGACGGGGCAATTTGCATAGGACACGGGTGCCGGGAAATCGGAAGCAGCCGTCGAAACGACAACGGCGGCTTGGTGTACTATAAAGCGGATTAGACAATGCGCGCTCACCTCTTTTGAACTTGTTGAACGTGTTGACGGTGTACGTGAGATTTTTGAACGACAAGTCGACCTCGGGCTTTTTCGGAAACAGTTGCGTCTGTTTGGCAGTGACGTTGTTGTTGGACGCGTCTTCGGTCCGGTACTTGACGTCGTCGTCCGCCGCCATCGCGTTCGCCGGTTAAACTGTTTTACAACGTGCCGCGGTAGGTGGAAAACAAACAAAATTCTGTTATCTATTCGGTTAGGCTGTGGCGGAGTAAATTGCGCGGGTGAAACACGAGCGGAAAAAAAAAACAAACGCTTTACGCGGGCTAACAGGACGTGTAACTATACGGTACGTACAACGGAATAATAATTACAATATCGTGTACGATCGAGTATTGTACTATTTATACGCGTACGAAACGACAAAACGTGAACACCGCGGGTCGTACCTGCAGTGCGTTATTATTTTCGGCGACCGCGATTCAAAGACGCCCGAAAGGGAACATCGCGTGGAAATAAAATCGTGAAAACTCGGCGGCGCCGGCAATAATGTTTAGTAATTATTTATTTATTGCGGCGTCGCGGGAAGACGACAGTGAAAAATATCTAAAATCGAAAATACTATTACTGCGACGATCGATTTCGCGAAATGCGCGTAATAACGACGACGTATTGTAATATTATAATAATTATGTTTTTTATGGTTTTTATTATTGTTTTCTATCCGGTTCGCGATCGTTTCCGGCGGTTCCGTTAAACGGCCATACGGATAGGATTTATCCCGGCGAAAAAAAAAAACAAAACCCCGACGAACAATCGACCGGACCGCCAACTTACACTGACTGAACGGTGTGTTAGGCCGCGCGTACGTTTTTACTGTGCGTGTGCATCGGCCGCCGTCCGTCGCTCTCCGCCCGCGCCCGACGCTCGCCGACCGACACACCGCCGCCGCCGCCGCCGCCGCCGCCGCCGTTGAGAACGTGTCACGTGCACGGCAATGCCGTCGCGGCCGCGCCGCAAGGGCCCCGGCGCAAGCGCACTGCCGGTAGAGGGTGCGCAGGGACGAGGCGACGACACTGCGACGCCGTCGTGTTGTTTGTAAACACGCGGTAGAATGTCTGAATAAACACTGTACAGCCTGATCGCCGCAGGGCACACGCATCGTGTACGGAGTGCGCGCGACCGTTTACGGCGACGAGAACAGCTGCGAAACACCATCTGGGCGCAGGTCTAGGAATCCGGAAAGAACGGGGGAGGGGGCTCCGTTTTTCATAAAGACAACAAACGCATAGTTTAAATTGCAGGCGATGTATCATAAATTCGGATAGTCCGAAAATTTCAATGTGGGGGGGACTTCAAAATACGAGAATCCCACTTTTGGATTTCAAAATCCAAAACACCGATTTTAAATGTTTTCATATTCCGAAAATCGGGATTTTTCCCACCATTATTTAAAACATAAATAATAAGTACCTACTTATAAAATATTATTATATCTTTTGAAATCTTAACAAATAATACGATACTAATAACAAAAATATACGTAATCGGTTTTCTCTCGACCAATCTCTTACTTTCATCCGACGTCGCTTTATTTAAAAATTTATCGATAACTCAATATTATAATATTTATATTTCTATTGTGGACATTGAACCGGTATCTCTTCTTTCAGTGTATGTTCAGTCGTCTTAGAGGATAGGTAACAGGTGCAGAAATGTACAACACAATTCCAACATTTTAGTAAAATACATCACAATAGTCAGAGATCATGGCTCAACAGCAGTTTTGGAATGTTCCATGTTGATTCAATAATTTTTCTTTCAAAGTTCCCATTCGCCTTCTAACTTTAAAGGTGAACGTTTGCAACTGGTAAGTCATCACTGTAACGCTATAGTATGGTAAGTTAGGAAAATAGTATAATATATAGAAATAAATTTGATTAATATCTATGAGCAGCGATAAATCATTGTTAGGTAATGAAAACTATTCTAAGGAAAGTTTGATTAAACATGTTTTGAAATACCGTCATTTTTAAGATTTTCGTCAACATTTGAAATTTGGACGCAAATAAAACAAATGACTAGCTACAATATGCTAAACTTCTATTTTTTATCTCTAACTTAGCCTTTCAAATCTTGGAAAAATGAACTTCGCAACAGAATCGTTTTTGGTTAGCAATAGTTGATCGTTGTTTATATTGCAGATATAAATTAAATAACTTTATGCACCCAACTTTCTCGACTTCTCACCTACAATAGTAGCGCACTCATCAACAGTATAAGCTGTTTTTTTTTTGTCTATTAATTAAATTTTCTGGGACTTTGTACTTACACCAAGCAGAAATGACGAAGATCTTTGGTGAAAGCTTGGGAAGGCCACATGGCCTATAAAGCAAAATAATAATAATAATAATAACAATAACAATGTGTTTAGAAAATGTTTATCGGTTTTGAAATGCAATTGTATGCACAACATTTTATTATACCTAGTAGATATCTGCAATCATCTCCAATATCCAAATCGATACCTAATAAAAACGTGGACAATTGGTATCCCCGCTACCCCGTTATAATATAACGCTAATAATATCTATACATAATATAACGAGCCGTCAAAAAGGCAGGTAGTTTTTTTATTGCGCCCAGTAGGTTTACAAACAATTTTACTGTTGTAATTCTCAAACTATAATCAAACAATTACATGTTGGACGATTGTTATCCCTATGACAATTATTGTTATAATTAACGAAAACGCCTTATTGTCTTTCGTATATTTAAGAACAAAACTAATGATATTTGTCTATATTATAATAAAAGAAACCGCGTCGAAATAATTAGGTACCTACCTAATTATTATTGGCTCGTTATGTCGCGTCAGGGGGAGGAGAAGCGTGGGGAAACCAAGGTTCGTTAACTATTTGTGTATACCTTTCGGCTTTCACACTCGCGGTTTACAAGGTAATAAAACTGTACAATACGTAGGATAAATCAGACGTAGAAATCAATAATTTGATTGGGCAATTTTGATATCGTCCGTCGCAGAGATATTCCAAATATTTATGGAATTTTGGAAATAACGCTGTATGAATATTTTTTCAATTTAATTTATACCAGCTTTACCGCTTTACCGCCCGCTGTTGCCCGTGCCAAAATAAATACAGTGAACTAAGTAATCAGTTTCTACTTTCTATAGTAAATTACTGTCCGTTGTGCGTATCCTCGCGACAACTATTACAGCCCTTCATACTAATTCATGTTTTTGTTTTATTTGTTTTAAATTTTTTTTATTGTTTCACCCGTAACACATAAATCAATAAAAAAATTGCTTTCCGTACCAAAAATTCCAACCCTGCGTGAGATTTCCCAGAAATCTTCCAGAAGAAATTTTCTAAATATTTATTATTAACGGTTTCTACAACCGTAGCAAAATCCGTTACTTAATTAAGAAGACACAAGCACACAAACAAACAGACAGAAATAGAAAATGTATTTTATACTTTTTATAGATTATAAACATATCTAATACTGTCGTATTGATCTGGACTAATAATTTTATTTGGTCAATAAGAATCGATATGGTTATACGAATGTTTGGAACAGAAAAACTATGAAATGTTCGCAGAAAAAATTAAAAAATATAAATTATTTATTTTGTCATCAGCTTCGAGTTTGTCTTTATAAAACAATAAAACCACTCTAATTCCCGAGATTGGGCTAATTTGGACTAGAGAGAGTCACTAAAAGTATCCAAAAGTATTAACTTACTTAAGTAAATAACATTTTAAAATCGAATAAGGTACAATAAAAAATCGGATCGTTTTAACTTACCGAAAAAGTGGTTTCCAAGAAATAAAAAAACACATCTTAGTAAAAAGGACAGACTTACAATAGTATACTTTTTTGGTACACCCAGAATCTAAAAAGTTTATTCCGTGTAAATAAATTGTAGGTACAACGACGCCAAACAAATTTTTATAATCACCCCGGTGACAGCGAAATTATGGGAAGTTTAAAACATTTTTTTGAAATAAAAATTAAATAATGACAATAATGTTTGTTGAGGAAAATTTAATAAATAAAAATTAAAAATGTTCTTTTTTTTCCTACGATATTATATTGTTTTAAACGTAAGCCAGTATATTTATTTACTAAAAACAGTATAATTTACAAACCTAACCAGTATAATTTATTGTATGTGTTTGGTATATGCGTTTAAAAAGTACGTAAATTTTAATTAAATATTAATAATTATTAATTACATACCTACATTATGTTATTAGGTATCCATTTATCGTATGGCACGACATTAACACACAATACCATCAGTTAATTACGTTAATAATATATTAGCCGATGATTTGTTAGTAATTAAAACAAAATATTGTTGCGTACGTTTTTGTGTATTCTTTTAAAGAATTCCAATCTATAAACGGACAAAAATAACAATAGTAAAATCACGAAAACAAAAAAATAAAAATAATGTGCCTATGTAAAAATAATTACTTACACGAAACATTATTTGGAAATATTATTTTTCTATCAGATTTGAAAACATTCACAATTAGTATCGTGTAGGTACAAATAACAACAATAATAATACGTTATGACATGTTATGCGGTTTTTTTATTTTGGTTTTCTAATGAAATCGAATTATGTATTAAAAAGTTTTTGTTTTAGATCTTCAGTGTAGCGAATAAGCTATTAATTTTACAAAAACGAGTGAATTTCCTCGGAAAAACTTTTTGGATTTGTAAAAATTAAAAATGCTTGATGGAAATTTAATTTATTTTTTTTAAACTCGAAATTCCTTATTTTTTTATATATTTCCCGATGAAAAAATGCTGTTTTAAACACTGTTTTGATAAATAATATATGATCCGATTTTTTCACGCGGTACTTAAAATGCGGATCTTTCGCCTTATGATTCACATGGGTTTTCCAATGGATTAAAAAAAATTACATAGAATCAATTTTAGTTTTGGATAACAAAGGACAATAACACCTATAACCTTACCAGTTTACAGAGCTTTGTATAAAATCGTTTTTTGTTTGCAATAGTCACTCGTTGCTTTCAGTATATGAACTGAATTACATTTACCAAATTTTATTTTGTGTTTTAAAATTTAAGAATTGGAACCGAAATTAAAAATACCGGTATTTTAACCAGAACCTTTTGAAAAAATTGGAACCGAAACCTTGCCGAAACTCTTTTTTGATTTTCTTAGAAACTTAAACCGAAATCGGAAACGTTATTTACTGGAAGAGAATTTTTCGGTTCCAATTTTATTTAATTATTTCATATACTTCGGTTGTAAATGTACCTATACGTATGTTTATAATTTTTATAATTTTATATTCTAACAGTTCCAGAAAACGGTACAAAATTAGCAGTTACAAAAATAAAAATATATAAATAATAAATATTATTATTCGCCCATTGGTTTGTGAAACCCGATTTTATGATTATTTTCTTATATTTTTTAATTTAAAAACAGTTTTGGATGACGACGTCTGGTGATATTGATGAATGATGTATGTAATAAAATGTTTACTAAAACGATGATCAAAATAATATAAATAATTAATAATACAGTAGAAACCGTTTATAATGACCCGTATAGTAATATTTATTGACATTAATCATAATAACCGATTGACATTATAACTAAAATGATAAAATTAAATTTAAAAACTTGATTATGTATACTGTACAAGCATTTAATATTTATATGAACATAATAAAGTATTACAATGTCAATGTGTCATATTTTTAACACTAAATCGTGACTTTAATGCATTCAGAACAAATAAAATAATAAAAAGTAGTTTTATTATTTTAAAATTAATTTACATTGTATTAAAAAAATAATATCTTTAATACAAGTTTAATACACTCATTATA